TCCACCTGCGATATTCTCTGGTCCGCCCGGGGAGAAGCTGCCCGGCGAGGGGTAGCCGAAGAAGATATGGTATCCACTGAACGACGGGTGATGGTACTGGTTTGCGTCGAGGATGCGGTGTTGCTACGAGTTCTCTTTCTTGCTTTACCAGGAGGGTTGTTTACAAGCCTCGTTCCTTTGGCTGGACGTGCACGAACAGGAACGGCATCAGAATCATTGCTTCGTTCATCCTCCGTGGAACTATGAGCTGCAGCAGACCTGTTCTTCCATTCTTGAACCCGTTCTGAGGCCAGTGCAGTCTCAAGCTGAAATCTCAGTTAGCTCTAGCGTTGCAGAGAACAATTCGAAAGACTTCACCTTCTGCTGGATCTGCAATACTTTCTGTGCGATTCTATCGCTCCTTTCGCTAATACCCTCGTCGACGGCCATCATACCATCTTGCACCAACTCAGCTTGAGTTGCGGAGAAGCGTTTTGTCTTTGGTGACGCTGGTGTCTCGTCCTCTTCCGCAATTGTGTCAGTCTCACGATCACTTTTGCCGTGTACAAGAGTCTCATCGCCGTTCTCGTATTGTTCCGCAAGGGTGGATTCTGTCCCGAAACTGCGCAATCTTGATCCACTAGCGACCGAACCGTCCTTGGTTGGGTCACTGGTTCTGCGGGAGCGTGAGCCACTGGCGGTAGACCTCGCTACCGACATGCGTGACCCTGGACGAGATGCGAGGTCCCCTTCATAGTCAGACTCGTCGACGTCGACAGCCATGGAAGCAAGTGCACGTTCAATCTGGGCCTCGACCTCAGCAACCATCTCCGCACGTTCTTCCTCCATCCTTTCCATGGTCTCGCGCATGCGCTCCAGCTCAACAAGAGCTTCCTTGTGCGCAGCCTCTGTATCGTGTAGCTCTACAAAGCTTTGTAAGTATTGGTGTGGGTGGTTCTCATTCGATGCTTACGTGTCTGCAATTTCGCCTTCTCGGCAGCTGTGAGGTGGACCAAACCACTTAGGCGCTTTGTCTCTCTTTGCTCCTTTCCGATCTTGCTACGCAGCTGGCCAGCCTCGGCACTCAAGCGCTCCGCGTATTGCTCGAACGTGACAAACTTATCCCGCCATAAATCTGCTTCTGTCATGAGGAAGTTGAGACGGCGAGAAAGACGTCCGATCTTTGTCTCAAGGTCATCACGAGCATCAACAAATGCAGTCGCACGCTTGCGAATGGATAACTGAATGTGCTGCTCGGCAGGAGTGAGCTTGGGTATGCGTCGAGCTGCGCCAAAAGAGGAGATGCGCTTGAGGAACGAAGGCTTCTTAAACTGAGCCAACGTTATCAGCATACGGTTGGTCATAAAAAAACTAGATGCAAAAAAACCGACCTTATCCTGCAGCACGCTGTCAAATGCTTGAATAATCCGCGTGGAATGCCACCACTCAGGTGCCTTGATTGTGTCTGCGACAGCGGCAGTTTCACCACCGCGTTTCGCCTGAATCTTGCAGACAGGGCGGAATCGACCCGCAGGGAAAGCTTCTTTGAATTCGCTAAAAATAGCGCCCATATCCTCGGTCTTCGCATTCAGAACCAAAGAAGGAATAGAACTCACGAAGGAACGCTATGATCGGGATGATAGTGCGGCTCGAATGCAATAAGAAGACGCTGCCTATATTTGTCTCGTTGCTGCTTGGCAGACACTACACCGGGAGGAGGAGATGGACAACTCAGGTAGTTGATGTCTCTGTTTATCCTCAGCTCCTCTCGTACTTGGCAGTCAATGAGATAACTTACAGGTCAACTACGCAGACCTCAGCACTCGGACGCACGCTGTACCTCGCTTCAGTGGCAAGCCCGAGAATCCATGGTCCGGGGTCGTCGATATAGATCTTAGCGTCTCGGGCGTGGACAGAAGGCAGGGCAATCCCAGACCAACCCCGCAGCTCGACAAGGTACTTGATCGTGCATACTGCAATCTACGTTGAAAATTCGTCAGTTTTACAATAGGGCATTCTCCAATATCAAAACGCACTCCGAGCATGGCGGGATGCCTAGAATAAAATAGAATACGACCTGTCGGCGCCAGGGCAATCTGAAATCGGGTCAGCACGGAACAGGTATGAGGTGCCCACAAGCGCGACGAACCTCGCATATAGTGAGAATGTTGTCGATGTTCAGGCACTTAAACAGGGGCCACATTGTAAAATTGATGTCGACGAGACCGCGGCCAAAGTCCAAGCCGCCAGGGAAGCGCGCGATAACCTCAAGGTTTGTGTCATCACTTTGTGAGGAAGCAGAGTGCGTCAAGGGGATGGGCGTGGAGGAAGCATCGAGCTTGATGAGATCACCAGCGCGTGGAGCGGGATGCGCTAGAATTTTGGAGATCTGCAGCGTGTGTGACTGTACATCTTTAGAGAAACGAGCCCAAGAAAGGGTTAGGTAGTCACGCATGAGATCGTAGATCGGGTGACGCGACACCAGCGCTAAATAAACAAACTAATCAAAATCTTCCATGTGAAGCTCGAAAGATATACGTACTGAGTGCATAGGGGAGCCAAAATACAGTATCACCAGGCAAGAACAGGGTACTCTCACCAGGGCCGTGGCCACCTACGGTACTTGCCACGTCATAATCACTTTCGCTGACAGCACCGGCATCAGTTTCGGCACCCTCACCGTCGGTCTCACCATCGGTACCCGACCAAGGCCCTTTGAAACCCTTTTTATTCGCTCTCCTGGCTGGATCTCCAGGGGACTGGGAAGACCCTGGAGGGTTTGAAGAACGCAACGCTCTCAGCCGCGTAGTCACTAACGATTGCGCACTCTCCTTGCGAGCACGGCCTGCCTCGAGAGTGCGACGAATTGCCGAACTTCTCTCAGCATCAGCGTGACTCCATACCGTCAGACAGACACCGTGGTAAGTAACTGTTGCGCCATTTCCACCTGACGCTTGTTTTTCGAACATGGGAGATGCCGGGGATGCTGGAGGAGGTGAGAGGACGCTGGGCGGACCGAGGTATGCTGATGAAGGACGGGCATTGAGGAATGGGTCATCAGTGTAAGGGAAGGAAAATGTGGGGGTTGCGGAAGAACGATCCGTTCCGGTGAGGACCGATGCGCGAAGTAAACCCACTTCAGAAGGTGCTGGCGCGAGGGGAGTGGAAGGCGCAGGAAGGGTAAATGTAAAGGTATGAATTGTGCTCGCCGGTTGAAGCGTTGACGCGATGATTTCAACTTCACGCGTGAATGAGAGCTATACGAGAAGAGGATCAGTAGCGGTAGGAAGCGCGCGATAGAAACGTGCCTTGAGCGCTTTTGATAACATTTTTCCTACTTCAGCTTTTGACAGAGCACCTGCGCCCTTGAGGATCTCGGTACTCTCCCCCTTGTTTGCTTTCTTCTTTTTCTTGCCCCCACCGGCACCAGGGCTCACAGTGCTACCGAGAACCTCGGGCCTCCACCAACGGGCGACCGCACCCTCTGAGTGAGATAAACCAAGGACGGCATCGGGGTCAGCAAGAGTCCATGTATGAGGACTCTTTGGAAGTCCTGAGACGACATATAGAGAAGTGAGAGGAAGTGTTGGGGCATGTTGTGTTGGGGTTGATGGTGCTGAACGAGTTGATACGATAGAGGTCCGGGTAGAGGCGGGAATAGGCTCCATGGACTTACGATGAGCAATTCCTAGGATACGAGAAGCCTTATCCGCTGGACGGGGAGAAGAGAGAGGTTGAGAATGAGAATCGAGTGGAGCTGATACAGTAATATAGTCGAGCTCGTTAGCGAGAGCGGCGTCTGGGGAAGGAGAAAAAGGAGATGAGGAAAGAAGAATATTAGAATTTCAGTTTGATATACTGGAATGGTTGTAACTTATTACCGGAATGGTTCGTATTCGAAATGTTTACGATTGTGTTGCTCTGAGCCGCGTTAATGCAGGCGCTCGAACTAGACTTGATCGACGTTTTATACGGATTAAAAGAAATATCAGAGTAACGCGACTTGACCATCTTTTCACCGATACCAATTGGCAAGACAGTGATAGGAATCGCTGCTACTGCAGGTGCCTGAACGCTTGGTCGTCGAGGCGGAAGCAAAGACATTTCAAAGAGAATACAGCCAGATGTAAAGAATGGAGAGAGAAACGAATAGCGAAAATTAAAAAAAGAATGAGATGCACACCAAGTGCAAAGTTTCAGATGGAAGTACAAGTCAAAAAAATGAAGCTGAAGCGGGGACTAGTCCAACTTCGCCTCGAGTAGACGTTACTTACGTCTGGCATTTGGCGGTCCACTTTAAAGTTAGTTTTATAAACTGCGGGACATCTTGTCTTTCTCCTCAACTTAACCTAATGTTGTGGGTCAACGCCAGTAAATTAGAGATGGTGCAAGCAAGCTGCACCACACCTGGACGATGTTAACCTGGAGTCAACTGAGGATCGACATACTAGTGGATCTAGATGCCATTCACACACTCATCTTCCTAATTTACGGAAGCTCCTGATGGAAATTCCTATATTGCGTTGTCAAGGAACGCAGTGTTAACCCCATCTCTTCGGAAGAACAGGGTACATTACCTCACTCTATAACCACTGGCAGAGCCAAGACCGATGCTTTAGTACTAGCCCCGCCTAGCCTCGCTGATTTCAAAATCATTTTGCAGAAAAACATTCTAAATCAGATGTCTATTTTCAAACATCATACAACATATAATTCACAGCGTCAAACCACCTCAGCACCAAGTTTCCAACTGATCTTCAAACAGACTGGTATGCGCCGGACTGGTTGGCAGGCTGTGGTGCTGGAACAGAGCTAACTTTTGAGGGAGCACGTGGGGTGTCGTCATCCACCGTCTGGTAGCCATCCCGGCCACCGGAGGTGAAACCCCCAGGCATGGACCAAACTATGACAGCATGAACGATCTGAGGGTAATTACTCTGTAAGGTTAACTTACCCGTAGGACCATGGATATCAGTTCCGAGGCCCGGGAACTGTCCCCCGCGTTGACGCATGGCAACCAAAAAAGCACCAGTGGTTGGTATCTCGATGAGAGTCAATTTAAACGTCGACAATAGTATTTCAATTGCTCACCTTCAACAGTAAAAGGACGACAGTAAGGAACCTAAGGAAGCCACCTTGCTCATTCTTGATCATCCACAGTACGTCATAGAATATCGAAAACGACAACAAGCCCGCAAACTGGCTCTTTGTTGAGATGCCAATCACCAAGTACGATGGGAGTGACGATGCTTACCAAAGTCAGCGACTGTGCCGCGTCGCTGCTCTCCTGTACATACGAACCGAAGAGGAAGATGGGCAAGTTGTATGCTGGGACAGTAAAAGGACTGATTATGAAGGCCAGCGCCTGCGCAGTACGCAATGCGTAATGAGTAATCCTTCTCAACAGAAGGACTGAAGGACTACTTACTGTCTCTGCGAGTAGTAGTTTCGCTGGGTCAAGTGCCTGGATAAAGTCTGCCATCTTTGCTCGTAGTTGTGAATGTTGATGAAAGAGGTTTCAAATAAGGGGACTGCACGGACTTGCCTTTTTTGTGCCAGTCCAATACACCTTGTTCAATTAGCACTTATTCTAGTCCGGTCGCAAACCGAATCCAACATTTCACTAGTTGCATGTCCCAGCTTGGTCTCAGCTAATTTACTAGCAGCAGGCGTTTCGCGCGTTTTTTGCGCAACTCAAATTCGCCAGTCGTTTGCTCATGCCACTGCCCCAGCGCAAAATAGTCGAGGAGCTGCTCCGACCTCCTTTTGGTCCATATCGTGACGAAGAAGTGCTCAGTACAGAATGCGAGAGCAAGGCAGGAAAGATACTGGTACTGAAGTCATTTCAGCTGGCTTACAACGACGAGATTATTGGGTACCGTTTCTGCCCCTTTGTACTACGTGTATCTTGCTAAGTCTTATTGACAAGGCTCGACGAATCTGAGCAACCTCTAGGTACCGGAGAGGTAGACACTCGACAATTCTGTTTTCGTGGAATTCTTGGTATACGTTCGCTCGTTTGGCTATCTCAAGTCGGCGTCAAACGAGTGGAAGCAGAGCTCAACCTGCGTGCCAACACGCGTAGTATGTGTGCAGGGGAACGCCCTCCCAATACAATAACGCTTGAAGAGCTATTTAATAGGAAAAATAAATATCTTGGGGGCCCACCCGAAGACGATGAACTCGAGCTCAGGTTGCAAATCCAGGGTTTCAAGAACTTCCCAGCTCTATATATGACATGTGCGTTTGGAGGCCTATACGGTATAATTTGAAGGACTAAGGTCGAAAATATTTAGCCAAGCTACTTCCGGATGGATTGTTATGGCACTCTAAAGACCGGTGGGTATCATGACATGTGATTCTGGACACGTCCTTACTCTCCTTTAGTAATCGCACCTATGAAGTTGCAACAATGGACGTCTCCACCTTTCAGCTCTCAGAGAACTTCTTCTGGCGTTACCGGCTCCTTGCTCTCATGACAAAGATCGTTGGAGAGGGACGAACGCCGCTCGAAAAGCGGACCCCTGAGTGGTTTGTATCCCAATACCTCGAACGGTTCGCTCATCCCGCCAGCGATGAGCACGAGCGACTCATCTACGATTCTACCGATTCCGATGTCGATGAAGGCAAGACTCAATTGCCCCGTCACCCAAGGCGAATACACAGGCGCGATATTCTAGGGCTATTTGCTGCCCAGTCGGAATGGTTCGTTACTGATAACGAAGTGAAGCGCAAGCGGATATTTCCTTTCAAACCATGGAACGCATTTAGAAAGGAAGTCAGAAAAGCAAGATGGCAAGCTGCACGCAACAATGTCATCTGGGGCTGGCCGATTGGTCATCAGAATCAGCCGGACCTGGAGTCAGAACCAGACAGCGAAGAGGGAGATGATGAGGATGATGAAGATGGCGAGGACACCAGAAATATGGTGGAGCGGAATCCTGTCATTGGCAAGACAAACGAGATCGTGCGCCGTAAAATCGACAAAGCCAAAACCAGACGAACCCTGCCGTCTGCCCGGCGTGACAACGAAGCCGGCTCGTCATCGTCGTCCTCAGATGAACTCGATCCTGCTAGGGCACATGCGTATATGTCAGACTTCTCTCGGGAATCATCTAGTACTGCTTCTGATTCTTCGGATGAATCCGTGGACGAGCGCCTACTTGATTTCGGAGAGCTCATCCCACGCCAGTTGTCCCAAGTCCCGGAATTACCAGGCCCCGATAACCGCTGGTGGTGTCCTGTCCCAGAATGCGGGCACATGGTTGATTTGCAACGTCTCACACGAGATGATATAAAAGCCCTCTCAGCAACCACCGTCTTCTATCTCATGGAGAAGAAATGGCGGAGTATTCGAGAAGATGAAAGAGCTAAAACATGTTTCTTTGAAATGGTGTCTAAGCATTACGAGGATCATTTTACAGACCTTGGTTTAAGGTTTGTTCAGACTAAGGGAAGGGTAAGTAGCTCGAAACCGGTCTTTTACAATTGTTAACAATATTATTTCAGATCGGAATAGATTCGATCAGGGATAAACGGCGTGGTCCGCAGGCGGTAGTCATCGTGAAGGAGGAAGTTATTTAAGAGCTCCCCCTGATTCCAGTCCGGGGCCCTATAAGTACATATAGACTGTAATATAGGTTGCAGTCTGTTAATAACATCCCACGGACTTATTGTGTACTCGGTAAAGTACTAGCAGCCCAAATGACTTCAAGGAATGACAGGATAATGATGATATAGTCCGTGTGGTATAAATTATCTAGGTCTAGCGTTCCGCCCCAAGAAAATGTCTCTTAGCCACATCCATTGCCTTCCCGTTCTGCGTGTTTCACCAGCAGTGCCATCGCCCTCTTCCACGTCCTGCTCTAAGAGTTCGGAGCGATGATCGCTCAACACTCTCCCGTCCCGAGCTTCTTCCGAGTGTCTCCCTTGTCCCTCACTCACAGTCCACCTCCGGCCACCCGCAGTATCAGCCAAAGACATGGTCTCATTGACGACAACTGCAAAGCCAAGTCCTCCACTGATACGCCTAGAAGTTCTTGTGGAAGGGAGAAGCCCGAATCCAGGGCTGACTGGTGAGAGACCTATTGTCAATCCCGTAGGAGACAATACGCTCGATGATTGCTGCTGATGTAAAGATGAGGCCATAGTACGCATAGATGCAGATGGATCGATAATGGTGGGGTGCTGACGTGATGAGCGGGAGGTGCCTGGTAGGGGTGGGGAGATACCTGTCTGATGGGCTGTAAAGGGAGGTGAAAGCTGTGAAGATGATGCGCTGAGGGTGTGCAAGGAGACGGGGCTCTGGGGGAAAACAGCGCCCTCCGACCGCACCCGGCGGTCCATAGGAGGCGCAATTGACCCAGAGAGAGATGAACCCTGGGGACCAACGGCAGTACTTGCATACGAAGGGTAGTGTGGCGAGGGGTTTGTTTCGGGAGTTGCGCTTCTGCTGTTGAGTACTGCTTGGTCTTCAACGTCAGATTCAGTTGCTGTATCGCATTCATCGACGTTGGCTTGGGCACTGACTGCCCAAACCCCAGCAAGAAGAACGAACATGCCGACTATGACGAGGATAAGGTGCCACCCTGGGAGTTGTCCCAGCTGGTCGAAGTAAACCAGGCCATTGATAATCGATGAAAAGTTATAAAAACAAAAGGCAGCTAGGTAGTCTCCGTGTTAATGGCACTATCGGGAAAAATACAAAGGAATAGGACACACATGGGCAGACAAATGCAGGATCTGCAAGCCTCAGACCACGATTAAGGTACCAAAGTTGTCCCAGAGCAAAAATAATGAGTCCACCAACAAGAATCCATGCCTCCCATCTAAAAAATTGATTGACGCCGCGGAATGTGAGGACAAGAAGTTCAACACCAGACTTTGCGAAAATCAAACAAAGCCCAGACAACGTCCCTGAAGCTGCAGCATATGCGAGGGCAAGAAGAAGCGGGGTTCTGCCAGGAAGTGGTACGCGTAACGGTGATGAGGACTTTGAATTGTGTAGGGTAGATTTGGTAGATGGAAGGCGGCCGGATTTTGGATCGAGCAGTGGTGTTATCTCAGATGAAAAGCTGCCATTGACTTGTTCCTCAGTTGGACCAGTGGATGGATTAGATTGTTGTATGCGTGTGGGAGGTAGCGGTGTGGGAGAACCATGCGCGGAGGTGCAAGAAGACGACAGGGGTGAGTCATGGTTGGCCTGCAACAATGAATAGGCTGCGGCTTCCAGTTGTCTCTTGTAAGAATATTCAATACCGTGGGTCTGCAGGAATGCTATATGTACAATTAAAACGATATGTCGCGACTGGCACGCACCACGATAAGGCACACGAGTAGGATGAAACCTTCGGCACAGAACCAGCCTATAAATGCAGGACGCGCGAAAAGTGCCATTAATTCGTCGAGACTACGCGTGGTTTCAGGAACGATGCCATAGATAGCAATCAAGGCAGCGCCACCAGCGATGAGAGCTGTTCCCAGGAGCATTCGTGGACGAAGGAGGAGATTAGCGAAGAGGGCATTCCAAAGGAGAGAAACGGCGCCCAGGGGTGCCAGTATGACGACCGGAAGAGATGCTATTTGTACGAAAGATCCAAACACATTAGATATCAAAAAGATAGCTGACAGAGGTTGTGTTGGTCGGCGGAACGAATATAAGCAAAGTTTGAGGGGGCTCACCGAATCCTATCAGCCATAATCTAACAAATGTAAGGGGAGACTGAGTTATAGAAGATATATATGACTCACGGTCGACGGTGTTCTACTTTCTGGTCTTGTTCTTGAAGCTGCGAGTTATGAACATGGCTACGACGCTGGATCGCAAGACCAAGGCTTTGGACGAAAGATGCGAGTAGTCCGATAAAAATCCCCAATGGTATGGGTATGTCTTGATTTAAATTTGTGTTGGTAAAGAGTGAAGTGGGTGCTGCGGCGACATGGGCTATAGAGGATGTGATGTGCGTTACAGTACAGCCTGTGAGTATGCCCATCGACGACGGCGAGGAGGGAAGAACTTGTAAGAATCTTCTACTTGTCGTTCAGGTGCCAATTTGGTGTGCACTGGCAGCAGTAGCTAGAAATAGAATAATCTGTGGGCAAGAAGTGTAGACGCGTTGTATGTAGCAGTAACCGAAGAGGCAAGGAGGTATTACACACGTGATTGACACTAAAAACAAAAGTCTCATGGAATTGATATGACTATTCTATCACGATTTTCTCTGCTTGTTGTATAATAAGGGGATCTGCACAAGCCACTATATAGGAGCTCTGAAAATGTCAGCGTGAAACATGTTCAAGTGGTGGAGTGCTCTGCAGCTGACGACTGAGTACAATGATCATATGGAGTTCAAGATTCTCGCTGGGTGTTACAGTGTGACTCGGGAACTACGCTGAGCTGATAGGTTGCAGACCAAAGAAGATACGAGAACCTTGATGGTCATGCGATACTTTGTTACAGAAGTAGCCAAACTTGAAACTAGACTCAGGAGGACTTGTTATCTTCTGAGGTAGCCTTTTCGTTTCAAGCTTCTTCGTCTCTGTGATCACCTTATCCTCAGCAAATGCTGTTTGGCGCCTAGCTTCCATCTCCTTGACACTGGCTGTTACATAAGTGAAGTAAGGCTGGATAGTGCAGTAAGTAGTAACTGACCTTCGGGATGGTCTCTATGCTATGATTGACATGATGTGTGGCCTGACCGAAGAACCCAGTTTATGATGGCTGTAGACGTCGATGTCATGAAAAGCTTCAAGCGTGACTGATACATTACGGACACTATCAATGATAACAGGCACTGTGCCTCGGGGAAATCAATAGTGGACCGACCAGCCTTGGGAGCCGGCTCGAATGCCTTGGTCACTATACGTCCGTCGTTCATGCACATGTATGGAGCAACAAGTGCAGCAGTAAGGCGTTGACATTCTTTCAACGGAGCGGCGAGGTAGCGGTCCCAATGCCGATAAACGGTGCGGAACGGAACGGAACATGTGCCGTTGCCCTTATTATGTGGTGACGACAAGTCGTTAATACTACGCGGTACTGCTGCCATAGTGGCAGAATATGCCTGTGGACTAGTATTAGAAGGGACGGGTATCTTCATTCGCCTATGGTCTGTCTGGTTTGTGAAAGAGCTTGCTTATCACGCACTTGCGGGAAATTTGTAGCTGTTGAGTCTGCCACAGACACGCCGTTATGCACGGTGGCTGTGTGCTTCCATATGACAAGTTCCTTCCATCAAGTTTAGCGCCGCTGGTCACTACACACATGTATACCGAGCATTGTCCCGAGTAATCACTACATAAAAACCAACCTGACAATTCCCTCGTTCAAATTCAATCCACTTTTCAAGGTCATGTCATCTCCTAGCAATTCCAACGCTCAGTCTAGTGATGCATCATCTGTGTCCACTTCGGACACATCATCTCTTCGTGAACGAGCAGTCTATGAAGCGTCCGGCGATGACGACTCATCTGTCTTTACTGTGATAGGAGATTTGGACACCACCGTGACCCCTAGCCCTGTCGGTTCTCAATCAGACTTGTCGGGTTCTTTAGAACAAAGCATGTCTGAGGCCCGTCTTCGTCAACTATACGATGAGGAAGAGATTGAACGTTATCTCCGCTTGTTTTCTGCTGTAAGTTCTTGCCGTACTCGATGCGTGGTATATCCTGAGGTCCAATAAGTATGTGACGGAAGTGAGACTACCAGGTGCTTTGCGTAACATCAAGGCCAAGCCATCAAGTAGCTCTCTCCACCTTCCCCAGTTACCAAAACCACCCCCACTCCCTCCACGACCATTTGCTCGTAATATCTCTGAACAAACAGAGCCGCCTACACTTCTTCCATCCACTATTCCTCCAGCACAAGCGGATCCCTCCTGGTCCGAACATATTGCCATCGTGAGTGCTACTGTTATCACAGAAATTAAATCTCAATTCTCCAGAAATATATACTACCAGCTCTTCCACCAATGCCTCATCCACCACCATCCTTCTCTTTAAAGCGCCTGAAACTTACTAGCCAGCGTTTTTTCCTCGCAGTAGTTCCTCCTTACCAGACTTTCTTCCTCTCCATGGCAAATTTAGCATTATGGAAGGACCCACAACGTAGCGGACTATATTGCGCGGTAAGCAGGCTGTTACTTTTGGAAATCGATATATTCACCAACATCCAGGCGTTCTGGGGACTATGGCTGTATGATCTCCTTCTTCCGGCGATGATGTTTGGAATTTTGTGGGAGATGCTCAGCCGGAGACTTTTCCCGTATCCCACTTTAGAATCTTTACAGATGCGGAGAAAAGATTCTGAACGTGCCAGGGAGTTCGGAGACGAAGTTCAGGAACGCCTATCGGCACCTTCACTGGGACCCAAGGATATATTTCAGTTCCTCAAATCTCACAGACCCACAGCAAAAAGTAAAACCAAGCCCCTTCCCAAGGACACAGGGGTGCTTCAAACGAGTTTAACTGGCGATGGTGGCGAGGATGAAGCGGCTACTGTTCTCGATGGTGATACCCAAGAGGAGCAAGACATCAAACGAGAACTCCTGCACGTTCTCAATACTGTCGCTGATATCCACGAACGTATTAAAAAGTACGTACCCCGTGATTCGTGATGGGCTGTTAACTAACCGAATATCCGTCGTTGTTAGCGTTTTCATTTGGAGACGACCAGCAGTCTCCCGAAGATATGCAATCGTGAGTAAGTTCTGGGGATCACTTCGGCATGCGCTTGACTCCTAGAAAGATTTTGGCTGTTGTAACCTGCTGCACCTTGATCATTCCCGCGCATTACCTAGCAAAACTTGTATATGGCAGCTGCGGGTTATTGTTCTGGCATGTCATTCCTGTGTTAGCTGCTCTACCACCAGGCGCTCGAGCCAGGTTCGTGTTCAATGTATATTTGCATCGTATTTTGTTAAGTGGCGAAATAGACTGCCCGGTCCGTTGGCTGATGCCCCCACCGATGCCGACTATGCTATAGAAATAATTACACAAAGGATTGCCAGGGGCGAGGAAATCAAGCCTCCGCGCAAGCCTCATTCTTCGAGTCCTCGTGCTAATAGCGCAAACGAAGCCGATCTTTCGGCGATCCCGACTCCCGACGCATCATCCAGAAGCCAAATGCAAACTAATGATGGTGTTGATTGGAAGAAGTGGGGATCCCGTATCGCGCACGGCAAGTCACTGCTTAGTGAAGGCAAACAACGCTTTTCTTCTGGACAAGTGAATACGGTCGGCCTGACGTCCGCAACTTTACGAGATGAAGACACACATAGTACGCCTATAATAATCCAGGCTGTGCTACAACAACTGATCCATGCTCAGCATATCCTGCACACCACACTTCAGCGCCTGGTCTAATCACACTGACTACTACTACAGTATACTTCACAACACTCGCATCACAACAAGCCAAATTAATTATACCTCGCGGGAACCTCTGCGGCGTGAAGAAAACCGGTTTGATGAAAGGGCTTCTGATTTCCTGGGTTGACGGCGAAGAAGGTCACGGAAAAGAAATAGAAGAGAAGTTCCACTGGGTCGGCAATCGAGATGAGCTTTTCGCGCGCCTTCTTGGCCCAGATGGTGCCCGATGGATGCGAATCTGAAGCTCGAGAGTCGACGCGTTAGTGGCTGAATTAAAACTCAGAGAGCTCCGCGCAAAGGACCATACCATGAACGACATACGCTTCCCCCCTCCCTCATAATTTATTCGGTCTCTTTTCCTCTATCCGTTTTTCGTACGTTTATTGTATGCATTCTGCTCATTGATCTCTTGCTATTACCGTAACCTATTTGCTAACCCAATTTTGTCATTTATCTGCCACCGCTCGCTCATTCTTCAAGGACACTAAACTGCCAAATGTTTTTCTCTACCGAACTGTTGTCCAGGAGGGATAGCGGATTCGGCCTTCTTTGGTACTGTTCTCGTATGCTGCATGGACGCTGGAATCATATCTCATTGCTTGGTGTTACAAATATTAGGCTAGCCGCAACCCTTGGCTCGAAATCAGCCTTTAAGAAATTACCCAAGCGTTCCGTGTTGACGGCAGATATCTCTCAATTGTGTGATCTGATTGCTTCTCCTGCGGAGCCTCTGGCTCTTCGCCTCTCAAGTAACTTGATGGTCGGGGCTGCACGGTAGGCAGATCAACTTCGTCGGGGCCCTTGATACTCACTCAGTTCCACAGTGTATATAAAGGTTTGTAATTCATGGCTGTACAACCACATCTAACTTTTGCTTCTAGTCAAGCAAGAACTTTTTCTTTCTGATGTCACGAGTTGCTTCAACTCCCTCAAGCGAGTCGTGCAAGAGTTCCGTTCGATGGCTGCGTCCGAAGCCCATCTTCAGATGGCTCAGCCGAGCGTGAGGTGAGTTAACTCACACGATGAAAGCCTCCTCTGACACCTCCTGTCAAGGCCATCAGCTGTTACCCTTGCTGCTGATCCTGGTGCTGGATTTGCCATGGATTTTGACGCAATGGTCGCTGTACGTCCTGTCTTTCTTTCTGTTTGTCTCTAAGCCAACGATGCGGCTAGGACTGGGACGAATACTTGAACATTGGAAGTACGTTAGATTACTGTGCTTCAACTCGCGTATATTCATTCTCAATTGTAGACAACAAGGGAGGAGCGGAAGAGGGCTCATCCGATGACGAGTACAATCCAAAAGCCAAGAGACCAAAAGGAAAGGGTAAGCAGTCTGCAGTTGCATCGGCTTCCACCGCGGAAAACGCCCGCGCCAATGCGCATACACTCAACGAAAATCACGACCTCTTCCTCGCCAATTCTTTCGACGCCTCATTTGGTGGCAGCGGCGCCAATGTGATTACATCTTCTCAGAATGAAACCTTCGGCTTCGACGATAGCTTTTTCGGCGCTTTTGATGGCCTGGATATTGGTGAGGGCGTTGGCGATGATGTCGTAAGGGAACTTGGTGAAGGCTGGGGAGGAACTGCCCCGGAGAATCAAGTCGAGTGTGTGTCCCTTTCGGCAGGCTGAAGTTTGACTGAAATGCCCTAGCCATGATATGCAAGTGGATGAACCGATCGACTTCGGGTTCAATGATGCAGATAACCTGTATTTCGAGCACGATGCCCCCATTGACGATACCGGTGCATTAGAGCAGAATGTCTTGCCGCTTCCGCCGTCGGCCTTTGCTACGCCTCAAGGCACACAACGGGGCTCAGCGGGTACGACAAATTACTCCACATTGACCACCTTAACTTATGAAAATTTAAAGCTGCCCTCCCTCCCTCTTCCTCCCTTACCGGACACTCCCTCGAATCTCCCTCTGGTCCTTTGGCTGCAATTGCCCCGCAGGTCGAAGAGATTGAGCCCGTTGCACCTGACGATCATCCGGCTAAACCCGCACCACCTAGGAAGATCAAGCGCGCTAGACTTCTTTTAGATGTGCGAACGGAGTTGACGGATGACGAATTAAAGGTGTGTAGTAACGCCGCTCGTGACCTGCAGCTACAGCTTGTATTTCTGTATAGGCTGCACGCCTACATTATCTGGAAGAACAAAATGGTATCCATCGACAACTTGCGCGGAGGACTTTTGAGAAGGATCAAGGCAGGCTCGTTGACGGTTTGCTTTGGGCTATTCCGGAACACAGTAAGCTTCGATTTTGTACTTTGCGCTCATCGTGAGCTTACATTTTGAAGTGCAAGCCAAAGAGCTGGTAGACTTCTGGCTGGATCATTTCAAAGCACAATTGGACGCTCGATCTGTGTTCATGATTGGACCCCGTGGTCAGTCTTACAGCACCTTGAGTGTGCCTTATTAAATACACGCGATCTTTAGACGACTCTCCTCCGCCAAAACGGAGGAAGACAAAGACCAATACTGAAATCCCCGGTGAAGTTGAGCATGTCCAAGTCCGCCCTGAAAGTCCTGTATTCGGTGTAGGCCGGGCAAGCCCAGATTTTAATGCGGGTGGAGCGGATATTGACATGAATTTTGACATGAATTTCGACATGGGCAGTAAGTTGTATTGACTACCATGAATGGCTATCACCCAATGTCCTTTTCAGATGGCTGGGGTGGTGCAGACGACGTCGGACCAGAACTGAACAATCTTCGCTCGTCCGAGGTAAATTAGCTGGCAACGCTTTTCATACTTTCCTTGACAAGGTTTTAGGAACCGGGACAAGCGCGTCATGCCCCACGCCCAATGTCCGTCATGGGCGACGAATTCGGCTTGGATATCGTGCAGGGCTCCTTATCGCAGCGTAGTGCACTCTTCCCTTGGGACAATGCGGGTGGAAGCTCCTCGGTATCTGGTGCAGTACTCCTTGGTCGCCAGAGCAGTGATAAAATCAGTGTCGACCACGCCGAGACTCGCCTGAGGGGCAGCTCACTAAGCCGACGAGGAAGCTCTATTCCAAGTCAGCAAGGCGACGTATTTGGTGGTGCCGGAGGTTTCCCTGCGAGCCCCCAAATAATCGACGACGATTTTGTATTCAACGGTACGTCGATAAATTCTACGACTTGCCAGGCGATCTAGCTCATGGAATCGACAAGTCCCGGGAGGTAATTCTGTGGCCGAATCCCAATTGTCCGAGGTCAATCCGGCCACCCTGGAGAGAACCTCCTTCAACTTCCTTGAGTAAACATATTCACTGTCTACCATTCAACCTTGGTGTATTCACATATTGTGCTGAAAGATACGCTAAGATGCAATATAAATCACTGTCTGGGTCGGCTCGATTTCTCGCTTTCGACGATGTCGTGCCGCGGACCACCAGCACCGCACACGTTGCAGCAGCAGCTCTCTACCACTGTCTTGGTGTGTTTGTTCTTCCCCTTTCAAGTAGCACCATGCCGGACCGTATCCGAGTATGGACTGACGCCGATTTGACCAGTGTTAGGCACGAAGGACCTCATACAACTTCGTCAAGAAGAGGCCTATGGAACCATTGAGATCCGTATCAAGTGATACCTTGGCCCCCTTGTCGGCCGAAACGTTTTATGCATTACATTAAATTCGTGTAGATTATTAATACTATTGGTCCACGATTCCCTCTATAGTGTACTTGAACACAGTGGTTTTGAGCGCCCTGAACATTGAGACAGAAGAGCGGACGCCTAATAATCGGCTCTTGCATTTTCCGTTCCGAAACCATGATCAGACCATCCAACAAAAATCTTGATCGTGCCATTTTTCACCCGAATAACCTCTCCGAAGCGAAACACACGGTGATAACGTTAAAGGTTCATCGCTTCACGCACTTATTATTTGCTTGGTATGAATATACTGCGTGCTAGCCTCCCCTCCTCGTCTCATTTTACTCGCACTCTTAGATCACATTTCGCTCAACGTACCATGTCCTCGCCAGCAGTTCTTGCCGCACGCGCTGCTCTTGCCAGCATAGATCTCACCAGTTATGACCCTGAACAATCGAGACTGATGGATGAGAAATGTATCTTGGTCGACGAGCAGGACAACGCCATCGGCGCGATGGATAAGAAGACTTGTGAGTCTATTTGTTCTATATTATACGGGTTTTTGATAGCAGGCTTCAATAGGCCACCTTATGGAAAATATCGACAAGGGTCTACTGCACCGAGCCTTCTCTGCGTTTGTCTTCCGTCCCTCCGATGGCAAGCTTCTCCTACAGCAGCGTGCTTCGGAGAAGATTACTTTTCCGGACATGTGGACGAACACGTGTTGTTCGCACCCACTGGATGATTTCGAAGAAGAAAAGATCGAGGAGAACCAGCTCGGAGTGCGGATCGCAGCTTCGAGAAAACTGGAGCATGAGCTCGGTATTCCGCAAAGCCAAACACCAATCGATGAGTTCCAGTACTTGACGAAGATTCATTACCTCGCACCGTCGAACGGTATGTGGGGTGAGCATGAAGGTGCGTTGACAGGTTGAAAATACGGGCGCATGTCTTTACCTGCCTCTCATAGTCGATTACATCTTGTTTATGACTGCGGATGTTACGGTGACGCCGAATAAGAACGAGATCCGGGACTACAAATACGTGGACAAGGCTGAGCTACAGGCGATGTTCAATGACTCATGTGCGTATCTTGCTTGCGATGTGTTGGATGCGAGCTTACTCGGCACGCGCAGCAAATTCTTTTACACCTTGGTTCAAGCTGATTGCTCGCGACTTTTTGTTTGGGTGGTGGGATACTCTTGTAGAGCGCCAGGGCTTTGATGGTCGTGTCTACGCAAAGACTCTAACAGGCGTCGCTGACGGTTCCAAGGTTGTCAAGATGTGATACGTGTTCTGATGTCGGTAGATGTAGTGCAAAAGCAATTCTGTATTCAATAACTTTGTAAATTCTAAACTGGCTAGCTAGAGCATAGACACAATAATGGACCCCACTTCATAAATTCTAATCTGACTATACGATTCAACAAATTTATTCAAGTTCTGTTTGCCAAGCACCATACACAGTCAAGAGACTATGAAGTAGTTACTGAGCAAAGAGAGACCAGAAAAAAGAAACCCCCGACGACGCAGGCCGATAGTGCAGTGGCAAGGTCATCATGTCCTCCGAGTTGCAAGCAGAGCTCGAAGGAACAAGGGCGGCAAAAATTTGATAACCAAAGAATGAGGGCGGTGCCCTCATAATAGTGGTTAAACTATTAAGAACAGATACTACACTTGATCTAAGCCAAAAGGCCAGAGTGGTAAGGATCCAATATCATTCACAGCTCCCTTTTATATCTTCTGAATCAGCGCACGGACCAATTTTAATTTTACCATAACCGGTCAGGCTTAATCCAGAGTGCTCTAGGCTAGCTGGACAAGGCGAACGCGATAAGCAGTGGAGTTTAAGTGGACACACTCCTGAGGCCTGTATTACACACGCATGATCCGTACAAGTAACAGGATACACCGTCTGCATTATCCTTCCTGTGCTACAGCAGAATTAGAACTATAAATACATACGGTAGTCATACATCATGAGCATGTCGTTTCCAGTATCGTTACACCCCGTCGTTGGGGTAGCCAGTATGTGGACTCTGTCACAGATGATCTGCGTCGTGCGTCGGCGCGTTCGACCACCTCTTAGTGATCAATATTCGGACCAGCACGTGAACCCGCACGCGAATTGGCACGCGAACGCATCCTCGTCCCACGAAATATCCATATCTCCTTCTTATTCCCAAACCCAAGCATCCCTGTACGCGCAAGGGGAACAGTGGCTTCAAGCTTGTAGCCCATAGTACTGATCTCCTTTAGTGCAGATGCTGCAAACACGTCTTTGCTTAAATCAGGGGCTGGCACGAGACCACATCAGCAAGGAAAATTGCATGTGCAGAAAAAACAAACCCCCAATTGCATTCCTTTTGAGCTCAATTGTGTAGATCTCGTCTTCACTTGTTCGATCTCCAGCAATTTTGAATGGCCATGCAGCCCGAAGACGGGGACCAATCTGCTCGCCAACACGCCGCGGGGGACGGACAAGCGTCATCCTGTGTCCTGAGCGCGATATATGCGCAGCAAAGAAATCACAATGTTCATCGGGGCCGCTATCTTGAAATACCAGCTGAGGATACTAAACACACCATTAATAATGCTTCTACAACGCTCGGGTTAATTAAAGACATACGGAATAGCCCGTACTGAGAGAGGTACGGTACTGATAGCCGTTATGTGCGAGGCATGTAAATAGTTCGCATATCATTTTTTGTGCGCTGCATTTAATCAGCACGTGATACAGGATCAGTGATTGGATGATTGGACCTACATGACGCCGTCGCCCCCGCTCGCGCTCCAAGGATTCCTGTTAAAGAGGATCCGAAACGCGTGATTAACAGGGATTGCCGTGGATATGCCGTGTGGCCACATAGGAATAATGTTCTCCTTTATCTCTTCCATGGTATCTTGGAAAGCGACATTGCCCATACGGAGCTCGTTTGTGCCGTGAAAAGAAACAAACAAGTGTTCTGTGATGACGTATGGCGTGGGAGGAGTGATAATCATAGGTCAACTAGTAACTTACCTGGAAGATAGGACGGGTTAGAACTCATGCCATTAGCGCGTGTCATGGGCACGAGGCGCTGGCGTGCACTGGAACTTGTCCGAGTACGCTCGAGACCGGGTGGGGTGGCACTAGTCGTCTCTGAGCGACGAAGACCACCGTTCTTCTTCATCGCGGACTTGAGCTGGGCCTTCTCTGGGTTATATGAGGGCTTTGGACGTGTGGTACTAGCGCGCTTGACTCGTGGTGGGGGAGCTGGCTCAGAATTTGGCGGGATGAATGGCGTGTTAGGGTCCAGGTGGCCTTGTGAATATTGAGTGGCTTGATAATTTTCGCGAGGCCATGGTGGAGAACTGTACGGATCAGATGTAGGAAATGGTTGTTGTCGCTGCTGTTGATGCTGATAGCCAGGAGGGTAATATGTATGGTATGGCTGACCATAGTAAGGGAAGTTAGACTGCGGGTAAGCTGAATGCATTGGTGGTCAGGGAAAGAGATAGGAAAGATGGCCGTACACTAGTTAGTCGAGATCATAAAACGGCCTCGTGCACGTGTTAGCTGAAGACAGCAGACATGAGGATTCCCATTCTAGGCCGCGGAGAATTCTTTGGGCGTTACTCGCATAAAGTTCATGACATCGGTCCGCTTTCGGCCCTATTGATCACGTGAAGGTTTTTATATCTCTTGCTTCCGACTCACTCGGAAGTTCTCTTCACAAACGCCCAAGTCACACCAGGGCAGCGATGGCATCAACATTCTTTACATGGGTCAGATCTCCTGCTGCTCGCGAGTACTTCTTCAGTATGTTTCTCTTCAGTTATCATTTGCTTGAAACATGTTTCATCATATTCTTCACAGGTACACACTTCTGGGGACCAGTCAGTCATTTCAACTTTCACGAGTCACACAACTCACTCATTCCAGGTCGCAAACTGGGGTCTTCCCCTTGCTGCCCTCGCTGACCTTAGCAAAGATGAAGAGGTCATCTCAGGCACCATGACCACTGCACTTGCTACCTACTCGTAGGTCCCATTTCACTCTCACGCAGCTGCCTGCTGAACCCACGTAACTAGAATGGTTTTCATGCGCTTCGGTGCGTTCTGCGACGACGCTATAAAGCGCGTTTCTGACCTTTCGTTATAGCCTGGAGAGTACAACCCCGGAATTACCTGCTCTTTGCCTGTCACTTGACAAACGCAACAGCACAGTCAATCCAGGAAGCCCGCTTCGTGAACTACTGGTATTACGGTGGCCGTGAGAAGAAGTTTGGTCTTGACAAGGGTCCAGTCACACAAGCCATCGAGGAATCACAAGCAGAGGCAAAGAAGGTTGCAGACACATAATAATAATATCCCTCTATGCAACGCTGGCATACGCTGCGCCTTTGACTAATCGATGTCTGAAGTGAGCATCTAGATACTGATACGTAATTTTCACCAAAATCCGTCATCCCCATCACCTTTGCTTTTCTTCCCACCCTTGCTCTGCGCAAGCACCTGTCGTTCATACATCTCAGAGATCTGAACAATCATAAGTACCTGCCATCTCATTGAATCTCAACATTCAGCGAAACACTCACTTGCTCGGGTCCAGTAGCATCATCTGCCGACTTGTCATCCCGTATTCGGATGAATCTCGGAAACCGCAACGAGATCCCGCGTTCCTCTACCAAGCCCTGTGCCGCTGTATATACCGGGCTCAAACTCAGATCTGCCGCAAGCACCTCCCACACGATCTTTGGCTCAAACCACACATCAGGTTTCGCTCCACCAGGTTTGATGTCCCCACGTGGTTTTGTGATCTCAAGCGGTCGCAGAGTGTCCCAGTGCGTCTGCAGCATCTCTTCGCTGAACCCGGTGCCGATCTTGCAGATCGTCTGATACTCTTCGGCATCGGCGTCGAAGCAGGCTAGGAGGAAAGCTCCGTAAACTTTCGTACGCTTGCCTTTGCCGTAGTATCCCCCAACGACGACGAGGTCCAGAGAATCACCAACGCCAGCGAGGTAGTCTTTCTTGAGCTGTGTATGATTGATCAATATCAGTTGGATTTCGACGGAGCAAAAGCACCTTGAGCCAGTTGACGCTCCGCCTACTGGGTTCATAGTAACTTGCGTCTGACTCAAGCATCTTGACCATAAGTCCTTCGCAGCCGTCCTTCACACTCTCTTCGAGGAATGCCTGGATCTCATCTGTTGTCGATCCGTCTGAAGCCTTGGCAAAATCGAACTCTCCAGGCACGATCTGGAAGTGCTCCCTCAACAACTCTCGACGTTCGCTGAGTGATTTTTGGAGAAGTGGCTACTCGCACGTCGATCAGCGCAATACCCTAATATCGTCGAGGATGGGTAACAAACCTCGCCATTGAGATAAATAAGGTCGAATGCGAAAAGGCAGACTTTGACCTGGATATCTTCGACCTTTACGTCCTTGCGCTTTCGCTTGCTCAGCTCTTGGAAGGGCATAAGCTTGCCTGAGGTCTTGTCAATCGCAACGGCCTCGGCATCAAGCACGAATGACTTTGTCTTCTCCATGATGCACTGTCTTTCCATCAGCCCAATTTGCACAGGCAAGGCTATATAGATCATCACCTACCCTCGGCAGCTGCTCCACTAAATCTGGGTACTTGGCCTTCATATCCTCTGAATTTCTACTAAAGACGCTGACGCTGCCATCCTCCAGCATGTGTACCTGGGCGCGTTCTCCATCGTACTTGTACTCACACGTGAACTGCCGCCCCTCGAAACGGTCCAGTACTTCGCCGATCGCTTTTGTTGGCTTAGCGAGCATTGGCTTGAGTGGAACCCCGGGTGTGAGCTTGCAATGAGTGCGCAAGCGTGATAGACCATGCGTGAGCAGCGCGGGGATCACAAGTTCATATGTAGGGAGCTCGCTGGAAGATGTGTCAATGAGCGTAGATGGGCGAGGCGAGGGGGACCGACCTGTACACAGATTTCATGATACTAGCACCCTCTTCGAGGCGAGATGACAGTTTCTCTTTGCTCCATCGCTTTCCGGCTTGTAGACGATGAATCAGCTTCATTAGCGAGGTTTGAAAAATACACACCATGTTCTTTAGCCAGAACAGCAGCATGTGCGAGGGCCACGAGAACCGTACGCTCAGCATTACCGATCCGGAGCTTGCCTTCCAGGCTGCGCACAATGTACTTCGCCTCGAAATCCTGGCATGCGGCGAGGAGCTTTGTAATGATCGATACCTTCTTTGCCTGGGACTATATCAGGGGGAGAATGGTGCTAAGTATTGAAGAACTTGGAGAAGCATGAAGAACAAACAGAATGTCCAGATGACAGCGCGATCTCCCGCAAGTTTGAGAAGACAAAAGGAACTGTAAGCGGCTTGGGTTTGAAGAGCGTCTTCTGACTGTTTTTAGAGTTCTACAAACGAAGTGAGCCCGCGCGGTCGGGGTTAAGACAAGTAACAGCAGAGCACCATTGCCACGAGCCCGAGATCACCTTCTTTCTTGAGGTCTGCTTTAATTGTTGCAAGACTCCGTCCTGTGGACTCGCTGATAGCTTTAATGAGCAGGCTCTCGCCGATACCCAGTTCGACACCAACATAATCTGGGCTCAGCTACGTCTCTTAGTACACAAGAGCAGAATAATTGAATAACAAAAAACTTACGCGGTTTATGCACAGGTATACAGACTGCAGGAGGGAGTTAGAATCATCCTTCTTGCTGCGTTGGATGACAAGAAGGAAGAACGAGGTGAGGAGAGCAGTCTTTTCGAGCCTCTTGGTGGTGGCTTCGATGAGTGAGAAAGTCTTCGTTAATGCAGCGTAGGGCACTCTACCAAGTCACTGTGTAAGGAAAATGTCAGAGATTGTAACACGACGTACGAGTCTCCGATTTTCCACCCGCCCTTGACGTCTACCTCTGCGACTCGCGATAGTGCTTCCTCAGCGCTGTGTATCCAAATTAACTTGGCCCATGTAAAGACCTGCTAGAGGAACCATACGTACGTTTGTGTTGCCGCATCTTCGTCGTCATCTGGCTCGCTTTCGTCAGGAATCTCATCCTCGCCCTCGTCGGCACTTGCTGAGGACTCGGCTAGTTGCTTTTCTACAGGCTCAGATTGGGGGACTGCTTTGGCTTTCCCTTTACTTTTGGAGGAAGGCTGTGGCGAGGAATGCCCATTTAAACTGGTGAGAGCGAGTGCAGTGGTCGTGGAGTCCTCGTCATCTGACTCGACCACACGTCTCCGTTTGGACTTTGAAGGCCCAGGTGATGCTAGAGTGTAGTTGATTCCAGCTTCGACTTGCAAGGCTGGGTTACACTTACCAGCGAGTTTTGGCGAGGTGACATCCTTCCGTTTGGTTTTGGACTTAGCCAGTGCTATTCCTCATTATAACCTGTCAGCTGTGAAGAGCGGAGAAGCACTCACGTGCTGGTGGTTCGTCGACCTCCATCTGATCTCCCTTTTCTGTTGGCTTTTTGCCATTTGAGACGGGCGATACTAAGAGTCCGCGAGGATTAAACTCTACAGTTTGAATAGTCCAAAATTCTCACTGATTTCAGACTTCACTGACGCGCCCGTCTTCAACTCATCCACCTTCCCGTTGACGATGACTTCTTCCGTCATACTCTCCTCATTCGTGTTGGACTTTCGCTTCTTCCCTCCCCACATTTCCGCCAGGTTTGATTGCTGCGGCGGCGCCGATTTGCTGTTCTTTGGCATTTCAAAGAATTTACCTAGAAAAGTGGTGGTATCGTAGGTAGTCAGAAAGAGAAGGACATTACGCTACATACCGAGTGTTTGTTGTCTTCCCATAAATCTTGTGTGAGCCGCGACGCGATAAAACGAGCGCGTGACAGACATACTAGACGCGCGTTACTTGTCGCGTCGACCCGTGTGAACCGGTTCATGCCCCTATTCCGCGGAGTCAATCAGAGATGGAATTGCTATTGGTACAATTAAAATAGCCAGCCGAGTGGTTACTGCACAGACCTATGTAAATAGGCCAGCTCGACCGAGATCCGGCAAGTACGACCTCGACCCATCACCTCGCCCCTGCAGTCACACGTTGCGCACGTTCAAAATTTGAGCCGAGTCCAGACAATACAGCACCACAGGGTCAATGTTTCTCCATACACGTGACGTTATTACTGTCGAATAGGAATTTGTTTTGCCAAAGAAAGGTGACCCCCCGGGAAAACACCTCTTTTGGGAAGTTGACCCCTGTAAAGTCTAGGGACACCCCAGTTATTTTGGCTCTCACGAATCCCTCCTCATTTCTCCATCAATTTTTCTCGCCCAGCCTCGTATAATTCATAGTAAACTGCATGATGAATTGGAATGGATTCTAGAACGTGTAAAACATTGGAGTGACTGAAGGGGTGGGAATATCAATGGTAATTGCCGGAATCTGTACAGTTTTAATTCTGTGGCTTCTTTCCCACGCAAGTAAGCACAGTGCGGGAAATTGAGCTCCTCATCGTCCTAATCATTCACCATGGCTGACCAGGTACGGGCTGCTACTTTGCTGAATCCACGCTCATTGCTTGACTTATCATCATTTTCAGATCGAGAAGGCGTACCAGAAGCAGCATTTATTCCAAAACGCCAAAGCCCGCGGTATGAGACTTTTAATCCGTGAAATCGGAGCAGGAACTCATGTGATTGCGATCGCTGTGGTAAAGGTGGCAAGAAGGTTGCGACCAAGGAAAAGCGGTGGTACAAGGATGTTGGTCTTGGATTCAAGACCCCTGCGGAGGCTATCCAAGGCACTTACATCGGTATGTCCTATACTTTTCACATGTGGTCTGCATGGTGCATTGTGATGTCTGTTTTCAGACAAGAAGTGCCCTTTTACCGGTAACGTCTCCATTCGTGGCCGTATCTTGACCGGAAAAGTTGTTTCAACCAAGATGACGCGGACAATTGTGATCCGCAGGGATTACCTCCACTACATTCCTAAATACAGTACGTTAGAAGACAGACTGATTGTTCATTCACACTTATCTTTATCTGACAGACCGTTACGAGAAGAGACACAAGAACATGGCCGTACATGTATCACCCGCTTTCCGTGTAGAGGTTGGTGATACTGTCACTATCGGTTAGTGTTCCTCTCAGTTGGTACTACTTGGAATTGATCGCAGGCAATGTAGGGCAATGTCGGCCACTGTCAAAAACTGTACGATTCAACGTCCTACGGGTGTCGAAGAGCAAGGCAGCAGCCAAAGCCTTCGGCAAGTTCTGAGAGTGCCATCGAGATTCTATTTACGCTGTTGACATTGCATGATTTCTACTACCCATTGCGCTATGCCCGCATGAAAAATTCATTGCTGCATTATGACAAGCATTTTTTTTAGAAGATCTGAGTGGCAAAGCACAGGAAAGTCGATAAACTAAGGACTGAAATACTAAGTATGTCCTTCGAGCGCTTGATTAACGGGACAGGAAGTAAACAATGGAACAAATAAGGACAGCAGTGCAAGTTGCCGCTAGAACGATTGACTGGTCCTCGTTGGAGAGGACTCGGCTCAACTTAGTTCCTGTCTTCTTCGACTTTACAAGCTGGCTCCAACACTTCTTTCTGTCTTAACTTCCAAGTTAACTTCAAGGTCGCGCTCTCGGTCTTCAGCATCACAGCGAGGCTCGCCCTCGCGCGAATCACAGGTTTCACCACCAATGGGCCAACAGCAATCTAAAAAGACAAAGAAGGGAGGAAAGGAGAAGGACGTGGACCATGTGCACGACGATTCTATAGAAGAATCGAATGGTCAAATTCTTCATGGCAGTTTGTCTCGCGCAACAGGGAGTCATCCCAACCACTCCCAAAGTGTTGCCCACGAGTATGATGCAGTCCGAAATAGTGCACCCTCGCTTAATGTACCTAGTTCCGGAGAGTCCAATGGAAGCACCTCAAAACCACCAGGCTCACCAGGTGGTTCACCGGCTATCTTCAGTTCTTCCCCGAACAACCTTTCTACTCCCTCCCTACTCGCACCAACTTCGGCGCCACAACCCTCCACTTTATCAACAAAACCCTCTCCCGCTCCACTCGACATTCCACTCACCCAGACAATCCTCTCAACTTCTATGCCGTCGTCATCCTTCACGCCGGGTTCAACGGCTAGTAGCTTTCCCTTGAGTGACTCTGCGGGAGGAAAGGTTGGACAGCTCGACATCGACGGTATGATCCAACGCCTTCTTGACGTGGGATATACTGGTAAAGTCAGTAAATCTCTGTGTCTGAAAAACACGGAGATTGCTGCTATTTGCCAAGCGGCGCGCGAGGTATTCCTCAGCCAGCCAACCCTCATCGAGTTGTCACCACCAGTAAAGATCGTCGGCGACGTGCATGGGCAATATTCAGATCTCATCCGCCTTTTCGAGATGTGCGGTTTCCCTCCAGCCGCCAACTACCTATTTCTGGGTGACTATGTCGATCGCGGGAAACAGAGTTTGGAGACAATCTTACTGCTCTTGTGCTACAAGATAAAGTACCCAGAGAACTTCTTCCTCTTGCGTGGCAATCATGAATGTGCGAATGTCACAAGAGGTCAGTTGCTTGGCGCCTTCTGTCATGTGGTGGTATTCTGACATTTTCCAGTGTACGGCTTCTATGACGAGTGCAAAAGACGATGTAACATAAAGACATGGAAAACATTCATAGACGTCTTCAATTGCCTGCCCATTGCAGCTATTGTCGCCTCCAAGATATTCTGCGTACACGGCGGGCTATCACCTTCGCTTCACTCCATGGAAGATATCAAACGCATACAAAGACCGACCGACGTGCCGGACTACGGGCTGCTAAACGATTTGCTATGGTCCGATCCTTCTGATACAGCATTGGATTGGGAGGATAACGAGAGGGGGGTGAGCTACTGTTTTGGGAAAGGGATCATCAATGACTTCCTGGTACGGTATGACATGGACCTGATATGCAGGGCTCATATGGTCGTTGAGGACGGGTATGAGTTCTGGAATGACCGGACACTGGTGACGGTTTTCAGTGCTCCAAATTATTGTGGAGGTCAGCATAACTCTTATCTTTCTGTTCGTCCAGGGCTGAAGTGATGTTCTAGAATTCGACAATTACGGTGCTTGTATGAGGTAATTTCCGTCTGTCGGCATCTGGGGCTCCAATTGATTTGTATTGTTTCAGTGTCTCAGAGGACCTTCTGTGCGCTTTCGAGCTCCTCAAACCTCTGGACGGGCCGGCGCTCCGGAAAGAGATGACGAAGGCTAAACGGAAGAGGTGGGTTATCTCACTCATTCAATATCGCGTATTCACCTCCACGCGTGCCTAGTCTAATGGCGACTGCAACGTGATCATGACATGACATGCGTAGAACACCAGTGTCACAGGGTCAAGGGTGTGGGTAACCTGTTAATGAACACTGTATATCTTTGGTGTCGCTATGTATTGAGGCGCAGACACTCGCTGAGATGCCCATGCCACCCTCTCACTACAAATATCACACTACCCCTACCTCTACATCATTCCGTCTAGTCCTGATCTGTTCATTTTGATATCCGAGCGATTTGCCTCACGCGAACACACTCCTTCCTGCCGTACTTCGCACCTCTACCCCTTGCCCTCCTATCTCTCCCTACCCTTTCTTCCGTTTCACATTGTCTCGCTCTTCAGCTTTCTCCTTTTGGGCCTATTTAAGACGTCGCATATTTCTTTGTGTTTGTGCTATATAATGACATTGCAGCTGAAAATGCTGGCTGCAGTTCTCAGCTGATCAGGAGTTATCACGTTTCATCTCGCCACTTACTAGTATGATGTGTTGACAGGTTGTATATATCCTTCCATAGAATACTAAGGTACACGTGTTCTCCTTGAAAATGTGCTTCCTATTTGGCCATTTTGAAGGGTCAGATAGCTGACATGGATGGACATCTCATGACACAACAGATCCAATTGAGTGTGACTGGGACCAATGGGACATATCCAAGTGAACGGTGATGAAAGGGAAAGGCACCCTTGACAAAGAGCATTCAGCTGGAGAGGATGCTTCTTACGCACTGTGACCTGCAAACAGTGTTCCCCGAATGATGCAAAGGCACGACTCTAAGATTGCTTAGTATCAACCAACTTAGTCAAGACTGTCGGCTGCTCAACTGTTATGCAAGGCCCTAATACTGAAAGCTCGTGTTTCAATATTGTAGACAGCATTTATATAAATTATGGGAACTCTAGCAAGCAAGCCAGTGTGCTTACAATCTACCTTCAGCTCTAGAACATATCATAAGCAAGCACCGCGAAAGCCCCTACAATCATGCCTGCTCCCAATAGCCCCCAGGCAGTCAACCCGACAGAGCCTAACATTAGATCCGAGATGAGTGTGAGGACGATTGTAAGTAGACTCCCAACGGAAGTAACAATCGGGCCCCAGACTCCCAACAAAATCTAAAAGTGTTGATTAGATAGAGAGCGTGTTGTGCATTTATCATACACACCATGAAGCCTGCATTAAATATAACACCCGTTATACAGATTCCTGCAATTGCAACGAAGGTCACCATGTCGGATGGAAGCGCAAACTCTTCAATGCCGTAATAATGCAACACAGTCAAGGGTACCCAAAGCACGAACAAAGTGCACACGCCCATAGATGCGGTGAGAAAATTGGGATGAAGGCCAAATGGAAGAGCATATGTGACTTGATTACTGGCGAGGAGTGGTAAAGATAATATCTCCTCATCGCCAGCTGCTGATACTGGGATATGGGAATATTGTGTAGGCTCTGCAGCTGGCTCTAGGTCTGATGGCAGTGCTGCATACTTCTTGTAAAGAACTTGATACAGACTGTATATCACAGATGCAACCAGAGTTAAAATGTCGCCAAATAAAGGAGCGGAAGTTTGGGCGACAATCGTACGGCGAACCACAGGCGCGGTTGTACTTGACGGTGTGCTGTCGCCATATACGATGGTGAGCACTCCGACAGTGGCGAGGCAAACTGCACACATTCGAATAAGACTCCATTTCAGGTTCAGCAACTTGACACTGAAGACATAAGCGAAGAAGGCATTAGCATTCCAGATGGCCGTCACATCAGTGACGCTGCAGGATGCTTAAGATCAGAAGTGTGAAAAGCAATTAGCAACATACGGAGCATATACGACAGCAATAAACCACAATAGGGCAGGTATACTGTAGATGGCGGTCATGACTAGAATTACGACCAGAAATCGTGACAGAGGAAATGGTGAAGAGTGAACGATTCTTGGATCTTGTAATGTCAACTGAGCGGTGATAATGCTGGACAGGCCAGACATCATAGTACGAGGAGAATGGTGGGTTGTCAGGAGGAGATAGCCTAGGTGCAATGGAAAGGAGAGCGCAAATGATGAATGCGCGACATAACTGCGAACTCTGAGTTCGCATCGGCATACCGCGGGGTCATTTGTCTACTCACAATAGGAAGAATGAGTGTTGATAACCCAATGTTGTTTGAACATACTAATTCGATAAGTCAGTAATCAATCGATCTTAAGTAGCTGAACTGAAGCTAATCACCTGTGTGAGTTGGGTCTCTCCAACAAAAGCAAAAATCATTGCAACGAATGTTACCAGCGCAGTCTTTCCACCTAGACGTGACGTAACGGGGCTTTCTCTCTCGCACTGCGCCATGATGATAAGGTAAGGCAGAAGTACAGAGATTCAGGAACTTGTCAAAAAAGCGAAGAGATAAATGTCCCGAATAATGGGACCTTCTCACTGTTCCATCTCGCGAATAGAACTTGGAAGTGCTTATAAGTCAGCGATATCCACGCTTGCGAATTTGACGCCGAGCCGTAAGTTACTGCAAAGTCTGCACAACACGCTGGTAACTGAGAGAAGGGGGTAAAATATCTAGCACGTGACCACAGCGTCGTTCCTCACGAAACTTTCTTGACTTGTTTCTGGCCTGTGTTTCACCATCATGTTGAGAGCTTTGCTAGCCTCAAGCAGGCCATTGTTAGCGCGTTTGCGCATCCCTACTCTTCCTCACATACACAAATTCACACCTGCGATTTCATCACCCACGAATGCAATACCGTCCACGGCGCGTGGAATGAAAGTGAGGTCATCTGTGAAGGTTATGTGTGACGGGTGCAGCGTTGTGAAGCGAAAAGGCAGAGTGTATGTCGTGTGTTCGAAAAACCCAAAACACAAGCAGGTGTGTAATTGATCCTATCCTCGTCCCGACCCTGATTGACTGTCGTATAGCGTCAAGGATAATCATTGTCGAGACTGCGTTTTTGACACGCCAAAATCGTTTTGGTAGAGCGCATGTAGGGGAAGAGGGATCGTTTTTGTCGATATAATACACAGCTTTCGAAATATTCTACCACCAATGTTATTGACGAAGCCACATCTGGAACTCGTAGCTAACTCCCTTTTCCTCCTGGACCCCTGCTGGCACGTCGAATCCCGTCCATTGCACGAGTTCATCATGAGTTGCCTGCTTCCATTCCGTTTCCCCTTCCTCGCTTGCTCCCGAGAAGTCTGGTATAAAAACGTCACATTGAGGAAAATCAGGTGCAAGGATCCGTGTCAAGAGGACACGGTCAGCGATGCAAGGCGTCGGACTCGAAGATATAGGGTTTAGTGTCTCTGAGATCAAGGATACTCCACCGATAATAAATCGGCGGTGTATGTCGGCCTGAGATGCCAACTCAACTGCCAGAGTCAAGTTCGAGCAAAGGTGGACTGGAGTTGACGGGTTGGAGGATGTCCTGGTTGTCGCTCTATCAATAAGATGTCGAAAAAAGATAGAGAGAAAGTCGTACAGTTCGTAGTCCTCGTTGTGACTGATGACTACATTGAGGCGTTTAGAGAGAGGCCTGAAATTGGCTGGTATGCTCTCCCATGTCTTCCGCCCCATGATGACCGCGTTCCTCCGTCCTTCAGGCGCGGTGGACGTGACTCGAGCAAAATAGGCCATCTCTTTCGACAGCCGCCATGGAAGTCCACCATGTTGGCCGATACCATTTGATTTCGTGGCGGCAACGATGATCGTAAGACGTGACATGGTCTCCAGTAGGGAAGACAACGAACCCCGGCCAGTACCGTTGTAAGTAATTACTAGTAAAGGTTCTGCCAATACCTACATATATCACAACCAAATATCATACGCGGCAAGTACTCTTTCAATCAACTTTCAATTTTCGCTTGTTTTCATGATCCCTCTCAGGCTATCATGATGCCATCAGGGTTTTATTCATGCACAAGTAGCCGCGGCAGTGGGAGGTCTCATGGCCTCACTATCCAATCTAACTCTGAATGTTGTAACCTCACATAGGCCACATTAAACTTCCTTCTGACAGGATAGAAATATGCATTTTAAATGATATGCTGACAAGACCCTGATACTTTCGATGAGAGACAAGATTGATCCACTTTGAAAGCGTCGATAACATGCGGTGTAACTGATAATACAAGCCTATGATCAAGTTCAATTCCACTTCTTCCACTCACTACCTGTCGGAGGCTTCACTTCGACGGTACCCTTGCTCACTTCCTCCCAGTTTGTGCTAAGGGTAGTTCCTCCACTCTCCTGGAAGCTTTTCATCATTGCGCGTTTGGCGTCATCATCTGCATCTCCGAAGATCTTTTGGAAGAAGGAGTTGACCGTACTGTCACCGCCAACGTTGGGGTCCTCATCTGTAGTCGCCTCCTTTTCAGATGTGAGAATTTTGGTGGTAAGTTCCTCCCAGTTCTTCTTGGGCTTAGCCCTTGCCTCAGCCACTGCCGGAGAAGTAGTTGGTCCAATAGGGGCAGTCTGGAGAGCTAGTGAGCATTAGTACGCATTGAAGAATCTGGGCTATATGGAAGACACGAACGATCAGGAGCGTCACCAGTGATACCTCCCCAGCGGCCTTGAGCCATTTTCACAAGGCGAATTTCGACCTTGACTTTGCCGACCGTGAAATCGCACCTCTCTGGATCAATCCGTCCTTTCAACGGCTCTAAGGATAGCGTCTTCTCGCCATTTGCGTAGCTAACCTATAACTTCTTTGAGGACTGTGTCTCCCAGAATCAGTGAGGTTGCTCACCTTGTTTGGCTCAAACGTAAGGGATACCTGTGCAAGATCAGCCCCTCGGTCAAAGATGGAGATCGTCAGTTTTTCGTCTGTCTCATAGAATTCGTGTCTTTATGACATTAGACGAATGTGAAGCGCTAGTGATGTTGGTCTGACCTTAAGGATGCCATGGTTGGGGCGAAGACGCAAGAAATGATGCCTAAAGTGATGAAGTTACGCGACTCAATGAATGCAGAACTTTCCAGTACAAAAGGATCACGTGAACTGTCATGAGGGACAAAAGACTGAGACTTGACAATTCAAGAATCTGAACCACGCATCGATCGACTTGCAATGATGTTTCGAAGATCCTAGAAAAATATATGGAGTCACCCATGTGGATAGCACTTCTGCGATCAAACAGATGATGCATCGACGATGAATGTTTCGTGCACTCGATGTGTGCCGACCCTAACTGGAAATCAAAAGAAGGACAAACAGGTGGGGTCCAGACGTCATTTCCCTGACTGCTGTCAGGCAACAGCCTATGATGACCATGTCGTCCGCAATACCTAAGGCCGTATTGTACTACAACCCACAATCTGTGTGGTCTTCTGCGGGTAAGTATCGGTCTTTACATTCATGATCAGTGTTGTTGTGTTCTTACTTCAATATATTACTAGTACTTCTTGCACTGTGAGGTCATCGCGAAATAACGTATCCTGCTATTGATTTGCGATTTATCCGCAGGAACGAGAAAGGATACGGAGAGGATGAAGTTGATCTCAGGGTTGTCGACATTAGTACGTCTTGAGTGCATCGAAGTGGCTTGAGCATTGGCCAACGTACTATGCTTGCCATCAGACAAAGGAGAAGAATTTTCCCCAACCTTCCTCAGGCTGAGCCCCAAAGGTGAGATTGGGCACTTTCTGTTTTACAGATCATTGACCACCCCTCAGCAATGGTGCCAACTCTTGTTGCACCCCTCCGCGGCTCTCTCGCATCTGATGTTGCAAGCCGCTTCAAAGCTATCTCTGACACGAAAGTCAGCTGGCCTTCGTTTTTCCAATTTCCTTTCTGCTAACGGAAAGAGCAGGCACTGATCGAGTTCCTGGACAAATCTCGGTCCGCATCATCTCACACGCACACTACATCGAGCGCTCCAGCCCCATCGTTGTCCCCTGCGACGGTTGCATTCGCCACTGCATCCAGCAAGATTATTGATTCTATTCAGGCTGATGAGGTCTCTCCCGATCATTTGCAGTACTTGAATGCCCGCGATCAAGCCTCACTTCAAGAACTTGGAAAGTCTCTGGTCCCTATTCTTGAATCTAGACGAGCGGCAATCGTGGAATATCTCACCGAATGTGAACATGAAACCATACGGATGTCTGAAAAGACCAAGGCATTCTGGCGAGAGAAACAAGCGGAGGTGGACACGGCACTGAGCGTGTTTAGTGGGAATGATATTGACGGATACTTATCACGCTCCAGGAATACGTGGGAAATCACAATTCCAGGTGTCCTCACTCGAGTGAACGAGGAGTTCATTGGGCCCTACGCGTTAGGTTCGTCAAGAAGCTACTTTGCCCGGCTCATGATAACATAACGTGAATATAGGCGATCAGGTCTCTATCGCAGATATTCACTTAAGCGCTTGGCTCTCTCACCTTGTCAGACTGGCTGGCGGAAGTCCTTCTGATAATGGAGATGTTGCTATAAAAAGGGTGGAAAAACATATTGGAAATGGATTTGTCTTTCCCGAGGACTTCTTGCCTTCGGCTTTTAGCCCATTCACGGAAGAGAAAGCAGTCGCGAGGAGCAAGCTAGCAGCATTTTGGGATGCAATGAAATCACGGTCCAGCTGGAAGAAAGTTTATGCCTCATGACACATTCGATTTGTATACATACTGGATGATATCAGTTCACGCTCAATGATCTCTACTTGGCGACCAATGAAGCTTGAAGTCTCAACCAATTAGCTCGCACAAGTTTGATCGCAGCTGGGGTGGCAGTGTTCCTGCCACACCTACTTAGTATCATACCCGACTCAGGACTGTTTACTTTTAACTTTACTTAAGGACGCTCATATCATTTCATACCAAGAAAAAACCAACGCGGGAAGTAACACAACGCTAGCGTCCGACGGGGAATTCTAGCCATCGTGTTATCAACGTTACACTTTGTTAATTTCGCAGGCCGTCATTTCCTGAGGCTTGGCTTACACGCTCTTTTTCAATGCCATGCCGGGCATTGTGGATTTCTCTGACTCTTCCCAGTCATTTCGAGCATCAACCAATGAAGAGCACCGCGACATTCTCTTGGGAATTGATTATAGGGAGAGTCGTCCGTCTAACCCTCCCTTATCCGAGCGCTATCCCTTCATGGACACTGGATACTCTGATGTAATGCCTGAAAGGTCGTCTTCGGATTCTTCGTCATCTACAACACCCACGCCGTCTCGCGCTTCTTCCCCTCTACCATTTTCTCTCCATTCTGCGTCTTCATCAGAAACCGAGTCCAACTCACCTCTACTCGGCCTCGGAAGATACACTTCTCCGGGAGAGAGCCGCTGGATTTGGCGTAATCTAGGATCAAGTTCTCCAAGGAGGCGTAAACGAGATGGAAGAAGGTGGAGAACCTTCAAGGGTATTTTGAGACGTATTGTTAGACACCCGCTATTCCCTCGTCAACCGCTAACCATTGTATGTTTTTCTTTTTGCATCTGCACTTCGTTCCATGTCTGACAATTCGATAAGATACTTGCGCTCCTAGTGTTCACCGTCTTCGCTATTTCTCTCACATTAATTTTGCTCTATGTCCTGAACCCCGACAAGGAAGCTCTACCTTGGAGGGCATATTGCACCATCCCGCCAACAACTTCTGTTCCTCCGCATTATCGTGACACATTGCCATATCCTTACATCAACTCCCTTCCCAAAGTGATGCCACCATCGTTTCCACCGGATGATCTCGATGCACTGCCCCCCGCAGGACTGTTCTTAGCCGTCTTCTCGATGGATTCGTCATTAGAGCGTAGAATGTTGATTAGAACAACGTGGGCAGCACATCCTCGTAGTCGTAATGGTGCAGGAGAAGGAGACGGCGGAATGGGCACCTCGAGAACTGTGGTGCGTTTTGTTCTCGGACAGCCCCGCAAAGGATGGGAAAGACGTATTCAATCAGAGATGGAAAGTAAGTGTATATCGTATTGGTCCGTTGCATTACCGTTCTGACGCATGCTCTTACGTAGTGTACAACGATATGATAATCTTGCCCTGCTCAGAAAACATGAATTCCGGCAAATCGCATGCCTACTTCACGTGGGCAGCATCGAATGCTTGGGTTCCGCCAGTCTACTTCAATACCACGCATCCTGTATCGGAGTTTTCTTACTCGAATCAATATACCCCTGCCCCCCGTCTTGCCCCCCATGATCCCTACTTCGCTTGGAAAGACAGTGCCTCGGGTCATCCAAGCCCTTGGGTGCGGCCCGATTATGTGGCTAAAGTCGATGACGATGCTTTCGTTATGTTGGCCGAGCTCGAGGCACGTATGAGGCTAGAGCTGTATGCTACAGGGCAGAGGCCATACGGCATGCCCTACATTTCGCCAGTCTCGGCATCCTTTAGAGTAGAGGCATCAAAGATGGAACCGCCGACCAGTGCTCCTGCCAATGCCTCTACATCATTAATGGTTGAACAGGAGATGCCGCGCGACGAATCAGCGAATGACCCACTGGTTTACTGGGGCTATCTTGTTAAAGAACAGTTTATGGCTGGTGAATTGTATGGCTTGAGCTGGAGTCTTGTCGATTGGGTTTCCAAGGATCCAATCGTCAAAGGTCTTACTAGAGGCGCGGAGGACAAGCAGACGGCCAAATGGATGGGACTGCATCCACGTGCAGCGGAGATTCGTTGGTCAAGCGACCATTGCTGGATATATGATCATCCCCGGTCAGGGACTGTGTGAGTCAACTCCCCCGCCCATTTAACATTCTTGTGCTCATCTTCTTATAGATATTCCCATGGCTTCCTGTTTCCTTCTGAAGTCTCTCGCGTTAAGAAATCTGTCTTAGCATTTCTCGACAAAGTGTCCCGTAATTCATCGACCGGGACGACTGTTGTGACTTCTCCGACGCTTTTATCTTTGTCACACTCAAGTGTTTCGGCATTCGGCACCCGGTATCAGCAGCCCTTACAAGAAATGGACTTGGCTCATAGTGTTGAGGCACTAGTTGAAGGCAGCAATATGTCCGAGCTGCAGGAAGGTGCGGTATCAATTGTCCTCAATAAGCGTGTGTTAAATGTTAGTCGCTGCAGGGAAGTCTATGAGCCCGGAGAGAGCATGGCGTACCCGTGAGGGACGTATCACGCGGTACGAAAACAAGCGTGTTGGTGGAACTGTCGTAGTGCACTTCATCAAAAAGCACATGTGGTTCTTAGAGACTGCGCTCGCTTTCTTGGAAGGTGACAATTTTTCTGAAGCTGAACTCGAGAGTCTCGATGCGGACGAGAGCAGGCTCAACGTGAGCTTGGCGTCAGTATGGACAGACAGTTCGGTTTTCAAGCCGATAAATGCAAGTGCTGCGTTGTGATGGCTATATGTGTGATATGTGGACTGTTTTAGCAGACCCCTTGCTTGTATTTATCTTTTGGGGACGCCCGGGACCATCATATACCACTGCTGGGAGACTACTTGACACCTTTACCACTTGAACGTAAATTTTATTGCATACAATATTATCAAGAAGATAGAAATGGTGATAAGTGTGCATTGGGGATTCCCTTTCACTCCTCGAGGGTGTTCAATACCCATCCAACGCCAATGTTTGATGCGCAGGGTGATCATCAGGCATTGTCAAGGGTTGTCTGTCCTGCAGCCTGTTTTGCACCGCTCTTCTAATAGTTCCCTCCCATTGCCTAAACCACTCTCCTTCTCGCATGCCAACGACTTTCGTCCGTCGGCCCGGAGGGTTGGCGAGGGAAGATCCCTGGGCGGTGGCATCCACGGTCTCAAACACATCACGGAAAGGGCTCTCCGCATGCACATCGGGAGCAAATTGCTTTGCAGTTTGTTCGACACGCTTCAGCGCATATGCGCCGCCGCAGACATCCCAGCGCCCACCACCGCGTGAGTGGAAACGTTTGAATAGCCATATAAACGGGTATATGAAGGTAAGAAAGAGCAAAAATTTGATCCAGCGGTTTGAAAGAGCGCGGGAAAGGCGGTTGTGTGACCGGACAGATATGACATTTTGGGATGTTTCGAACTGGACGGATAAGTCACCCCGATAGTGGGTAGAATTGATGGTGGAAATAGTAGCAACCCTTATGGCCTCAAAATTCCAACCGTAAGCAATCTGTGGATCGAGGATGAGAGCTATGCGAATGAGGTCGCTGATATATCTACTGACCTTGTTATAATTAAATTCTTTCAAGTACTTGCGGCTGGCACAATAGTCGTCTGCCCACTGGCGTAATGTCCACGATGACCTGAGAACACCGTTAGTTTGCGTGGCATATGATTGGTCCTCTCTCCATGCGTAGTCACTACCGATCCACGGAGGGAACCCCCTGCGAGTGCGCTCAGTGTCCCACGCCTTTGCTGCCTTTCTTTCCGACTTCCGTGCCTTCCGTTTCTCCTCAGAGATGCCCACTTCTTGATACATACGCCCCCTATATGCAGGGGTGGAATCGGCATATGACCAGTGGGTTGGCTCTCCGAAAATATACTGTCCGACGTCTATGCAAAAGTCGAAGTCTGTTATGCTTTCGGTATACTGCTCCGTCTTCATCCTGTTATGTCCATTGTGATGCGAGTGGACCATCCGCGTGTGAGTCTCCTTATGTGACCCTTGGCAACGCAAGATGACGGTGGGTGGCGTTGAGGCCTGTGAGAGCAAGAAACGGTATAGGGCTTCGCCTGAGAGAATTGAGAACGGTTAAGGTGTCAGAGATCGGAGGGCTACGTACCATCATCGTTGAGATGAGAATCATGAGAGATGATGTCACCAGACCGTGAAGCAAAGAACTGGGCGTCGTAAGGGGCAAAGGCAGGCGGTTCCGCACCGTCTTCCTGCTCAAAATTCAAATCGTCGTTCTGAGGTAAATGCAGAACTTGGTCTGCAACACTTTCTTCGAATGTTGGAGGAGGCTGCTGCAAAGATGATGATGCAACCAAAGGGTTGCTGCCTCCGACAGAATCCTGCTTGAATTTGACTGAATCTTCTGCGTCTATAATGAGCATGTCGTAGTCGTCGTAGTCGTCGTCAAAAGCGTAGCCGTGTGGCTAGAACAAGTCTGCATTTTGACAGGCCTGGGCCCGAGTGTAAACGTTGATAGTAAATATTGCACAGCTTGGAGTACATAGCGGTGTTACGTAACGTCATACTTAACGACGGTGTGTGTAAAATGAATCTGCCGCGCTCCAGGAGGTTAACCCTTACAAGGTGTGTCGCCGTCAGGTTTCCGTCCCAGCGCTGACCTTTGTTTACTTGTTATCAGCTTCTATCTGGTTGCACGCGATGATCCTAGAAGCTTCGTCTATTAAGCCACGTCTTTGAGGTCGGCCCTGCAGTGTGAGTCTCGTTCCTAAAAGTTGTCTTCTTCATATTTTCTTCATTTTACTTGTGTGGCAAGAATTCTGCAATTTTTGCCTTTGTTCCTAGAGTCTTGTCAGGAACCTTGTATGATCAGTTCCTGTAGGAAAGACACTCAGGTCTTGATTGGGGTCTTATTGTTTTTCTAATACCATTTCCTGCTAGGCTGAGCCTGCTGCGGCGTTTAGCTTGCAGTGGTGCACGTCTCCCTTGTCATCCATCGTGCACCATTTTTTGTTCGTTCTCCTCCAAACATTGTTTCTGATAAATCATCTCCTTGTTTCACCCCGGTCCGTATTCACAATCTGCCGACGACACGCCTTGAACAAAATACGACATTAACGCCATATCCCACCCCTGTACTTGGACTCTTCCACCAACTGCACTGCGCTCATTCGCTACGCCCACAACTTTTGCCACCTGTGTCACATCTACATTTGGCTCACTTACATCATATGTCTGTTGTGTCTCCATCCGTGACTTCTATAACGTCAATGTCTTCGGATACTTCTTCCTCGTAAGTTTCTCGGCTATCATCCAGGCCCTGTTCCTTGACCCATTGCGCAGTGTCGCGCCCACAACCGCAGCACCCAGCAGTGTGCCACCATCGACCAGTGATTCTTTATTGCCCACAAGTTCTTCTACGCGCCTGACGACGAGCTCCATCTCGTCCTTGACGTCTACTATGTCTTCCGGTATCGCATCATCGACAACCCCCGCATCATCGCAGTCCCCGATCAGTGCAGATACAAGCACAGTCGCAACGACAACGTCTTCTTCGGCAACTAGTCAATCGACGACGACGACAAGTAGTACCACCAGCTCATCACAAACGACTTCCTCATCACTCACTACAACCGCTTCATCATCAACGACAACCACTTCATCATCAACGACAACTTCCTCATCACCAACGACCACCTCGCCATTGACCACCACAAGTACACCACATACCACTTCCAGTACGCCTTCGCAGACATCAACTTCATCGACATCTGAGCCTTCACCAACGTTGCCCAGCACACCGTCATCGTCGGTCACACCGGTGCCAGTCGTGTTTGTGTGCTCCTTCGTTTACACGTCGTCTACTGACGCATCCTGTTCACACATTGCAGTACAACGTTGGAAAGTACCTTGTTTATCACTACAACGAATGCTCAAGGACAACCAACAACGACGGCGCCCTCTATTGTCACAGAAGTTACCATTTCCACAAACAGCGCAGGAGCTGCTACGACTATCACAGTAGCATTTGCAAACCCCACCCTTGCGCCTAACAATGGGACATCATCGGGTTCCGCGTTAGTTCCACCACTTATCAGTCATTATTTATGCTTATAATAATATAACAGGTTCTTCAGGAACACCGGCGCGGTAGTCGGTGTCTTCCTTGTGGTTGGATTGGCCGCTGCATCCATCGTACTTTGGATCTTCTTTTTCATACGGCGTAAGCGTCGTATCAGTCGAATTGACCATGAGACCGAAGTCGAGGCGGCTGTTGCTGCCTCGGGCTTTGGTCGAGCTCCTTTGGATGATGACAATGATTACCGAAGTGCCCGGTCGCCACAGTCACATTCTCTGTCTTCGGCACAGATGGTGCAGCGTGGGAGCCCCGTTGGTTATATTCCCGACGGTTCTGGCTTGCCCACTTCCGGTCAGCCAGTTTTAGGGGGGCCATTCGATGACGACAATGTCGCATTCAATCCCTACGCGGGCTACATAGTCGAAGGTCTACCAACAAGTGGAGGGTATATTCAAGCTCGCAGTGCTAGCCCTCCTCCGGAAGTTGAGCAGCAGGGGCCTCCTAGTAGTGCAGGATTGCATGACATTGGTGATTCTTCCCGGGATCGGAAAAGCTCCTATGGCCATACCCCTACTTACAGCGTTGCAAGCTACGAGCCGCTACTAGCCGCGTATACGCAAGGATCCTCTGCGGAGCGGGGTGCCGGTTCACCACCCACGCCACCCCCAAGGAACCCAGCACGACGTGCGCACCTCGACAGTGTCGCTTCCCGCCCTACAAATAATTTATCAGACGGAGGTGCCGATGATAGGTTGGATCCTGAAATTCGGAGGCGGACCAGGTCGGATAGCCTTGGCTCAGACGACGACCTCAAAGATGAAGAAGACTACAGCCGGCCGGTGCTCACCGTAAGGTCTTCAATTTTTTCTTCTTGACGCCATACTCAAATATCACAGGTCCGCAATATGCCTGATGGTCGCAGTATAAATTCTGCGTTATGACGAACATTGTGTTCGCGTCTGGGTTTTACTTCCCTCCGATTTGACTGTTGTGTCCGAAATAATCTGGACTATTTACTGATTTGTTGAGCAGATCAGAATCATCCCCATCCTTTCTGACACTCGTACATACTGCAACCGCATTCTGTATATCACCACAAATCATGGACATACACGGACGAATGTTGCTCTCACAAAATTCATACTTAGTCTTCAATCTACTCCCGTTCAATGTTTGTGTTACGTCGTTCCACCACGTGGTGCTACATCTCCGGCATACTTTCCGTGACTCCTTAAGGCCCCATGTATCCCGTGGTGCATCTATTTGCAGACAGTTATCATACCTCATTATTATCTCACGTCACTGGGCAGAATTCTCTCAGGCTGCCATCACCCATACTGCTCGACTTCTCTCGGAACTCCTATGGATCATGATGCATGAGGTATAACTCCTCGATTACCTCTTACTCTGTTGTACTTACGTTGCCCATACATGAGTCAGGTCCCTATATACGATACCCCAATACTCGGCATGGCTACGCGTCCCAGACTTTCAAAGGCTATCGAATATGGCAACGTAGTGAACTTCTGGGTTGAATATCCCTCGGGTCTTATAGACCTCACGCGTTCGCAGCATCTCACCGCTGATGGGGTGGAACCATCCTTGGTGAGCTCGACACAGCTCGACATCCTTGTAACTGGCGACCGTACTATTCGCGTCGACAAGTCCAAGGCAGCTGTGGTGATAATTGATATGCAGAAGTAATATACTATCCCGTTGTTTGCTTGAATGACAAATTGATGATGGACAGCTTCTTCCTGCATCCCGAACTCAGAGTGCATAAAACCGGCTTGGCGTGCGTTGACCCGCTTTTGAAGGTTATCGGCCCTCTTCGAAAGCAAGGAGTGAAGATACTTTGGGTGTACGTCATATCATTTTTGCATCAGCTATTGTTCACCCAACCGTAAAATAGGAATTGGGGCCTCACTGATCAAGAGCTGAAGACCCTCCCCCCTGCTGTAGTCAGGGGATTCATGAAAGGAGGGTTCGGAGGGTTTGGCACTGAAATGCCTGGCAATTTTGGCAGATTGCTCATGCGAGACGCTCGAAATTCGGAGTTGTATGGCCCTTTGCAAGAAGAGTATGTAAAAGGAGAGAAAGAGGGAACCGACGTTTGGATTCACAAGAATAGGTCCGTTTCCTCGAATATACTTCCAATTTGTACTGAGTTTTGACTGGGAGTGCAGGATGAGTGGGATATGGGGACATCAAACAGCGTTGGACCTCTATCTGAAGGAGAATGGAATTACAACATTATTTTTTGGAGGTGTGAACGCCGACCAGGTGGGATTTCAACTTGACTTCATACTTTCTTACTGCTGAAGTTGACGCAGTGCGTTTCCGGTACCTTCATTGACGCTTACTTCCAAGGCTACGATTGTGTTATGGTCGAAGATATCACGGCGACAACTTCTCCAGCTGGCGGTCTTGAGAACGTCTTACACAACGCTGCAAACGTGAGCATCTGATGTTGTGATGGATTCGGAACTAATCAAATAGAGGACAGTCTCAAGGTTTCGTTACCAATACGTCCAACATCATCAATGCGAGCGGCTGATTTATTTCCATCGCTCACTTTGTTGAACTATGCTATGTTATCTACCTATCATACAAGCTTAATGGCCACAAATTTATGCTCTTCTCGTCCTCTCAGGATTGTCCATGGCACCATGTGTCCACACGCATGAATCATAGTCTTTCACGGCAAAGGACAGAACTACGAAAGACAATAGCCACAATATGTACTTGAGGGGCAAAAGTATGGCAGTTGTTGGCTTCCAAGTGAGTATCAGTCGGACACTAAATATCAATGGCAAAATGAAATCAGAACATGATATCGCGTTACGAAGTTTAAACATTCAGATAAACAAGACCTCCCGGTCATCAAACCCTACATTCACTCGCAGTACGCCTCTCTCTAACAGTTTATCCAGTCTCTGATTGACAATCCCGCCCATCCTTCCATCGTCTTCATTTGCTACCACAACAAGTACATCCTCCAGGGTTGTCCATGGCCTTCCGTTCAATACGTGAGCTAGCCCTTCGAAGTCGATCGATGAAAGGGCGTGCGGATCAGCGGGATACAATGCGAGCGAAAGAGCTCGCAATGGTGCGCGCACACCATCGAGGAGGGCAGTGAGTGGCATCAGTTGCGGTGGTAGCCGCGTGGGATGATGGAAGTTTGATAGATCTGAGGGTGGCAAGGAAGGAATAATGAGTCCATACACATGCATCTCTCTCAAAACATTGTTATGGCTGAGGTCAATGTGTGATACAACCTCGTCTGCGCTACGTGAGTCCTGGCCTTTCGTTGTTAGGAAAAAGTTCTCACCTCCATTGTCTATGAATGCAGCATCGAATCCGAGATGGAGCTCTTTCAAGCTTGTGCCCAGCGTCTTCAAGAACTTCCCCACTGCTGGGGCACTTTTGGCACCTAACGCTCCGAGCCTCAGTACTTCCACCGTCACCCGCCCTCCATCGTGCTTCATCGCCACCCTCATCCATTTCAACACATGTCTGGTATGTGCACCCCGCATCGCGAGCTCCCTAAGTCTTCTCGGTGGCTTAGGGATCGTTCTATCGTCGGCTCTAGATACAAACACCTCCGAGTCCGCAGGTATATCATCCCACTCACAGCGCACCCGGTCCAGTGCGAGCGCTTCTACATCTTCAAACTCTCCGATAACCCTGATCATATCCAGCGTCGTCCTGAACTCGCATACGCGCAGCGAAAGTTTCCGAACACCTTTGAACCCTTTTATAAAAGCATCCCGAGACTTAGATGACAGGTACTCCCAGGTGATGCGCTCGGCTTCGAGAGAGCGGAGATTGACGAGCGAGCCAGCTAGGGTTGGCAAGACGGCGTTAAGCCATTTCGGGCCCCACGATAAACCTCCCCGCGATTCACGAATGAAGAGGTGTTTGACGTGCGGAACAAAACTCGGAAGGGTGGATTCATGCCCTGAGGTGTAATGTTGCAGTAACTCAATGAAAGTATTTCCTCTTCGTCCGCCTCCGAGTCGCACATGTCTCCATAAATGATCCCGGGCTGCGTATAGCCAAAATTTGCTCACAAGGGAGCAATTGCAGATTTCTGCGAGATTAGACCGGTCGTGGATGTCCGTTATGGTGGGCGTGTCTGGAACAGCAAGGAATGAGACGATATCCAAGAAAAGCTCTGGTGGAATGCGCGGGGAAGGAGTTACACGAGATGTACTCTTCGTAGAGACACGGTGTTGGAAGGTGGATGATACCGGGCTCGGGAGGGGCAGTATCGGGGAGAGATCCGGAAGCGCAGGTGATTGTGGGGACTTCCAAGAATGCATCAGCGTGGTCGGAGAAGTGATTATCGACAATGAAGGTGACTGCAGGTGCAATCCAGGGACGGTGGTGATCAATGTAATTGCCATGGTCGAAATTGAGAAGCTAGATAGTGAGGTTTGCAGATTAGCCCGGCGTCTAATGGGCGATTAGAAGGTATCTGTGCGCAAGTACTGTTGTGGACCAGCCAAGCAACCTAATCCTAGTGAGAAGCTTATCTGGGGAAAGACGCAAGGCACGATAACAGAGACAGAAACAAAAAAGCATGTTTATACCACGTTGAGCGGTAAGACACAGCATCCTTCACAAAAGACTTTCCCATATTGGTTCGCCTCCAGGTCCTGTTTGATAGCTGTACAAGCTAGTAGAGGCTAGTAGCTTGGTTACAGCCATGGCAGCAGGTTTAGGGGAGAAAATTTTCTCACTTCCGTCCTCCATATCGGGTTACACCTGTTGCGCCAGGTTACGCCCTAGTACATGTTCCTTAGCACGTGCCATCCACCAATAAGAGCGGAGGTAACAAGACTAGGTTATGTTGAAGCGTGTTGTTTGGAAATAGGACCGCGTCAGCATAATCACCCCCAGCAAAGCATGCAACTTGAAGATCATGGAATCTGTCCAAAATGGAGTGCACCAATCAGATTCACTCTGGCAGTGTGTGGCCGTATGCCCGTCTTTCACAGCAAATGAATACATTGAACTGCGAGATGCACAAGAGATGGCTGCATCTTCGCTTCTTCCGAGTCAATGTTGCAAAGTTACATTTAGCTCGGCTAGAAAGCGCACCAAGGGCATTAGAGTGAAAAGCCTACCTGCCAGCTCGATTCATCTTGATACCCGAAAACCATGATTAGAGCCTGCTCTGGTAGATAGACTGCGCCGAAAAGGACGGGTAACTCAACTTCGATACAACAACAGCGATGCACACTGCCAAGGCGTCATGGTGGACAGTACGGGGCAAGCAGTAGTGGCAAGTGCGGCATTGTGATTCATATGTTTTGCCAGAGAGGCGATGCGTGGCAAGTTACAATTCCGATGTTCGTGGCATTGCAATAGGAGACGTGGCTTATCCATAAGGAGAGAGAGCCCGAAAATTGAAACTTGAGTAGGAGAACTAGGGCTCTGAAATCAAATTCAGCACTCATGCGAATATGGTAAGAATGCAGCGCACCAAAGTTGCTTTTACAACGATACTACAAGATAGCGTGCAACGTAGTCTGCCAAATTTTCCATCTACATTCCTACTAAAATTGAAATCGCTGTGCAAGACCGGCAGAAGCGCTCCCGATTGGCATATGGAGGTCAGATAAGTAGTAGACTAGCAGTGATCCGACGGCGGCTATCGTTACGGTATTATTGGCAACTTAGTCGTAGCCTGCGGACACGGGCAACCATAGATGTGAGTACACGATGAAGCTCGGAAAAAAACAAATTCTCCCGCTCCCTGCAGAGTACCCGGACAAGTGTTAACCACTTCGAGCATTTCTCGTGCTACACACTACTGCTAGTTGACACAGCAAACATCTCCAAAAAAACAGCTGAACTCACGGTGGTTTCCGCATCGGAGTCAACCACGAGCCTAGCGTGTGTCGAACGCTAAGGATCGGATGTGATCCCAGCACAAAAATATGGATGGACGTAAAAGAACGCCAACAGAAACACGATATTTAAGTCCTATAGAATGATGGACCGTGGTCAGTTATACATGTTGCAGGAGTCAGTGACAGATCAGCATATCGCTGACAGTATTGGAGACAAATAAATGAGATGGATGCACGAACCAAAGCTGGTATCCGCGGAACTTAAGCTTCAGCAAACAAAGAGAACCACATTTGCATTTTGAGCTCACCTTGCAAAGTAAACTATGTGACTCTTCATCAACGCCATGAAACAATCCCCGATAATCCACCCTTTCGATAGTCGTTGCATTTTACGAAAGTGTTTTTGACAGCAATCCAAACTGCGAGACAGTGTGAGGACCTCCCATGCAGTTGTGAGCATCGAAGTCATAGAAAACAGATATAGATCATCCTCCTCAAAGGTAATAGTTATCGGTCTGATAGGTACCGGACAGAATGAGTATTTCTGCTGAGCTCGTCGATGAACCTGATGCACCGAAGTCTTTCATCTATGAATGAGGCTTACCTTTTTTGAGATGTGAATATTGATATCGCGGTGATCACTCCGGTGGCAATCTTGACAGCCAAGAAGACAAGAACGAGAAACGTCAGCATCTTTGTGAATCCCTGATATGTGGCGTGTAACCGAAGGATCATGATGCATGATGACTTGCATGATGTTTCAATTAAGTCACAATGACTGAGGTATCGCGTCACGACTCACTGCCAAGCATTGCAAATACAACGATATTCATCAAATTTCGTATGATGGTCATGATATTGCCTGACAATTCAGTTGAGCGCAAATGGCGGGCATTGGTGGAGGGAACTCACGACATGTGTCACAGAGATCGTGAGGACATTTAATGTATGCAGCCGGTCAGTAGAAACGTGGAGCATGCCACAAGGAGATCTACTCGATATACTGATGCTGATTGTGAGATATGGCTGATTAGCACAGCATGGATTGCTTAGCCTTTCAAGCATACATACACAGCGTATGATATTCCAAGATAGCACGCCTATCAGGATACTGTCAAGTTAACATAACTTGCAAACCACATTTATAACGTGCGCAATTAGGCTACAAACACCGGGATGCATAATGGTTATGAGGGATCGGCGTTGTTCCTGCCACAGATGAATTATATTTTATACGTTGTTTTGCTGATGCATGACCCTGCTTGCTCAGACCAGTAATCGTTCAGCGAGATGGCTGCTCCGGTGTTGGGATCGACTGACCTCTTATCCAAATGTCGAATGCTGGCAATAAGGATATGAGCGGTTCCTGAATCCTACGTATCTTACTCACTATAAGTAAGGGTACATCACCATAGCAGAGGAAGTAACTGCGAAAAAAGCAGCCAAAGTTAGTTTGAGAAATTACCCTCATCATCTAACTGACTCCACGAACCTACAAAATATCTGCCAAGCAATGCGATTTAAATTGATGGCTAGCCACCAACTGGGGGTAGGATTTGAAACCATCAGTAAAACTCGAAACCACTAAGTTTTGTAATGTAGTTAAAAGGTCATAGTTGCCTGATACCCCGTCTGTGTACCGGTCTGCTGAAACGCAGTGACTGTCGCTGCTGCGCATGCTATGAAGAAAATTACGTCCTGGATTGAGTCAAGGATTTGAGGCATGCAGGGCGGCGACACTGGCACTTAGTAGTCCTCGAGGTCCTCTCGCATAACCTCGCAGGAATAATCGATATTTAACGTAGTGATCGGAATCATCTCCAAAGGATCATTATTGGCATAGAATCGTTGAAAGCCCGTATTTCACGACTCGCTTCGAAGGACAGTGGGACGCCGATGTGTATTCAAGATTCATCCAAAGGAACCAGCGACTGTAAGTATATCATACCCTGGTGAGTAACCATAAGTGCTCACCTATTCCATATCGACTTCTCTCACTGCTGGCACAGTAGTACTTGCAAAGATTCGAGAAGAACCGGCGTGACTCCGTTCTGGCAGCCACTGCGGCATGACGGGCCTGAAATTCGGCCCGGAGTCTATCAGCAATGCCTGAAATTGAAAGCTTCCGAGTCCACGCCAGAGAATTGAACGCGTAAGCAGCTCAAGAATCTCACTCACCCCTACGTTGTTGCGAATGATGGGTATCGGTACAGAATAAGTACTGAGCCTCACAAGGACTATATCACATTGACAACGAACCTTCTACATGAAATATAACTATCCATGACGATGAGATAACAACGATGATGATGAATAACTATGGGAATAGATGGGAGATATGAAGCATCCGCCATTACATATTAGATGCTGTGAATCAGTAAAACGCAAGGGTGAAATGATGTACAGCGTTTGAGTATTAGAATATGTGATCGAAAACAGAACAAAAGACTGGTATCCAAAGAGATAGCACCAGGCGTACGACCACATACGCGGGGAACGAGCTTGGAAAAAGCGGCACTCTAACCCGAACAGTCCATTATCGATACTTAACAACATTTGCCCGAGGGTGCCCAATTTTTGAATCGAAGCCTGTCCGAGCGTCGCCTCCGAGCTCCACTAAGACTCCCAAAGCTAAGATGGCTAGAACTGGTCACTCTTCGAAGGGCACGGTCCCCATAGCTGACACCGCTCCCGGGTTTCTCGGGATCTAAGATTCCTGACTCTATTGAAAGCAGAATAGACCTTGCAGCAAGTAGAAATGGAGCTTCGATGTTGTCGCCACTTAATGAAGAGGCCTCGAGAAAGTGAACATCTTTTGACAGCGTCAATATATGGAAGGCCAGAGGAACGACGGATTACCATTCTGCGCTGCCCATCTATTAGCTTCAGCCCACTCCACTTCACGGTCCTCCTCCCTATCCGACTTATTTCCAACCAGGACTGCAACTAAATGTGGGCTTGCTAAAGCTCTGGCATCAGTGAGCCACTGGGACATATTCAAAAAAGAATCGCGGCTGTCAGTAAAGACTATCAGGATCGTGGCAGTGAATAAAAACGAATACACCAACTTCGTGATATCGTATACAAGAATTACGCCAGCCGCACCACGGTAGTAGCTACGCGTTACTGATCTGTTCCCCGTGCTGCAGTCAGAATTGGAGTAAGTCGCATCAAAAGCGCGACGAACCGAAAGCGCTCCTGACCGGCAGTGTCCCATAGCTGTGGAAACTGTAAGGGATGCGGAGTCACTGAAAGACATAGCTTACTTGAAGCTTTATCCTCTTCTCCCCTAACGTTACTGTTTTACTAGAGAACTCTACTCCGATGGTATGTTGAGAGTGGTCCTTGACTGTGAGGAGGCCTGAGACTGACACCCCATAGAGAAACAGACGACAAACATGCGTTGTGGGTAAAGTGGTGCAACAAACATGATTTTCCTGTCCCTGCCTCTCCTGCAAGTGCAATGAGTCTTGCTCCAAAACAACCGTTCCCGGTAAGCGCAACACACCGATGATAATGTACTTCATTAAGAAGTCTGACAGTTGATGAGCACGAATCTGATTCAACAGAACATCCAAAACAAACCGTAAGTTTCCAAAAGTTCTGTAGCATCTACATCATACTCGTCTAGTGCCATAGGGTGAAGAATAGGGTGTTGGTTTAGGTGCCGATTCGTGAAGCTTCCGCCAACTGCAGAGAGGCTTACAAAGTTCGCACGGTCTCAACATGGACGTTCAACTTATATCTTCAATTACATAATACATGAGTTTAAGTCTAGTATATATTTGTCACGGCCCTCCGGGAAAGCCGCCGGCCGGGATCCGCTCGCAAAACCACTAATTCACATTCATGGCTGCTACATAAAATTTATTTCTTACCAATGTCTTCCACTGTGTCGTCTTCGGCTACATGGCCATACATGTAATTTCGAGCAGCAATGAAAAGGAAGGAATCGGCCTTTGCTTCGCTGACTCCTGCACATTCACGACCTCCGAGCGATCATAAGACGAGAGGTAAATCATTTTTGTGACAGTTGTGCTCTCTAAGGTTTGGTCCCTTTCCACTTCCCAATGGTATGTGTTATGCCTAGTTGTCTGTGGACGATCCACGCACGCTACAGTCACACATACGGAACGGTTCTGTGGATATAAGAAATCGCTGGACCAGTACCCTTTTCGGGTCCTGGAACTACCAGCCCTTCCATGGGACCCAGATGTCAACCACTTTGTCACCTCCTTCATCCGAATCGACGATGTAGTACCACGAGTGAGCAGCAGCTATCAAACAAGCGTGCTGCCCAACAATCTCGATAGTATCTCCGATCTTCAACGTAGGATCTGTGCGACCTGACTCTGGGTCTGGGGGAACTTGCACCAATATACCATGCTCCTGTGAAATTCTTCCCAACTTCCATGACTTGCCAATGACCTCCCCGAAGCCTGGAATACGACCCGTGTCTTTGCTCATAGCTATGGCACCAGCATCGCACATGGCCTCGTCTTGCCCGTCACTTCCTCTTCCGGGGTAGTATGAAATGACGGTGACCAAGACCTTCTGGGAGATTTGTGGATGGCCGATCAAGGTTGTGTGTAACTGCTGGAGATCGAGCATGGGGTAATTTCCTGTACGAAGCACTTTATACCACGACAAATCCCTTCTTGATGAAATTCGCTTACCTGTATGAAGCTCCAGTGTTCCATTGAGTATGGATGTCATCTTCAGCTTTGCTGCCGCGGTTGCGCTAAGAGCAGTCGGAGTGGATCCCACGGACAGGACGAATGGCTGATTGTTGACCTCTCTGTTATCTGACTCTGCCAGAACTTCCATGGCCATGGCCGCCGCGTCATTGGTAAGACGCACTTCCCCCGTCAAATACGAGGTAGCTTCCTCCGCTGATGTCGATCCATACGAGTATCCGGCGTGGGTGTAAAATCCAAACACCGAAATTGCTGAAGATGCAAATACCCTCCGCATGAATGCCTTGAAAGACACGGGCTCTGGAAGTATCCCGGCCCGCCTATGTTTGTGAGTAATATATCAGTGATATTCAGATAACACACTTTAGACCGCCATTCATCTTGATAAACGCAGACCATTTCTTCGGATGCTCTTGTTTCCTCTCGTATTCTTCCAGAAATTTCACTTGATCTAAATGATCTAAGAGAATACGGACAGTTCCTCCGTATTTTGTCATCTCAGCATGTAGAGCAGACAGATCATCCAACTTGTTCAATCCAATTGGAAGGCCGTACAGAATCTAAAAATGAGTGAGAGTCGGAACAATTTACATGCCTCTGGACTGACATCTTTGACTGTACCGTCGGCTACGAGACCACCTTGCACGACTCCCCAAGCTTCCATGAGTGTCGATACAGCGACCGCGGAAGCTCTGCCGGTGTCCGAAACTAGCTGCAATTTCGTTCCTTCGACTGTCTGATGGAAGTCATCACAGTCAATTTCATCTGTGCTTGACCCCTCTTACCTTGTGTGTCTTCAAGTGTGCCCTAAAAGTTGCTCCCCAGCTTCTGGCATTCTCGTGCATCTTCCTGCAGTTCTCTGCGAACACTGCGCGGTCCACGATGAAGGCAGGTGTTCTCAGAGCATTGAGTGGTTTGCCCACAAAATCAGCAACTAATGCATCTTTATTGGGGTTAAGAAAGTGCAGTGGCGTTCTAGTCTGCAGTATGGGTGTCATGATCTTTGCGGGGAGGTTGGTTGTCAATAACCCGCCGATAGAATTTGCTTATAACTGTACAATGTAAGCTGCTTCTCTCCAAAATCTATAACGTGTCCCCTCGTGATGATGTGGTCGCAACTGCCTTTTGTATCTATCATTTGTGCACATTACGTGGCAAGCTTTTCATTCGCTTTCAATAAAGGCCTTACAAGCTCCGCCGTGACGGTATCTACAATTGTATACTATTAACAGTTCTTCATATCTACGGAATTCCGTCGTATGTCCTGGTGACCTTACAAGACCGGTCCGCTCTGACCGAGGTCAGTCGTCCAACCTTTACAAAGAGAATATTATGGTCTGGAAAATGCCTCAGTCTGCTTGTCGCTTTGAAAGAAGCCTGCGAGTTCGAGTCCAGTTGTTGAAATGGCAGCTCCGCAAGCCATTGACCCAGACATCCTTCCCCGTCTCGATCCCGAGTACGTCGCCTTCCATAATAAATATGTTGCTCATCTCGTTCCCCCTCACTCTCTACCTTGGGATCCCGCCATCCGTAAGGGTGACACCGTACCAGGAAGCGCAGAGGTCTTGTCAGTCGGCAGTGTTCAAGACTATGACTTGAGCCACTGTAAGGTACGCGTCTTTACGCCGGAGGGCACTCCTCCCCCTGACGGCTGGCCTGCATACGTCTGGTACCACGGTGGTGAGTTTGAGGCACTTTTCAATTTCAGCGACATTGAAGCAGTGCTATAAGGTGGATGGACCCTCGGAAACATTAGCTCAGAAAACGCTTTCTGCTCTCGACTTTGCAAAGGTAAAATTATGAGGTGTCAAAACACGCCAAGCGTTGTGTGCTTATCGCTAGCTTGTAGGAGCAAAGTGTGTTGTAGCATCACCAGACTATCGCCTTGCGCCAGAACATCCTTACCCCGCCGCAGTGGAAGATTCATTTGAAACGCTGCAATGGGTCTTTGAGCAGGGAAAATCCCTCTTAGGGGTCGATCCTACGAGACTGGCGATTGGTGGTTCATCTGCGTAGGTGATTATCATCTAATGTATCGAAATTGAACTGACCACTCTTTTTTGTAGTGGCGGTAATCTTGCTGCCATAATCTCCATGAAGGCTGCCGAGCTTAAACAACCTATCCATCTGAAGCTTGCACAGCTCATTGTTCCGGTGACCGACAACACTGCTCTCCACACGGACGATCGGTACCCATCTTGGAAGGAGAACGCAAATACAGTCTGGCTCAATACAGGGAGAATGCTCTGGTTCCGTAATTTCTACGTTCCAAAAGAGTCAGAAAGGACCGAGTGGGACAACTCTCCAATCTTTGCGCCCGATGAGCTGCTAGCCAAATCTCCAAAGACCTGGATCGCGGTGATGGAACTTGACATTCTTAGGGACGAAGGTCTGGCATACGGCGAACGACTTAAGAAAGTTGGCGTGCCAGTCTCACACAAACAGTATGCAAAGGCACCGCATCAGATTTTGGCTATGGATGGTATGCTTCCTCATACTGTTATCATACGAATTGATTAGGCTGATCATGTTTATCTGACTTTTTGTCTATAAGGGTAAGTCACAAGAGTTCATTCTTATTTAATGTTCTTCTCATCCACTCTTCAGTGTTTTAAGTGTCGGTCGCGAGCTCGTGAGTGATGCTGTCGAGAACCTTGCCGAGGCCTTTGGTACATTGTGAATAAATGGAGTTGCGAGTATCTCAGGCTTGTACCAAGTAAAGTTGGGCTGAACGTGATAACGAGGATGTGGCCGCTTTTTTCGTCCAAGCCTGTGCTATAGGTACTACTGTCATCTAGGTCTTTCCTACTGCTCAAGGCGAATATTATTGGTGTGCTACCCCTGTTCGAACAGAGTCTTATCACCTCGGAATCAAGCAGTAAGTAACTCGTGTTGACAAGCCTGAACACAACTCTTGGAAAATCGCAAGTATGATAATCAAACTGCAGCAATCGCTTCGATCTCTACGTCCACATCATGAGGCAGTCCACCAGCTTGGATACATGTACGAGCCGGCTTAGGGTCCGGGAGAGCCTAAAAATATTGTCAATGAGCCAATCCCATTCAGAAGGAATGATTATGACAGGCCTTGATATACACCTCGTTCATAGCTGCGAAGTCGCCCATGCTCTTGAGGTAAATGTTCACTTTCACCACCTTGTCCCATGACGAACCAGCGGCATTCAATACGTCGGTCAAGTTAGAGAGGCATTGAGCCTGCAAAGTTCGGGTGTCAGGCAACACGTAGCGGGTTCATCATGATGAACTTGCAGTGTGGGCTTTGATGTCTCCTGGGACCACGTTGCCTGTACTGTCCACAGGGGTTTGCCCGCTACAGAAGATAAGACCCGGGATCTTCACCGCATGTGCTGAGGCCCGTTGGTTAGTTTCATATCCATCAACTCGTTCGGGCTCATACAGTACATAGGTGCTAGCGGCCTTTCGGGGCTGTTGATTTTTTGAACAGACATGTTGAATATCAATGGCAAAAGGAAAACAGATTCAAGGGGATTGGAACAATGAACTTGATAGCGAGCTACATATATATAGCCCCACTCAATTCCGTTTCATTTTATTTTTTAGCGAGTGAGTGTAGTTTATTTCTCACCATCTGTCACTCGTATATCACTTGCAAAAAAATAAAATGGGCAAAATAAAATGGAATTGAGTGGGGCTAATATGGGGACAAGTACTATCCCGAGTAAGTTGTTCAGGTGACCAGACATCTTATATTAGACCGTTAGGTCCTACGTGGCATAGATATCGCCAAACCACATGAGCTGCAGGATGGTGTCACAAGATAGCGGAGGAGACACATTCGCACTTACGGAGTCCGTTTTTCCGAAGCACCGCCAACGATGTAAATCGCTGTACATCGTTGCCGCAAGATCTGAACCGATCATCCGAGGCTTGTGTACCTGTGCATACCATGACCTGGTGACCACTCTGAAGATATCCCACGCTCCTGGAGTGCAGGCTTGTCAGGCTCACCACCAGGATAAAGGCAATCAATGACTGGATTTAGACAGTACGAGAATCTACGGCAAGAAAAAGAATTCTCTGAGAAAATGAAACTCGTCATGAGATGAACAAGAATCGGCGATCAACCTGCCTGTGCTTGTTATCTTTTCTCCGGAAGACTATGCACAGCATAAGTTTGGGAATACCAATCGAATCGGCCAATAGAGACCTATAGCATACAAGCATCAATATCTTCAAACCGTCATCACTTCAGCATGGAATAAGTCGAGAAAAGGTCAGTCGAGTGGCGACCGCAGTCGGTGGAGATATTGCTCATTGATGTGCAGCCATTATCGCATCGGAGATAAATACCGCAGAGACCTGTTTGCCACCGAACCACCGAGCGTTCAGACCTTGTACAGCTTTCTTGGCGGATTCGATTGCGTCGAACTTGACGTAAATCTCACCCTGCAGTTACGTTCAAGAACTGAATCAAGAACTAAATAGAATGCAAACCTGTGTCTCCCTTTCGACTTTGATGGCCTCTACTCTGCCATATTTTTCTTCACACTCGCCTTTGACATCGTCGGCAAGCTCTTTATCCCAGTCACGTTCAGTTTCCCTATAGCACAAGAAAGTTTGTTAGAAGAAAATCGATTGCTTGAATGTGAACTCACTCCTCTGGGTCGAACATATTCTTCAATAAGACAGAACGGGACTGCATAGCTTGTGGAATGTTCGGTTTGTTGCTGCAAATAAGTGTAAGATAAACCGTCGGTATAGTTAAATTTTACATACACAAGCTGCGGCTTCGGAGCAGGCTCGATTCTAGCAAGTTTCTGCATTAGTGCTTGACGTGATGCTGCGTTCAAATTACCGCCTATAAAAGTATTAGTAAACAATTTGAAACATTGATCAAAACGCACCGCCAGCTTCGTCCAACGAATCCTGCTGGGCGTATCGCACAGTGCCCTTTTCGTGGACTGTATTGACTCTCAGCTGTAGCTGAAATTGAATGACAATCTATGAGTTTGCGATTTGGAATGCCCTACCGTTCTACCAGCAAGCTCGAAACCTTCCATCTGTTCAAGAGCCATTCTGGCATCTTCGGCACGTTTATATCTGCTAAATTTAGCGGATGCTCAAAAGGCAAGACAACGTCCACTTACTGCACAAATGCGTAACCTTTGCTGCGCCCGGTCATAGGGTCCCTGTGCAAATCGACAAATTCTAATTCCCCGAAGGGTTCAAAGACCTGCTTGATATCGGATTCGGTAAGGTTGAAATGCAAGGAACCAACGTAAAGTCTGGAAAACAACACGTCACAACTTTGGAGCAAGTAGCCGAGGAGTTTGCTCACTGCATAGCTCCATGAGGCGCATGAACGCCAGGCGGAAGATTTAGGTTCCTCGACGAACTATTAGATAATAGAAACACGCCACACCTGCAAAACTCACCCGTCTCCTGGATGAAGCCTATTCCTTTCTGACTCAGTCAATTGAACCATGATAGGGAGACCCATTACGACTGTTCCGCTCAATGACATAGCTTTCTCTACCAAATCAATCGACCGGAACTCGACGTATCCAATACTACCAAAAGGCATGAGCATCTCAAGAACAATCTCAGGAAGTGATGGAACACACCCTTTAGAGCGGCGCGACAGCCGGTCTGTGACAATCCTGGAATCCATTACTGTGCCTTCACCGAGTTTATCCTCGAAAAAGTACCCAAGGTCACGCGCCGTGAGACGAGCGGCAAGCTGAGAAACAAAGACCGACCGAGCTTCCGAATCGTCTTCTTTAGGTTCGTCAGGATTGTAGTCTTCTTGAGCCTCGTAAGTAGGTGAGGGTCGTCTGAATATTATGAGTAATAAAGTCACAGTGATACAAAAGTAGCGTACTTGATTGGCGGGGTACTCATCCTTAACGAGACCTTGTCTGGCTCCTCCTCGTTAATTGAAGTGTCATTAATTGAAGTGTCATTGATGGAAGGACGTTTGTCGGGTGCAGGATCCCTTTCCCTCCGGAACCGAGGGGGATCATCGAACTCGTCTCGTGGGTCACGATACCTACGTTCACGTGAGCGATCTCTACGGTCATGACCCCTTCGTGGACTGTCCTTGGGCGGAAGTCCAGCAGAAGACTCGTCCATGTCATCGTGTCTCTTCTTCTTCAAGCGTTCATCCAGGGGTTCATCAGTTTCATCCCTCTTGCGGCGCCTGTCACGGTCTCCCACATCACGTTCACGGCGATAAACGTCTCCCCGCTCTCGTCTATCATCGTCACGATGACGCCTGTCTTTGTCTTTTTCACGATCCCGGTCCCTGTGGGACCTCTCGCGCGAGCGATCACGGTAATCTCGTTCACTTCCTCTGTCGCGACTACGTCGTCGTTTGTCGTCATAATCTCTTTCTCTGCGCTTTTCACGACGGTCACGGTCTCGCTCATGCGACCCAGAACGAAGAGACCGCTTCGTGCGATGGGTATCAGTGGAATGGTTGCGAGACCTCATGAGGATGTCAGTAGGTAAGTTGAAACAAAACAATGAGTGTGGACGACGCACGATTTTCGGTTGGGGGATATGTCTATATCCATATTGCTTGGTGGTGGATTTCGCTTGTGGTGGACAGTGTTTGAGTTACTTGCAAGGATTTGGAACAAACATGCGAAAACTTCATGTGGCAACACAGCCACACATTTAAATGTGATTTTTGGATACAGACAGTACTAGTGTATACAAAGGACACGATACATGTAAGTACTTAAATGTGGTGGTACATAGGGTCAGGTGCTTTGTCGATGAAAATTGTCTACAAAAGCCCAGCCAACCTTGCTCTGACGCGCTTCTCAGCCTTGACGAGCTCCATTTCCTCTGATCGTTTATACAGCTCATTCAGGGGGTTTGTATCACCTTCCTTGTCGAGATCGTCCTCAATTTGGCTGAAAGCCTCGCAGAACTTGCCGCTCAATATCTGCACGGAATGATTCAGCAGGGTTTGAAAATTAAAAAAGAAAAATCATGCCTGGTTGTACAGGATGTCCTTGAAATGTTCCCGCATGGCTCCTCCTTCGAGCTTGAGTGAACCACTCAGTTGACCATACTGGGAGACAGTAGAGTGGTGCTTGAGCTATTGTTTTGTTTTACCGCGCATCAGCACCATATATAATTTTACTTCATAAATATTCTTACCTGTGCGACGAAACCGTCATCTGCGGCTCGCTCGAAGATCTCTGCAGGTTCTTTCGACATCCACCTGGGAGTGGATTCATTTATTACAAATAAAGTCTGTGAGAGAAAACTCACATTTCGTAGCAAAGGGCCTCGTCCGAGCATCCAGCATCCTTTAGGACATTGAAAGCTTCCCTAACGGCAACTATGTCATTTACGGTGGCGTTTGAAACTTTGGTAGTATTCAAACCTGAACATCATAATAATGTTGGGCCAGAGAGCCTGTTCAGCCATGAGATCCATTACAGTCTCTTCCCGCACTGACGAAGCAATAGCTCCCTGTTTGGTTGCACCAATGGCACAGGAAAGTGCAAGAGCTGCATCCAAGCCTTTGCCGGTTCCATTTTGCTCGACGGAAACAAAGCAAGGGAAACCACGGCCCTTTTCGTGGAGAGAGCGCACTGAAGAGCCAATCATCCTGTAAAAAAGCGACAGCCAGGGATTGTGTAACTCGACAAAATGATACAGTTATCGACTTACCGTGGCGCAACCATAACAACATCCTGCCCTGGCTGGAATTTTAACAAGTTGAAGAATACATTGTACCCGGAAGCAACAACAATGGTGGCATTACTCTTCAACTTGGGCGAGAATTGCTCATTGAACACGCGGGGTTGAACCTGGTCTGGTATCAGGATAAAAAGCACTAGGGATTTCTGCAATTAGTTAGAGTTGAACAGTATGAATTCATGCATACCATCTGCAACTTCAGCAGCTGTTGCGAAGTCGTGTTCGACGTGAAAGCCTTTGGCTTTCGCAGTCTCAGCATACGAATCTACCCGGTTGGCAATCAGTATTTGATCATTAGGGATGCCACTGTCGCGTAAGTTCTGCGCTTGTGCAGACCCCTGATTTCCAAAGCTAAGAAATGAAATCAACGGGGTCCGAATACACTAGCGGACTCAAGGACTTGCCCGAGGAACACAATCTTCTTGTTGCTCAGGACACCTAGGTCCGCGTCAGAGTCATAGTAGCTGCAAAATAAAGAACTTTTAAGATCCTCGTAACGTTTTAAGACAATCAGACACACATCTTGGCTTGTCCCATGATGAATTCAAGTCGGGAGGGAAGAGTACGCTTGTAGAATACCCATTTCCCTGTACCATAGGTCCTTATAAACCCATAGCGGGGAGCAGTAGCCGAATAACAGCCCCAATGGCCAGTCACGTTCCCCCATTTTAGATATCGAAAGGAGGTGTGATGAACTTGTGCAAAGGTCATGAGGAGCACAAGATGATAGAAGACTCAGTTCGCGGACCGGTCGACACCGTCTACCCGTACTTCATCCCGGAGTTCCGGATGACGCTGTATATAGAGAGATGGATTCCTTGAGTCGTTCGACTATGGCTTTACTGGCGAACAAGATCGTGTGCATAACTGGATCGTCTCGAGGTATTGGTCGAGCATGTGCGGTCGAATCGGCTAAACATGGAGCAATTGGTTTAATATTGCATTACTTTGGAGACCAGGAGACCGAAGTGGAGCTTCAGTCTTTGAAGGAAGAAATATATGTGACGACTCACAATCACTGTCAAGTAGTCGGTGTGCCCGGTGATATCGCGAATTCGGAAACTTCACAAAAGGTGCGCTATTTAAATTATAAATGACCAGCTGTTCGAGTTCTCACAATATCTGAAATAGATCGTCGAAGCAGGCGTCGAAGCGTTCGGACGAATCGGTAGGACTTGTAAAACAAGAGATATTTTAACTGATGCTCCGACCAGATGTACTCGTCAGTAATGCGGGAATTTGTCCATTCGCCGAGTTCTTGACGATGCCCCATGCTATATGGGAACGTACCCGACAAGTAAATTTGGATGGATCCTTCTACGTGGTGCAAGGTATGTACCCTCGTGACTGTAACACTAATATGACTCTAAGGTGATATCGCGTTTCGTGCAGCGGTGGCAAACCAAATGAAGAGCCAGGTCCCCCAAGGCGGATCTATCATCGGTCTGGCTTCCATTTCAGCGCTCGTGGGTGGTGAATTCCAATGGTTCGTATCTTGATACATTGATGAACGAGAGTCGACATTTTAAAATGCGTAGTCACTACACGCCGACAAAGGCAGGTATCCTGTCGATGATGCAAAGTTGTGCTATCGCTCTTGGGAAGTATAACATACGCTGCAACGCTATACTTCCTGGCACGATTGCCACAGACATTAATAAAGAGGACCTTGCGAATGAAGAAAAGCGGGAGTATACGATAAAAAGGACTGTGCTCGGGAGACTTGGTGGTACGCCGGTTCAGCTAGAAATATGGGTGTCCGCTGTTGCTGAAGTTTGATCTAAATATAGCTCCCGACGACATAGCTGGGCCTATGGTGTTCCTTGCCAGCGATCTTGCAAAGTATGTCACCGGCGCGCAACTACTAGTAGACGGTGGTCTTTTTGTCAACCTTCAGTGATATATTTTCTCCTGGTGTAACAAAGGAGGAACGATCGTCTTCCTCGCACGGAGAGCTAGTATGTGCATACCAGACACTACTTACAATACTCAATCGATGCTCAGCCTTGAATGTTTCATGTCTGAGTAAGGAACACGTTCAGCAACCTGTTCAAACAATACTTTATGTGGACACCTACTTCAGTGATGCAGATCTTTCGAATTTACTTGTCAATCTCCAAAAAACAATCCCAGCTCCTGTCCATTTACCACCGCTGGTTTCGCATCGACCAGAACGGTCGCCCACCGTGTCCATTCCGTCCCAGGGTTTCTCCAAGCGTGATTTGTCCCCTTCTGAATCACCACATCTCCTGCGTTCTTGAGGTGGGTTTCTTTCCCATCATCTGTTATCAAAATGAGTTCCCCATGGACTATCCATAATATACTTCAGTCAGGCTACGTCGTGCACGGCGAAGCATATACGTACTGAGGATGTTATAGTCGATAGAGGGAGTCCGATGCTGTTCTTCTAGTTCCATCAATTTCGTATGTGTTAGACAACTCCACGCACCATCGGAGTACGAACTCCGGGACCAAGATCACTGTATATGAAGTTGGTCGTATTACTTGCAAATAATCCGAAGTCACCCACTTGACGGGCTCCGCCGTCCTCCCTATTGCGTGTGATTGAAAATACTGGGCTAGGATATTACAAGTATATTACTCACAAACAATTGTTGTCATTCGTTGGCAGACCATCAGTAGAAGCCCAGAATGTGCCCGTTCGATGACCATGTAAGCCTTCTATCATCACCTAGGTTTGGGACGATGATAAGTCATTCTTATGTACTACTAGTTGGATAGAGTGCACACCGATGAATGAACTGTTCCGTCAACTGAAACCACGGCTTGTCCGTCGCTATCATGCGAAGTCACGATGCGACGAGGACCTGGGAGAACTGGAGGTAGAGTACCAGACATGATGCTTTAAAGGAGGTAAGAAAGGTCGTAAAGCATTAACGATCTCGGTCTACCTAAGTACTTGCGAAACTTGCTGACTCGACGTAAATTACGGTAGTCTGGAAAACATGATAGAACTCCACGTTCGTCAGCTGCATCATGATGTGGCCGATTAAAGGATGCGAATCGCGAATTTCCGCGTACTACGGTCCAGTTCAAATGGACCAAGCAATCGTGTACATCATGATGGCACTGAAACGAAAGGACGGGAATCGCGGAACTCCGGGTACTACGGTCCCGATTAATGAATCTACATAGACACTTGATATCAGTATCCCCAATATCAGTAAGTGCATATGTATATGAGTGATCTAGGTACGGCCAGAAGAAAACAGAAAACTCACCCTCAGTCGGATATAACGGACCGAGGGAAGAGTGAGACAGCGAGAAATCCAAATATATGTCTCTGTATGGTCGCATCAACACCGATAGGTTCGTGCAAGGTTACTGACAAGAGTTCGCTTGTTTCCTGAAGAGGTAAAGGTAGAACGCCAAGACACCGACACTATAGCAATGTTTAAGTACATAGGTACAACATTGTACATGAAATTGGGAGGAAGATGACATCGATAGCACGCTAGCATTTAAGGAGCAGTATCTGGCGCCAGTCACTGTCAGCGAGAGCAAGGATCCATCAAAAATACTCACAATAATAATATTCATCAACAAGAGGTATCCAATCCTTCACGAGAGAACTGATGATTCCAAGTATTGGCGTATTAGCGGTCTTCTCCACTACAGCCTCAACCTTGGGTCTAAAAAGGTTTGTGATATTACGCTTCAGCAAAAGTGGCATAAAATGTACAAACCTCGAATACGTCTCCCATACAGAGCCACGCAGAAGGTACCAAAGAATATCCCTGTCCCTGCGGGCATATTCTTCACGTTCTAGATCTGCAGAATGTGATGGCGTCCGCCTCAAACTACGAGAGATAAGCTCCATCGCAAACGCAGTCACGAGAGCCTTGCCCTCGTGTTTCTTGGTGCTTAACATACTCGCTACAAGAAAGTCATGAGTATGTCAGATCCCGGCCCGTACTTTGCACTCACCATAAACCAAGGGGCGAATGATATAGATGCACTCGGAAACCCACTCCAAGGGTGATGACATAGGCTTCATCAGTAGCATAGAGGGCTTGACAGATGACGTTGTAAGAGCTTTAGGGAGGAGATAATCCTCCACTGATGTGTCAGCACGGGCAGGTGGTGCGGGGGTGAGCATCAAAGCATTTGGCTGCAAGGGAATGTGATTATTCTTCAGATGATCCGGAGTAGGTGGGGAAGACGGTGATGGAGAAGTGGGAGCAAGCGTCGGAGAAGTGTGCGTAGAGCTAGGGGGCATCGATGCTGGATCAATGTCGCGTTCCGGAATTGGAGGAGACAAAAGTGGTCTTGTCGTGACTTTGAGTAACGTAAACCGTAGAATCATTCTTTAGAAGGAAATTCAGACGCGAGCTCAGGGTAGTTAGATCAACCTTGGAACTTACTTCACAGTTTCGAGGAACACAATACCTCTCCACCGGTTCTTGTCTGAGACTTTCCTCCGAAGCAACATTTCAATAAGAAGTTGAGTAAAGCGAATAAGCTCTAAAGATCGAGCAGCCCATTTGTATAATGTGACCTTGTCTGACCAGGCGCGGGTATAGCGCGTGTGCAAGGGGGTGGGAAGGATAGGCTTCCAATGAGGGTCACTCTGCACAACTCTGGCCAGGAGGGTATCATGATACATGCTGGATACATGGAGTATCGCAGACACTAAGACCGCACGTTATTGCTTGAACCAAACAAAGAATTATAGCAATGTTAATACTGACGACCCTCCGAAGCAAGATCGGCGTCTTTGAACCGTCCAGGTAGAAACCATGTTACAGACCTCAGTGAGGATTCGAGGGTGGAGATGGTAGAGACGTTTTTCACGAGAAAATTTTCATATTTTTTCAACGTTGACGACATGTATAGAGGGTCCAGTGTGTATACCGCGAGCTGGAGGTGTGTTGGACCTGGGAAGACTATTACCGCCGCGCTGGCCAACCGGGTATGTAATCAGATGTAATCCCACGTGTCTTACGTACGTTGCCGCCGATTTCAAGTCCTTTCTGCACGGTCAATACGACTCCGAGTGGGAGTAGGGAAATGGTGTAAATATCATATTCACAATGGTAGTAGTAACATGCTCTCAAGGGTATATATAGAGCGATAATACATGAGGTTTGATGTTAGCGCTGCATGAACCAGGAATCATTTTGTAACTCATATAGCTTGCAAGAACATACCAATATTATAGGACGGTAAGTAGTGACACTGAAGTTCACCGGTTTAACCCAAAGCCCCTACTCTTTGTCACACTGCTTCCCGTTACCATGTTTACTCCACCCGCTTCTCGCACGCGCCTCTCCACCTCATTTACCTTGCCCTCGACTTCGCGCACAGCCCCATCGATCCACTGCAGGCTATCCAAATGGCTGCTCAAGATCTGAGATATCTGCATCATGGGATCATCGCTTCCAACTGTCCCTTGTGACCCATTCGGTATTAAAGATAGCGCATTGACCGAATCAATCATCTGTGTCAACGATCCAGATAAATCATCCAGATGAGCATGCAGCTCTGTGGCCAGCATATAACTGATGGGGAACGGAAATCAAAATCGTGTAGTCTCAACCCGAGGTAATATTAGGACACACTTTTTATCCCGCTCAGTATCAGCAGGTCCAGTATCGAGCGCCCGCAGAGTACCGCTTTCTCCAAAAAGTTCTTCCGCAGATCGCTCGTACGCATCCAGCGTCGCAGAGAGATCCTTCTGCTGTTGCTCGATATGGTCGAGAGCTTGATCGATGTCATTTTGTTCTCGTTCTACAGCCTGGACATGGGTAAACAGAGTAGCCAGCTGTATCATATATTGTCAGACGACGGATTCGATAAATGCGGAGCAAACATACGTTGTTACCATTTTCCATCAAGGCCCGATCCCATACAGCGACTTCGCCCGCGAACTTGTTGAAATCTCGGACATGCACTTCCAATTCAGATGACCACTTGTTTACTATTTCCTCGATGGTTTTCCCCCTGAGTGCCGATGGTGGAGGCACTACTACTGAGGTGGCGGTAGCGGTGGTTGCTAACAATAGGAATGAATGAATGGATGGAGGATCAGTTTATCGGAAACTGCTCGTACCATCTTTTGGCTTTTCAGATTCCTTAGACAGCCCAAGGGTTGATTGCCCTTGTAGTGTGGCTGGGGGAAATGAGGTCGTAGACAGGACGTGCCAATAAGACATACTTACTTGTAGTGGCAGTGGTTGTGGATTTACCACCAAACAAGTTGGTCACAGGCGCTGTGTGACTGCTGAGGACGGACCTAATTCATCTGTAAAACGTGATCTCACCTGCAGGGGCTGTGGTTGCAGAAGAGGCGTTCTTTACACCAAACAAATTGACTGGTGGTGTTGACGCTGCACAATATCCGTCAGATAGGTCGTCGATACTAAACGCAGATAACTCACATGTAGGGGTAGTAGCTGCCGCGGTTGCAGGCTTCAGGCCGAAGAGACCGGTCGCAGGTACTATACAAAGGAGGATCTTTTATGAGCAAAACGATGGAGGCATTCAAAAGAACATACATGTGCTGGCATCTTTCTTGTCTGACGAAGTATCTTTGTTTCCAAAGAGGTTGAATGTCGGAGGAGTAGTGGACTGCATTTCTTTGCCAACGTCCAAAAACACGACTTGGGACAATTATCGGGTCTGCCGAAAACGTCGATTTTGCAAACAAATCCAAACAATTGCGACGCGCTCTTGAGGAGTGTTTCACAACGTCAGACGGTGCTCCAGACACACCGTAGACGCGTTGTAGGCAGTGCCATCAGCGCTTGAACAACCCCTCGTAATTATTCGAACCACGATTCATTCATCAACACAGCAGGCTCAATGATACTAATAGTAAGTACTATCGACACGTACTTAATACGCTTTGCGACGACACTTATCATTCCCTGACAACTCGAGGCTATCGTGCGCTCGCCGGATGAGTGATGTGCCCCTCTTCTGTGACAGGAGCGGAAAAGGGACATGCCCATTTTATTCACCTAATTTCTCAAGTGAAAACCACGAACTTCCCGGCGTTCTTTCATCGCAACTCTGAATTGTTGAACAACCGCAGTGACTATAGAAAGAACTTCACGGACTGAATTTGGTCTACGGTACATCGGACACCGTTGAATAGGGATCCCCATCAAGGGTCCTACGTTCCGGTTCTGCACAGCAGCTTACCCGACGAATCCGCATGTTTCATAGCCTTGAATACTTATTACACACAGCTACACATATGCATACGATTGATTATGCATAATGACCCGTCATATATGTAAAAAATTCTCAGAAGTGTGTACAAAGCTTGTCAACAAACAGGTACATTCAACAAGCAACCGATCGAACAATGAGAATCTCGCTTGAGTCATATGCATAATATTCCCTTTATAATAAAGTCTTCCTCCGCTCCGCCGCTTTCCTGACTCTGATGCGCAGAGATTCAACTGCCAGCACTGCTACACTCCCTCCGTTGGAATACCTTCATGCCAGTCCAATCAGAGGTCAACTAGAGCCTTCAGATGAGACTACAAAAAAAACAGGATGGCGTTTTCTCCAGTGCACAGACACTCCAAATGAGCTCAAGGTAGGGATAACAACTTTCTCTTTTGATGACTCTCAATCAGGCGTACTGCAGGTGCTTTTACCTCCCCGCACTGCTCAGCTATACGCTCGCCTGCTCAAAGCAGAGAAATCTGAGCTCGCTAAAAAGCTCGATGCATCTTGGGACCGTATCCTTGAAATACGGCACCTCAAGGATAGGATGATTAGAAAGTGCCAGAGGCTAGCTCATTCTTATTCCGCCAGCAAGCCTTCTTCGAAGGTTCCCTTCTTGTCCATCCATGCGCCACTAGATTTCAGATTAAAAGAGATGGAGAAGTGGATTCGCCTGCACGGCGAGCCTGATGAATCTAAGAAGGTTCCCATGGCCGACTCCATCCGCCCACGCAATTCATTCTGCTGTGATCGCTGCACAAATATGGTTCCTCATCAACACACCATATCTCGTCGTCCATCCACCCAGTCTACCCATTCCCGTCGTTCAGCAGCACACTCTGATCATTCCACATCAAAAGCTCTCCCGGCATCTCCCCGACGCGCTCGCTCCTCCAAGGCGAGTTCTGTACAAAGCGATCACAAACCTTCTCCCGTTGCGAGCTCCATCATCCTAAATGAGAGTCATTCGCATCATCAAAGTCAGTCATACGAAAGCAGGGTCCACGAAAGTATACATCAGGAGGCCATGGATACCCAAGTACACGCGACTTTCACCGCACATGAGGATAGGTTCGATGATCATAGTAGCACTCAGGAGAGCAGAGTTCGAGACAGCAGCAATATCCGCACGCGACAACACAAGCACTCCAGGAATATGTCATATGATGCACGAAGATTTGCTGAGACTGGTCTTCATGAAATCACGCGCGCTATGCACGTCATTCCTGAAGCATCAGAAGTCGGTACCGATCCCAGCAATTGCTCAGCAGCAATGTCGGCCAGCAAACTATCGATCATTTCGCCCGAACCATTGCCTCATCCGTACCATGGTTCCACTTCAGCATTTTTCTTGAACATGGTCGAGAGTCCCGTAGCTGTTCCTCATATGCAGAGCATTGAGTCTGGCTGTGTTCACCTCGCAGAAGATGAGGGAGTAAGCACACCTCCTTCCGAAGACGAACCTACCAGCGACTCCCCTCAACCAAATACGCTTCGCAGACGCAGTAGCCTCAAACGCAGCAACAATGACTTGCGCCTGAGTATGGCGTTCTCCGCTAAGACCGTATCTTGGGCGATGGACCGCGACTGGGCTGATCAGGTTTCGAAGTATAACGCTGCGGCGGGTGAAATCGAGCATGCTGGTAGGTTTATTTCCCATATTCAATGGCGTTGGAGGTTCACCAGTCTGTCCGTGAGACCGAGAATGGGATGCCATTTGTGCGACGTATCATGAAGAACTTGCTGGCATGAAGACTCTACGTCGAAATGTCACGCAGACCCTGACCAGGTTGCGCTTGGAGGCTGAAAAGCTACAACGCGAGGACGAGGTGATCCGGGATCAAGAGGATAAACTGCGAGCAGGATATGAGCAGCTCGAGCAGAAGCATGGACAGTATCGAGAAAAGGGTGAGTACTCGTCCTCGTGTTTGCAGCCTGCCCTGATATATTGACTATAATTATCATCGGTTAGTTAAAGCCGTTCTAGAAGAGACCGAACAAGTTCTTACATTGTGTGGCACCAAACGAGATTCTTAAAGTCAATGATTCTTTCGATATCGGAAAGTGCTTGAAGCTTGCACAACTATATTGCTTTCCATTACAATGTACACAAAATTTACATACCCATATTTTGACTGCTGTAAATCACATAACGATATTGATGTTTTAGATTAGGTTCAACACCGGTTCATAGGGTCATGCAGGCATTAACAGCAAGTATGAAGAATTCCCTATGAAAGCCTTGATCGAGTACGTTTCGCTTGATTCCACCAGCGCCACACGGTAGTGAGAAAAACAGTCCCAATGCTAAGCAAAAAAAGTATGACCATGACGAAATAATTGTAAGGGCCCGGAGGATGAACGCTATTCTTCGGAATCTTGATGTTTTGTGAAAATAACCCTATGGAAATGTAAAAGCCAATGACACTAGAGGACAGCTGGTAACATACCGATCGGAACTTGAAGGCACAAACTCCCAATACTAATGAGAGACAACACCAAAATGCCCTTGTCAGTGAATCCTTTGTTCATAGCGAGACGAGTTTGTAGTTGAGTCAGATATGCAGGGTGAGAATCGCTGAGCATGTGCTCATAGTGGTGAAGGGATTGCTGCAAAGTCAATATATGATCTACAAAACAGCTCAGTTGCGTCGCGAACGGTCGAAACAGCTCTTTACCTTGAACATCCCCCATGTACATTGCGATTTCAAGGTCGTCGTTCCCCTGAGGGGATGTTATTTGTCGTCCACCAATCAGAAAGCGTTTGCGAATTTGCGATATGACCTCCGACTTTGTAGCAAGAAGACGGGTCAAGGAAGTAACAAGTCTTCTCGCCCTGGCCATGCGCAGTAATGTGTTTGTCGTCGTCGCTTGTGTTCTGGCCTTATGGGTCGTCGCAAAAGTATTCCGCAGACTTTGAAGGCCGCACTTTAAACGTCGGAAGAATAGTGGCTGGGTGAATCGAGGAAAGTATCTGGGAGGTGTTTCCCCCATTTCTTTCGAAGGGGTATCTGACAGTTTTTCGATGTTGGAATCACATTGGTCATCCGCCGCAGGTATATGAATGAGATCAACAAGAGTGTTTGTCGACGAAGTGTGAGAGACGTCGTTGCTCGAAAATACGAGAGCTTCTACAGCTAGAACTTGTTGCTCGATCTCCTTGAGGAATGGAAAGAATGAATCCACAACAGAGTCCAATATGCCATGAGCAATCCAGTCTTGGAAGTACGTCAGTGTGAACAACATACAATTCATACAATAGTTACCTGATGACATATTGAAGGAGTCCTGGAGAAGTTGAAGTCTATTCCTAACTTTCTCTATGTGTTCTGGACAAGGTTAAACATCGAGTCTTTCTACTAATATACAGGCCTACCTGAGACATCGGTGAAATAAAACTAAACGTCGTTAAGCATGGTCTTCACAAGCCCAACGTAAAATGCGAACCTACCGTGCAAATACCTTCCTTGAATACCACCACGTATATGTTAGCTTCTCTTAAAGCACCGTCGTCAGCCTTGTAAACATCATCACCCGGCTGCGTGACGGCTGCATTCTGTATGGTTCGAAACGAGATAAAATAATAACCCAGTCTTGAAAAGAGCTCCATTTTTTCGCGCGGATCTTGTTGGAGAATATCCTCAAGTGTAAGAGGATGAATATGTAGGAGCTACTCATCAAATCAGCATGGAATGCTGACGACACGAATGCACCTACCTTGCCAATTGCTTGTAAGTCGTCCCAAGTGGGACTGGCGACGTCAAGCCACCAGGCTTTGGGAGCTCGATTGAGCTCGAGCGAGCCTCCGGGAGCCGATTCGTTGGGCGTACGATTCCCTGAAGAGAATTCTTTCTGTTTCCCTTGGACGGAAGACAGCAAGGCGGAGGAGAGGTCGCCGAAAGACGCAGGTCGCTTGAGCACACCATCAGACATATAATCATGATGCGGGAAAAGCGGAGGTGTGCCAAGGCTGAATTGACGTTGTTTCCCTTTGCCCTTTTTTGCCCTTGATGCCTTCTTCAATGCAGCCTCCAAACGGTTGAGGACTTCAGATAGAGAGACAGACTGCTGAGGTCGATCCAAAGATTCCGACAACCGGGTCATGGTGATCTCGGGATTCAAGCCGGGTGGCAGGTATAGGGTAAACCCTCTATCAACACATCTAATTTCCTGTCTGACCCTAAGACGAGCAGCTACCTCACGTTCGGAATGTGTGGAACGCATGTTAGCGAAGCTTGTTGGTCTCTTGCGCCGACGACTATGGCGATGGCGAGAAGGCGTGTAGATAGAAGAGTGGAAAGATGCAGAACTAGGGGATGATGAAGAAGTTGAAGCTGATGAACTTCTCCTTCGAGCCCAACGGGTGATTGCATTTTCTAATACAGCAGCAAGAGCTCCCAGGCGACCCGCGATGAAGGACCCGGATGATGTCAATGATGAAGTAGATGATGCAGGTGCCACCGACTCGGCAATGATAGGTAGGGCAGTGGGCACCTTGCCGCGATAGATGTCGTCCTCTGAAAGCATGTCTTTAAATGTATTTTTGTGCTTCAAGGGAGGGGACGAAAGGATGTCCAAAGGATAAGAACTGTTCAAGACATCCGAGTTGTGTACTAGCACTAAAACAAAATATTCCTGCCTCCAACAAGCAGTGAGCACAGCTCTAAGAGTCGAACGCCACATTAGTACAAAGCTCCGACCTCATTTACTTGCAATTGTAACATGGTACATGCACCGCGCGCGCGTTGAGTGAAATAATCCATATAGAAAATCGTGGTATATATATAATAACATTAACGTAATACGAAGCTACATCCATGAAGTAGCAGTAAGAAAGACTCGCTATTCATAACTGCGCTAAGGGGCCCAACAGGTGTCGGAGGCTTCCAAACAGAGATGTATCATAATCCGTAGTCTGAGATGCAATTGTAACTTGTGTCTCAGGGATGTCACGATCCGAGTGTGTTCCCACACGGTTTGCCTGCCTGACCGAGCTGAAGGTCCAAGAGACTGATCGCGTGTGCACTACTCCGTTTACCTGGTGGTCCAATTCGTGTTTCCCTTCAATATATGGCCATTTCTTCTGTAGCTCTTCCTCCAGAGGTAACAAGTTGCAAAGAAGAGCGGGATTGGATGAAATTGAATGTTTCTGTCGGAGAACAGAGGGGTGGATTGTTTCGTGCGTGATGTCATCCGTGACTGTTGGAAGTTTCCTGACATTTGCATCCGATAATACGAATATACCAGTGCGTGGGCTGCAATAATCATATGAGCGTGGTTCTGAATGAACATTATGATACACCTGTCGACTTACTCGTGTGGGGGCTGCTCTCCCCAAGGCGCCACTGGATCCGATAGCGATGAGATGTATGCAGTATCAATGGACAATATGTCGCCAATATTGGCCTAGTGAGGGACGCATTCAAAAGCAATCGCACCATAGACTCAAGCACTCACCACCATCCACGCAAGAGTTATGTCAGATAAGTCATGTTTTTGCCAGCCACCTCCGATCTATTGGTTTAAACAATCAGCAGGTGGTTGGGATAATGAATGTTCATCGCTTACGTCTGAATGTTCACCTATGATATATGTTCATCGATAAGATATGCACAAGAATTTGTATTGTCCCAAATCTTACCAGAAAACCAGCACTGTGAAGAACTCCGTGAGTAACAATCTACAAACCAATCTAAATACAATTACCTGTTTCAAAACCTGCCCTTTCCGTCGTCCGCCGTCCGTTTGCACAAATTTGCAGCAGTCCTAGAATAGATGGATGAAAGAAATTCCGTGGGTCAGTATTTGAACTTACGAAGTCTAGTCTGGTTTCGTTGATAGCAAGCGCATGATATGCACGTTCAATATGTTCCCCAAGTTCGTTGTTGGGAAAGCCAAAAATAGACTTTGTGGAAGGCGACTTATGCGTCAATTCTTCAGGTAGACCGACCGAACCGACAGTATCAAAAACACCGACACATCTGAAGACGGCGTCATGTTACTCATTGTTACTGCCGCGGATGAGCCGATGAAACTCACTTTATGGAGAAAGTGTTATTATCAGAGCGAGCTCTTGTCTTGCCCCGGGAATCGGGGGAGGTCCAATGGCTCAACAATGCATCGAGCTTTTCGATCTCTGAAGTGCAATCAGAATTACCGGAATAATGATATTCAACGTGACAAACCTCTTTGGTCAGTCTCTTTGCCGAGTTTTTGGTATGCAATAAATATACTGGCAAAGCTATCCATGTCTGTGCGGTCTAGGACACCGATGGCACCCTAAATGAAGGTTTATTTCTGAGACGAGCGTCGACAACAAAGGTCTACTTACGATAAACATGGCTACCATCCGTGCGGTATATGCACCCTGATGAAAACGTCAGTAATGGTGAATTTCATGTTAGTGCACCATTGCATACCCTAGAGAAGCCAAAGAGGAATATCTTAGATGACGACGTTAGTTTGAAATGAAGAAGTCGACCGAAACAGGCTAATCTCTTACTTCATCACCGGGGTGGTAGTTTCTGCAAAGAGATGTCTAAGCCATAGCTAAGTATGTATTCGGCAAGACTTACTGGGCAATGAACCCATAAGCCTCTTGGACCTTTTCACCTGCACACAGTCATAAATCCTTGTCAAAATCAGCGAGCGAGATAGATTCTTACCGAGGGATCCTCCTGTCGCACCTGATCGAAAGGAAGATAGTTAGCTCCATACTACTAACTAACGAACTCATTCCACGAACCATCGACATATTCAGAGTAGATATTATGACCAGTTCCAACGCCACACTGGTAGTAGACGACTTGCGGGATCAGAACTCCCCTGTCGACGCATATGAATGACGAAATAAGAACATGGCACAGATGAGCTTACGATCGTTCATCCACATGTTCCAATCCCCGCGATAGTTTCTGAAAGACAAATATGTATTAAATTCCCAAATGTGTACAATCGACGCACCAGGATATTGGTTTGCTGCCAACACTCCTTCGCGATCAATCCGTCTTGCCAGGTTCTAAAGGAACACCAGCGTCAGATAACGGTAGCCTGAGCGCCCAAGATTTCATAACCGGCTTACCCATCGCAGCACACGATGATTCTTTTCTTAAATTTAGCGCCAACTCGGAAGGGTTCACTTGAGGCCCTTGGTAGTTGTGCAACGTCGAGCTCGACTCTGGCGGTGATCATGACTCAGTCCGGGGGAATGTTGAGGTGCAGACAAGAACGATGCGGGGGTATTTATGCTGTATTCCTTCTCGCGGCCAATATTATTATAGCCACGATCAAGCCATATGAGCACGCTGATATCATGTAAACACAGGACTTGCCAGATCCATTTGAATTGGTGAAACCGATGTGAAAATGTTACTAAGGCTGAGCGAGCGCTGGATTCTCAGCGCGATTCGACTTGGGATCTGATGCCGATTTGGTGTCTAGTTTCAGGTATTTCGTTTCACGTGTGATAGCCGCTTGCCACGGGGAAATGCTACATAGTAGTACCTGTAAGAGATTAGTAGCAAGGTCGTAATAAACACGAAGCCTACTAATTGACCCTAGGCCAGGAGGCTCAAATTCAAAATTCGAGTCACACACAGCAACAGCGGCCCGAGATTGGTGAGTGGCCATGTGTTAGATGTACTATTGATAAATTATCACACACCGCTTCGTCCGGCCTTTGAAGAAAACCGCTCTCATCAATCTCTAATTAGAATGAACAATAATTTAAAGTATCCTTTAATAGCTCGAGAGTCGGTACCAACATGTTTGTGCCTTTGCTAAGATGCTCATAATTTAAAGTACATGCTGTACCCAGTCAGGCGATGCATCGATGAACGTCCGAGTGCCGGGCATAGTAGTCAGGGCAACATTGTACAACCAAAAGAGGCTACTGTCAGGATGAAATTACCTCCCCAATCGAAACTGAGCGCCGGCGTACTCGTCTAAGGCACGACAGAACGCCTCCTCCGTGATTAAGCTTGCCATTGGATTGTTTGGAGCGACATGAACAATAGTCCGGCTGTGTCATGCCAAGTGTCAATCTAACATAGCAATACGTCAATCAGCAACTTACTGGATTTCTGTCAACGCCATCTGCCATGGAGGGAAACCGTGTAGTTCGAGAGGAGGCGGGGGGTCCTGCGGATGGACATCATGGAGAATCATGAAGTCCGGTGATGGTAGACCTCCTAGTACGGAAGTCAGATGAGTGAAATTCAACACAGAGTGAACCTTCCTTCTAATATCGAATTCAATTCAGAGATAGGAAGTTCGTATGCCTTGACGTGGTCCAGGTCCTGGCTGTTCTGGCGCCTGCAAACTTCTTCATCTAAAAGGAAGCGTGCAGCAGATGCAATGGCAGCCTTTGAAGCACTCCGTGAAATTATATGGAGTGTCAAAGGATTATGAGAATGCTTGTCTGTAAATGACATGTTGATAGTCCTTTTGATTGTAGAGCAATCCACCTACGGTGCGCTCGTCGGCGGCGAACAGCAACTTCTCTTGACCTATGATGCGAAGCGCCTTTCTTGAAGGAGCATACTGTTGTAACGTTGAGTTGTACGGGAAAATCTCCAAAGTCGGGTGAATGGCTTCTTGACTCTGAGGCCTCAGAAAGTGGAGGAGTCAACGGATACTCGACTTCTGATTCACTCTCGTCGGTGGGCAGATCATCGTGATGTGTTAGGCGTCCCTTTATAATGTCAGAGCACCCTAACAGCGTACCTGAGGATCGTTCGATGTGAGCAATAACAATAACATCCCGACAGAAAGTTTACCCTCAGCATCATATGCGGTAAGCTGCTCTATACCTAACGCTTTGCACCATTTAACAACCCTAACTAAGCACTCCATATACAGTTCTTCCGTGTGCTTGGGATTCACCGCGTCATGGGAGACCAGAATGATTGCCAAGTGTTTTGGTAGCTTGCTGCGGTACGCGGTTAAGGATTGAGGAGGTAAATAGCGGCGTTTTCGAAACTTAGTTGTCAAAAACACTAGCGAGGCATGCACGAGATGCAGGAGCCAGAGAAAGAGGGAAGCCACCATTTAGCCAGCATGGACCAAAAATTAGATCGTCGCAGTCTTGCACAACGACGATGCATACGTTGCAACAACATGATCACGTGATACATTGCGATCATGATCATGAGCGCTGAGCGTTAGGCATCGTCTTTCCGTAACCACCATGCTCCCCGTCAAAGAACTACAAGAACGATCTGATCGTCACCCCAAGCCTTCGGATATCAAGTTTCAGTATGGGACTGCGGGGTTCAGAACACTGTACGTTTGCGTCTGATATTGGCATTCATCAATCTGATAGTAGCGACTAGGGGGAAGACCCTTGATTCAGTGCTTTTCAGAGTGGGTGTTCTCGCAGCCCTTCGAAGCAAGAAACTGGATGGAAAGACTATTGGTGTAATGGTGACTGCCTCACACAATCCGGAGCCTGTATGTACTTCATATGTGCACTGATCGCCTTGAGTTCAACGGTGCACTCCTTTATAGGACAACGGAGTCAAACTCGTCGACCCGCGCGGCGAGATGCTTGAGTCGTCATGGGAGGCACACGCCACAGCACTCGCAAATGCGCCCAGCAGTGTTGCTTTCGTTGCTGCGGTCGACGAACTGGTGAGAGCGACCAAAATAGACCTCTCGATTCCCGCCCGTGTGGTGTATGCCAGAGACACACGCCCAACAGGCCCGCAACTTGTTACCGCCCTTAAGGATGGGTTGGAAGCGATCAAGGCAGAGTATAGGGACGCTGGCGTTACCACAACACCAGTACTCCACTACTTAGTGAGGACAATCAACACCAAAGGCACTAAAGATTCGTACGGCGAGGATACTGAGGAAGGATATCTTACGAAAATAAGCGATGCCTTCAAAAAGCTGCTTGTGGGTGTTGCATATATGCGCATATATGACGCTCATTTCCGGTACAGGCTGGAAAACCGCCGTCACCGCCGTTACTCATCGACTGTGCGAACGGCGTTGGTGCCTTGATGGCCGAGAGATTCAAAGCATATCTCGGAGATATCTTCACGATCGATGTCGTGAACGCCGACCTGCATACCCCTGGCGTACTGAACAACTCCTGTGGCGCGGACTTCGTCAAAGTCAATCAGAAGCTACCTCCATCCATCACTCTGCAGCCAGGACAACGAGCTTGCAGTTTAGATGGAGATGCCGATCGCCTTATGTACTACTACGCAGATGAACATGGCCAGTTCCATATGCTCGACGGAGACAAGATTACGACACTTGTGGCGAGTTATATCGTTGAGCTGGTGAAGGCCTCGGGATTGGATGAGCAGATCAAAGTCGGCGTCATCCAGACGGCATATGCGAACGGAAGCTCGACAAAGTACCTTTCCGGGGTAAGTGGGACGATGAATATAGTATGGTTAGAAATCTAATTCTGCAATCTCAGAGACTTCCTGTCAAGTGTGTTCCCACAGGTGTGAAACACTTGCACCATGCCGCAGAACAGTACGACGTTGGGGTCTATTTCGAGGCCAATGGGCACGGCACGGTTTTATTCTCGCCCGCTGCTCAGGAATTGATTTCCAGCCACACACCTTCTTCAGCGCTCACAAACCTGAGGAACATCATCGATGTGATTAACCAAACAGTTGGTGATGCTCTCTCAGATGCATTCCTAGTGGAAGCAGTTCTAGCACACAAGTCTTTTAGCGGTGTGGAGTGGGACTCCATGTATTGTGACCTCCCGAACCGTCTTGTGAAAGTTGTCGTGAGTGATCGGAATGCGTTCAAGACGGCGGATGCGGAGAGACGCCTAGTCAGCCCTCCCGGACTGCAGGTCAAGGTCGACGAGCTTATGCGTAAGTACGGAGGGGGTCGCTCGTTCGTGAGACCGAGTGGTACGGAGGATGTGGTCAGGGTTTATGCTGAAGCAGCAACACGTGCTGAGGCTGATGGTGACACTGCTTCCTTCGGTTTGTTGATCACACACTCATGGTCTTTTTCTCGTTTAGAACTTGCGTTTCGTGTCGCTGGTCTTGTGTATGATGAAGCGGGTGGTGACCCATCACAGAGACCAAAAGAATTTATTTGAATTCACAATCACGTTTAGATTTGGACATTTGTACCCGATGTGTACTCTGTAACAGGATTAATGGAGGAATAGAAATAAGCTACTTGCCTACGTGGGCCCATGCGGGCTGCTCCAGCACTCACCGAATTGCAGTTTTGCAGATGATAAGGCACCTTCTGCTGGCATCGAGTCGACGATTATCTGATTTAGTTGTCTGATCAAATCATACTTTTGTATTAAGATTGATCAAGTCGTTTGATCACATGCGATAAGACGTAATCTGGAGCAAATCTCAAGTCATCATCACGTATTTTATGCACCAGCTGTTGCACTCAGTGCGGCTGGAGTGACATGATTCCAGTTTTGCTACGTGTCCATCTAGTCCATTTTCACTCTATAACAGTTACTTTGAGAATCAAATAAAACCCCTTTCCCCTGGACCGACTTCACACTCGCGCATGTGCCGCTTCGTGATTTACAAGGGCACATCACCTGTGCAGCTGTCTCACGTTAGTAGCTAATTCGAAGCTGATTGTTACAAAAAAGACACTGACCTTCCCACTCTTAGCTCTTAACTCGACCGTGCCATTCCATTATAAACCAGGCCTTTGATTCGCGCCTACGTCTCGACCATCGTCGGCCGATAAACGGTGACGGCTTTGGCGTCGGTGAGTCGCTTTCTGAATCATTTCAAGACAACTTTGGGATTTAAAGTTTCAGGCTGGTATGATTCCATCCACGATGAGGAACTTGGCAGCCAACCTTGTATATTTACTTCCGTTTCGCCGGTACGCGTGCCGTGTCACCAGAGTCGTACCATCAACTGACTGATCTTTTGCATATCAGGCATGGAATAACGCAAACTTGATCCGATTAGCAGAGAAGATCAAGTCACCGCTTGTCTTGTGAGTCGCCTACCGCTCCGGTAAATTGTGCTGAGCAAGTATTGTGTTAGTGGGCACGTCCGTGCGACTACCACTGGTTCTTTGTCTTTAGACAACTGCCACCCATTCACATATGGAAAACTTATGGTATGTCATGACGTATATGTCCGTATGATTGCCCTTGCTGACTTGCTCGTTATGTAGTTCATGCATAACGGCGGTATTGCAGGATTTCATCTGATTAAGCGACGACTGCAGGCCGATCTCTCGGACGATGTCTTTAATATAGTACAAGGGAACACAGGTGAATGGAATATTCATGAGAAAGAATGAATCCCAACCATCTCTCGTAGACTCTGAGTGCGCTTTTGCGCTACTGCTGTCGAAGGTATGTTCCTTGGTACCTGCATCATTTCTCATCTAAACATAGTTGTGCATGTGCAGCTTCCCGATCCAAAGGCTAAGAGTTTTACCACTCGCAGCTTGCAGCAGGCAATGTTGGATACCATTGCAACTTTAAATTTGTATGCCGAGCAAGCGGGTATCACTGAGGTGAATTGAAGTTGATTTTCCTGTGTAGTATTGCTGAGAGTCGATTAGCCAAGCTTGATGAACTTTTGTGTCACAGATGGCGAAAGTGTCATTGCAACGCGTTACATTTCCTCTCGGCACGATGAAGCCGCATCGTTGGTAGGGGTTTATCACTGTATCGTATGGCAATGGGTTCTGATCGCATTAAATAACAGTGGTTCTCATCTGGGACGACATTCAGTGAGTACGCCCAAGGCGGTCATTACAGGATGGCGAAGGCTGATAAAAGAGAAAACATTATTATGGTGGAACTCTTCTAATCTGGTCATCCATTCTCATTTCTGATCGCTCCAATTGCAGATTGCCAGTGAACCGCTTACTTTCGAAAAAGCGGACTGGATGGAGATTCGCACGAACAACATGGTCGTGATCACGCCCAAAATGAACCTCCTGCAGATTCCCATCGTCGACAAATTCTATGTCTCTCCTTCTGACCCAGCGGCGCTAAACCGTGACACTGACTTTGCCGCGGCCAAGGGCTTCCTCAGCCCACGTATAGCCTTGGCTCCAGTCCAACCTCGCGAAAACGCCCCCCAGTTGTCCATTTGATATTTTTCCTTGCGATACCTTCACCGTATCTCATCTATGCATCGCTGTCTTTGTTGTGTTCCATTGCTATTAGGATCTGTACCGTAGATAAGTAATGTCGATTAATTGTTTTGTAGACCTTTGTGTTGGTGTGTGTAGCTGTGAATATTAAATAATGCGCGTCGACGCGTTTTTTTTCTTTCAAGTGTGGCTTTGTGCAACCCAGCGGGTCGTCAAGAGTAATATTACCGCGATGCGGTTCAGAACTGGCTCGAGATGTGGCATGTCTGACAACCCGAACCCGAACCTGTTCACAATATCTCAAGGCCATCGAACTCGAACATTAGCCAACGGTCCGATCAAGAACCGGTCCTAAAAATTAAGTTAGAAGAGCAACTGAGTTGCCATAGCACATAGCAGCACCCGGGTATGATCATGACTTGAGCTATCCGTGGTCGATTGATTTGTCTTGTCTGCTGTCTGCATTCCGATAAGCACGCGCCACAGCAGGCACAGACGAGGCCCCATGCTGTCACTGCTGTAGAGGTGCGGCTGGCAGCTGCTACCAGTACAGCTTGATATGTGAATATGTGACACACAGCACCTCCTCCCGGATCATAAGTTTACGCACACGGAAGACCGTGCCAAGCTGGCTAAGATTGAATTTACATGGACCAACAACGATAAAGCCGAGGAAGCCATTGACATTGAAGTAGTAGACACAATGTTCATGTCGTGCGCACAAGTAATTCCATGAAAGACCTCGGGCTGCACAAGATCAGAGGATTGGAATAAGTATGTCGTATGAGCGCTAGCTGCCATGAAGGGCCAACCGTGGGACTCTACGGCCTGCGCGCGCAAATACATATCACGATCACGGACGTGGCAAGCTGGTCTTAGTACGAGGCCGAGCCTTTAAGACGGGGTAACCATCAAAGGGTAGACAGCGGATGCGCTGCAATAGCACACCAACAGATGGAGTGCACAGGAAGAAACTTAATGGAAAGGGCAGACCATGGAGCACAAAAACAATTGAGCGAGTCATGTAACAGTCCGGAGGGGGACAGCAACCTCATCTGCATAAACACAGATCAAGCGGGCAGACAGGAGAGGCACCATGGGTGCGAGGAGACTCGACAGGTGATTTGCAATAGTCTGTTAGTGTGACCGAACCAAGGGGTACGAGAAATGAACTGGAGTAGAGGCACACAGTCTGAGCGATATCCGGACGCCTGAAACTCGCGCCGAGAGTTGGATATGGAAGATAGTGAATGCGTAGAGATGCAACCACGAAACTCGACGGAACAAGGGTGACAGGAACGGTGATGAGAGGCGAGCGATTTGAATAGCCATGCACAGAGATTACTGGGGGTGTCTCAAAGTGATATTGAGTGCATCTATGTCAAGCAGTCGAGCTCCACACTAAGTTACCTGATGGTACCGGCCAGCTGATTCGTGGGAATTTTAGACACGAGTCTACGTACTACCTCCAGCTTATCATTTGATACATGTTCTTGTGACTGGTATTCATTTCAGTTTCCTGCTTCCTTATTCCATGACATTCTGTACCCTACAGTATATAAGTTAGCGTATATCTACGGGTAGAGTAGTTTGATCCTAACACGCTGAGTTCCAACTGTCAGCTTGATTCTAGGTCTACTCGAAAGTCAACTTCTCGTGTGAACCGTCGAACGTTTATCCAAACGCCACACTTTGGCAGCGCTTTCCTTCCCTGTAGTTGCGCTACAGACTAACTTGAGACTCCTTCTACCTCATTCACTTGCGTGTTCTTTAAATCCTTCAACATAATGAACCCATGGCTACTTTGGAGCGCCTTGTCGCATACCGCTAGGTCTTCGATTCCGTGTCATTCAACACTTCCTGAGCATCTGACCATAGCCTTAAACTTAGGTTGTCGACGGCCTTACAGATCTTGCTTTTCTTGCCATTGACGCTAGCGACCCTTTCAACGCAAGCTTTTCTCTTGCTTTCACTTCTGCTCTCCATCCACTCCCTCATTCATGGAACTCTCATATTACTCTGGGGATCCAACGCCCTCTCCATCATGCAAGTGCCAATGCATCCCTTTCTCCTTCTCGTCACTTTCAATGCCTTCTCGCAATCTGCACAACCTTGGCTTGCCACTGCAGTCTATTGGTGGGGAAAACTCCTCACATTCTGCGGTCCTTCCTACGTGGCCATGGAGGGTCTTTCTAGTCTACTGTTCGCGCAGAAAGCGGGCCAAATAGGCAGAGGCATTGCGGATGAAGCAGAAAGTTACCAGTTCGTGATTCTCATCCTAACAGCAGCTGCTTTCGTTGCAGCTGCGTGGTGGGTCGTCATCGTGCGCGCTGCTTCGTGTCTTCCTAAATCATGTCACATACTAAATTTTATACAGGCATACCCTGCAGCTGCCGCATCTCCTTTGTCGTCCACCTTGCTGGGTGTAGCATTGACAGCATTCCTGTTCCTCGTTCTTATCGGTTTCCGCTTACGACGCACCAACGTTGTCGAGGCCGCTCTTCTCGCACTCTTTCTTGCATATAACGTGTGGCTCTGCGGGTTTGATCAAACATCGTTCTCCGACCCTGCTTCCTCCTAGTATGTTCCACTGCAGTCTCACGTATTCATGCTTACTGACGCCTCCCCAGTGCCCCTCTGCTTTCAAATATCCTTCCACATTTACAGACACTTGTAAACTTCATCACGAATACCCTCCCCAAGCCTGTACTCGTTGCGTTACTCTATCGTCTTTCAATATTGCAAGTTGCATCGCGTATTTTACCTACGATCGGTGCTGACAACTGGGAGTCGGACCAAGGAGAGATTGATGGACGACCGGTACAAATACATGTCCTGTGGTTTCCTCCTGCTGATGCTTATTTATGCTAGACCTCGATTATGACACGCATCCTTCTAACATATAGACAGCTAATCTTTATCATGGTATACTCGCACCTTCTTCGTATGTGTTTTCTGTTTGTGCGACTTTTCGGAAATCGACTGATATCCTGTTCAGTTCTAGATCCCTCTTCACAAGTCTGGTGGCGGTGGGCGAACATCATGTTTACTCTGTTCCTGTGGGCTGTGGAACTTGTGGTTAGCCCTGATGGGGACGATGATTCGGCAAAGTGGAAGATCGATTAGTTCTGTTATCCGACATCCGGAGAACCGAAGCCCTATGCCGTACTTAGACCATCCTCAGCATCACGCCAATCTAGCTGCTATTCGCCTTCCACTCTGCTTCGTCCTCTTTTTCGCCCTCGTAGTACTCCCTCTTCCATATCTGTACTCTCTGCTTGACTTCCTCGAGGATCTGTTCACACGCAACGGATGCCTCCTTTCGATGCGGTGAAGATACCGCTATCACGATCGAGGGTTCTCCTACCGGCACCGTCCCCAGCCGATGGTGCACAGCGCAGGAAATGATGCAGGGCACTGCTGCGGGCGTTGAATCGTGGGTGGAGCGTGTGGCTGATTGATGTGCTGTTCGGATGATGTCTGTCATGGTTTTGATAGCTAACTTGCTGTACGCCTGGTATTCTAGACGTGTCACGACCTTTCCTGTCCGTAGCAGGTGGTTAATATTAAGACATGTGATGACTCTGGTGCATTTGCATGGTCAGTACCTTGATATGAATTTCGAGTCGTGCCGATGAAGAGTGCTGTTGCCCCTGCACCATCATCGCTGACTGATTTTATGATTTCATCGATCTTCAACGACTCGTATGAGAGCACGCATATGCTTCTGCCCACTTCTTCTCTCGCTTCCACTGAGGTGCTTGGATAGGAAGTTGTCATCTGAAATCTGTATGAACGCGAAAACTAAGATAACGAGTTACGTAGGACGAAGGACGAAGGATTGACTCACGTGAAACCGATATTAATACTTTTGTACCGGCCCATCCTGCAAAGGAGGTTGTCGAGCCCCAATATTTTCAACCACTACTGCTTTCAGCTCTATATTAGCTCGTTAACCTCCAATGCTTCAAGCTTCCTTCCGGGGAATCTTTACCAACCAACGTCTCATTTCACTACGGAAGGCGTCGAGTCTATCTGCTGCTCGGGGGCGTCGAGCTCCCATAGATGTTCATCCTGAGGTAGAGGATGCATTGGCTACTGGAAAGCCTGTAGTCGCCCTCGAATCGACCATCATTACCCATGGAATGCCATATCCAACTTCATTGGAGATGGCCCAATCAGTCGAGAGGATAGTCAGGTCCACAGGGAGTATACCAGCTACCATTGCTGTTATTGGAGGACGCATCAAGATTGGACTTCATACAGCAGAACTGGAACGTCTTGCAGACCAACAATCAAACCCAACCGCCGTGAAGTTGTCCAGGCGGGATATTGCGGCTGCAATTGCTCTGAAGAAGGATGGCGGGACTACGTGTTGCTCCACCCTCATCTTTGCTGCACTGGCTGGTATCAAGGTGCGCATGGTGCAAATGTATCTGCACGTCGATATGACAGTTGTTCTAGGTCTTTGCCACTGGAGGGTAGGTCAGGGAATATTGACTTCGAATTGTTATATTCTGAGGTGGTATTCTTAGGCTCGGTGGAGTGCATCGCGGCGGGGAGAATAGTAAGTTGCGCTGAGTGTTTATGGGACTCCTGATAATTTTACCCCGTGTCTTAGCAATGGATGTTTCAGCTGATCTACATGAACTCACACGTTGTCCAGTTGGACTGGTTTCAGCTGGAGTGAAATCCATTTTAGATATAAGGCGGTATGACTTCGTAATCATCTCTGTCGCTTGTCACTAAACTAATGAAACAGAACCCTCGAGTATCTGGTGTGGCTGCTAAAAATGTTCGAAGAATTTAGCTCTAATTCGTTCACACAGGAAACGCTTGGTGTACCAGTAGTATCTTATGCAGAAACGCACGATTTCCCGGCTTTCTACAGTGGTCGAAGCGGTTTTGAGGTGCGAGTGCAACAAGTGTCGGTGTCTTGGCTCACTAGTTTTACAGTCACCTTGGAGGATAAATGATCCTAGAACAGCCGCTCAGATTCTACGTAAGAAATGCTGGCACATGACTTAGTATGGCGAACTCATCAATATTTACAGATACTCATTGGCAACTGGGCATGTCTAATGGTGCCCTTTTTGCTGTTCCTATCCCTGTTGAATATGAGGCCGTGGGATCAGCCCTTCAAGAGGCAGTCGAACAAGCTGTTCGCGAATCAGAAGAACAAAATATCAGTAATCTGGGGAAGGCCGTCACTCCTTGGCTTCTTAACAGGGTTGGCGAGTTAACACAAGGAAAATCACTTGCTAGCAGTCAGTATTGAACCTTCCTAGGCGTTACTCACGGCTCAACTTTGACCTCAGACATAGCCCTTGTCGAGAATACTGCGCTCGTCGGTAAGAAATTGATAAAAGAGGTTTTTCCAAACTATTGACATTTCGAGCACAGGAGGTCAAATTGCAGTAGAATACGCGAAAATTGCTGGAGACAGATATGACCAGGATGTGAGGTGATCTATCAGCCATTAGACATAGCAAGTGATGTTTGTTCCTCTTAGCAATGCTATCCTGTGACAGGAATACGGGGAAAACCCGATGAGCCTCACAGTGCATCTGATGTCGCCTCATCAGAGACTACTGATGATCTCAAAGGGCAACCACTACCGAACGCTTCGTTGGTCGTAGTTGGTTGTGCTGCAGTAGATATTACATCACAACCTCTTACAGATTCGGACCTTGGACACCAGTCCACGTTTCCTGGGAAGGTTTCCATGTCACTTGGAGGTGTTGGCCGCAATATTGCTGAGGCTGCTCACCGAGTCCTTTCGTCACATAGTGACGAGTCCTCGGCCGCAACTTTGCTAGTGTCTTTAGTCGGCGATGATTCTTTCGGGAGACTGTTAAGTGAGGAGACACGAATGCTAGGGATGAGAACAGATGGTCTTATTCCCGTGCGGGGAGGTAGGTCGTCCGTGTGCAGCCTACTTCTGGAGAGATCGGGAGGATTGAGGGCAGGCGTGGCTGACATGGATCTCGTTCGGAATATGGATGGACATGTGGTCAGTTTTGTCCTATAACCACTCATAACAGGCTTGATGAGTTTCTTGCCAGGCACGTGAATTTATATTGGCACACAAACCAAAACTACTTGCAGTGGATGGGAACTTATCATCTGATACACTGAAGGTAGTAGTGAACGAATGTTCTCGAAATGGGGTTGATGGTAAGTTTCTTTGTTGATATAAGTTGGGGGAAGTGTGGCTAAAATTTATGTTTGCTAGTTTTTTTGTTCGTCCACATTCATGTTACTATCAAAGGAGCTGCTAATAACACTTCAAAATTTAGTGAACCAACTTCTGTCGTCAAGTCAGCTTCGATTCTTCCCGCTATAGCCGGCAATCTCGACCAGCTTGCATGGTCACCCATTACTTTTGCATCTCCTAATCTGCTCGAGCTTGCTCATTTGTATCAACAAGCACAACTTCTGAACCTCACTTCTCATGACCGATGGTGGCAGGTTCTGGACAGCCTCGGACTTGGTTCGAAGTTCCGCACAGACCTCGATCTGCTTTCTCGAAGAGAAGCATCAAGTCACGATACTTCACGAGGAAACCTAGCCTTCCTTGTTGAAAAGGGTGTTGCCCAAATGGCAATCAATCTCCTACCGTTTTTTCGGCACCTCATCATCAAGTGCGGTGACTTGGGAGTCGTTGTCGTAATGCGTTTCACGGGAGATGACGCGGCTGAATCATCGTGGTCGACGGAGTCGACTAACCATCATAGGCGCTATGTGGTGTCCCACTCGCCTACGTCGGGTGATATTGTGGTTTTGCAGCATTTTCCTGCAATGAAACTCCCAAGCGATGCATTGGTCAACACAACAGGTGCAGGAGATTCGTTGGTTGGAGCTTTGCTGGCCGCATTGGTGCAGTCTCCGAAGGCGTTCCACTCCACAATAAGCCTACAACGTACGATAGACATCGCTCAGCATGCAGCCCTGCTGAGTTTGCAGAGCCCGCTTGCTGTTTCGCCACTGCTATCATCCTTGCACGGAGAACTTTCCCGTCAATGATAATAATGACACCGTGCCTCATGGACCATGGTCCACCAACGGTCCTACCTGAACTGTCTCCCGCTCCTTCCTTCGTCTCTCCTTCTCTGCTAGTTGGGATGCTTTCTTCGTTTCCCTCGCTTTCTTCTCATAATGGGCCTTCTCAAGAGTATAAGCACAAGCTGAAATATACATATGAACCATACCTTGGCTCCATGTTTCAAACGAGTGATAATGTTGGCTGCCTCGCCCTTGGTTATGCTCTGCAAGGTTGCGGCGGCAGCATCTTGAGCCAGTGCACGTTTTACACGTCGTTGATGGATGAAGTTCTTCTGGTTATCGGATGCAGACGCTTTCCGCCATTTTGCAGTCCGCAGTAGCCTTTCTGCATGTCAGAAATGTTATGACTCGTGTATAAACGGAGGTCTACCCTAGTGCTAATGATCCACGAAGGACCTTTTGCACTGCATAAGTGTCGCAGCCTCGGATTGCATCCCTGAGTGTCTCCGCAGTCAAGATCAACCTTTTCCGCATGAATGGTGATACTTTAAATGCCTTCGCAGATGGTATGTGCATCGTTGCCTCGGTAAATGTGGCGCGATAGTGTGTCGGGTTTTCTGGATGATACATTGAGACGAAGGAGTATAGCAGAACTTGTCGGACTGACCCTCATCAGCAGAAACGCGCTCAACACGGATATATCCCTTGCCCAGGCACTCCAAGATGTAGATGTCTTCGCCACATCCTACCCATGCATTGGCGCTGAGCTTTGTGACGTGAGGGGCACCTGAGCAACCATCGACTAGTGCGAACGGGTTCTGGTAATCGACATATGTTACATATGTTGGATCGGGGATATCGTCTCGGCTGTCAACTGGCACTTGTTCGTTATGAAGGCTAGAAATCTGAGCACGAGCCTCCAATGTCTCAACGGACTCATCTATGTATGATATTAGCCCCACTTTCATGAAACGAAAATGCACCTTGCCTTCGATAAGTTCCTCAGGATCAAGGCCGAATAGCGTTGGAGTCGAGACCACGCCAGCTACCCGGTTTGTAGAGTCGACAAAGTCAATTATGTGGCAGTTTTCTTTGCCTGTCGATAGTGATTGCCGCATCCCCCTTCCGATCTATCGAAAGTGGATGATGGGCATACGGGAAGCGTTTAACATACTGTACTTCAACCTACCATCTGTGCAAAGACATTGCGTGACCGAGTCGGGCGAGCAACTATAACACAATCGATGTTGGGAATATCGGCGCCCTCAGTAAGAATTGCTGTTTCGTTCCAAAAATAAGTCGTAACAAAAACCAACCATGAAGTACAAACCGCAGTTGACAAGCACAGGGTATTGGCCTGCTTTAAAGGCGGTGATCAGTGCATGCCGCTCAGCAGCAGGCGTCCCAGAGTGCAGATGACGTGCATCAACTCCAAAATCTTGAAAAGTCTTTGTTAGCGCTCGTATGTGCGCGATGTTCACGCAGAAGACAAGTGTTGATTGGCGCTGCCCTATTGCAAACATAAGATCGCGGGACAGTGCCTCAAAGAACGAACATCACTTACTCGCTCTGTCGAGCCACGCTTGCACGACAAGGTTATTTACGGTATCTGTATTGATGATGTGCGCCAGGCTTGTAGCATTGAAGTCGCCAGTTCTTGAGTTCACAGTGACATCCCGCAAGTCAATGTTCGCCTTGACAGATGTGAAGCGCACATCACACAGCCTGTCATAGCAGATTGAGAAAATTTTCAATGGCCAGATTGTAATGGTCTGACCACTGTTCCTTGATCATCTCAAGAAAATCACAATGATAAACTATTTGTTGAAAAACTGAGCCAAGAGCGAGCCCATCATGTCGACTGAAGGTGGCAGAAAAGCCGATAATTGGAATAGGGTGAGACAACCGTGGAGGCTGGAAGGTTGGATCGGGGCTCCTTATTGCTGGATCGAAGTGCGCAAGAATTCGGCGGTATCTATGTAAAGCGTATTAAATTTGAACAAAACTCCCAAAAATGAGGGTATTCACGATGGGGCGGCAGCATGGTGTGCTTCATCTACAATCACTGCCTTGAAGTTACCCGGATGAAACTTGGCAAGGCGCTGAGGTTGTAGGAGTGTCTGATAAGTGGCAACTGTCCTGTTTAATAACGATACATCGAGATGAGAGAAGTGAGTTGTACAAAGTCAAGTACATACACATCTGCATTTCCGGATGCTTTGTGCTTGCCGCCCTGCTCAATCTCGATGCGCCATTGCGGGAATTGTGCTGCAGCCTGAGCGGCAGCCTGTCTTGCAAGCTCAATACTATTCACTATAATTAACGAACGTGATGTAGATGGAGAACGAGATGGTGGAGATATTTGCGCCAATAAGGATATGAACACGGTTGTTTTACCAGCCCCTGTTGGCAGAGATACGCCAATGCGCGTCACACCAGCCTGAAGCGCATTCTTGCATGCTTCAAGACAGGACTCTTGGTAGGGTCGCAGCTTGAACGTGGCAGCACTGGCAAAATAACGCCGAGGCTTGAACATACAAAATTGATAGTTCGGTGTCCCCACTTAAGCCTTAAACCAGTAGATCACGTGAAGAGACGCTGACTGCTGGATGCGGTGCTAAATCTTGCCTCAAACATTAATGTTGGTTGTGAATGTCTTCTGCATTCGGTATGAACTAAGGCCTACTAGTGTGGGAGTATGTAGAAGAATCCATACTCGGAGGAACCCTGAGATAAAGTCTATCGAAATAAATCGTAATGCGTGCACTAAAAGAAGGGATGGAGCCAATGCCCAGGTAAATATGTGATGCAAGGCGTTTAACCAGATCCACCAGAGTAGACCTTGCCGAACATAACTTGCTGGAGCTTGTCGTATAGCGAAAGCACACCAGCACCAGCAACACCACGGAGAATGTTGGCACCTGCACCCTTGAACAATGACTTCATACCCTCCTTGGCAACGATCTGGGAACCGGCATCGAACATGGACTTGTAGTGAACGCCAGCACCGGAGGTCATCATCATACGACGACTGGAAATTATGAGCACGTAGTTCGATTTGAGGTTACAGGATAGAACTCACCGGATAGTGTCAAGAGGATAAGAAGCAAGACCAGCACCAATAGTCACACCCCAACCAAGCGCGAAGGAAGCCAAGAACGAGCCCTCAAGAGCACCAACGAGAACAACGGGCTCTGTAACCACAATTAGTGACATGATCAAGAATGGCTTTGGTTCACTCACTAAGCGAATCGTATACACCAAAGTAAAGACCACGGTACACAATGATACCGACGACTGAAGGAACGAAACCGCGGTAGAGACCGGCGATACCGTCAGAAGCGAGGGTCTTCTTGTACACGTCAACAAGACCGTTGAACTGACGAGCTCCTCCACCCTTGGCCGACTTGGCATCATTGGCAAGACGAGTACGAGCGTAGTCAAGGGAGTAGACAAAGAGCAGTGATGATGCACCAGCGGCACCACCAGATGCAACATTGCCAGCGAACCACTTCCAGTAACCGTCGTTCTTCTTGAAGCCGAACAGAGACTTGAAGTAATCCTCTGAAATTTATATCAGGTATGAACTATACAAGAGTAGACTGAAAACGTACTGAATGCGAAGTTCAAGGCCTGCGTGGGGAAGTAACGAATCACGTTGGCGGTGTTACCTCTCCAAAGTGAGACAAGGCCTTCTTCCTTGTAGGTGCGACCGAACGCATCGCTGATGCCCTTGTAGGGAGTAGCAAGACGCCCCTGCTTGATCTGGGAGACAACATGTAAGACATTTGCGCATTGGTTATAGAATAGAGAACGTACCATCTCATCCTGATTTTGTACCAAGAGCTTAATGCGCTCAATTGGAGCTGCCGACGTCTTGGCAACGGCCTACAAAACACCAATGTCAACGTCCACAACTTGACCGCATAGTAGCATTGACACGTACAGCAGAAACACCACCCATGAGGAAATCCACTGTTAGACATTGTATTAGCGCTCCATACGCGACACAATGCGAGCTGCACGGCCAGCAACGACGACGAGCAACTCACCCATGAAATCCTGGGGAGTCTTGACCCTCTTGGTTTCGGCCATTTTTTAATTAGAAAAGCCAACAAGGAAAGGCTAGTAGAGAAGGATGGAGGGGAAGGATGAGAGCTAAGCAGGGAAAAAAGTTCGCGTCAAAAAGGAATTCGGAATCATCCGGAAGGTTTTATCTCCGCTCTTCACCGATTGAACAGCATCGTGTTTAGGTACGTTCCGGGTGTAGCCTCTGTTCCGCTGCTAATATTCTGATATTCATATAGTTGAATACGTAAATAGAGATGATTGCATAACGCTATCTCTGCGAAAAACAGTATTATTATAGCTAACCGAACCTCAAACAGACAAATAGTAGCGGAATAAACTGTCCCTGCAATGCGAAATTAATATTAAGGCCACACGCCTGGTCGGCTCGTAGAACCACTAGGTCTGGGCGGATAATAACTGTTGGGATTGTACGTATCATATGGACTACGGACGGTGTCATGAGGAGAAGTGGTTGTCGCAGGTGGCACGTATAAGCTTGAGTTAGAGTAACGTACTGGAGGTAATTGAGGGACAGCGTAATTGCTTGGCCCAGTAGGATACGATGTCACGGGGGACCGAGGCGTACTCATAGGTATGACATTAGCAACTGGCGACACAGGAGGAAGATGCACTCCGTGAGATATTTGAGGCTGTGGCGGCGGCTGTGGTTGCTGAGTTGCTGGAACGGAATCAACCCGGGATTTTTTCCAGATCTGCTCTGTGGGCGAGGGTGCACCAGAAAGTGCCTTGCGCTTCTCCAGAGAACTCCGCGCCATGGGTGGTGGCTGAGGCTCATCTTCGTCGGAGTCAGCTGTTAGGTCGATGACATCACCGCCCCTGGGTTGCCGGGCGGTTGTCGGAAGACCTGCATTGGAGGCGGGGCTAGAAAAGGTGTTCATCGGGTAGGAATCCGATAACTCCTGCTTGACTCTGCCCTCGTCCTCGTCATCAGAGTCCAGTACAAGAATCTCCACATTTTTCCTTGCATGGGCTTTCGCGACAGCCTCTTCATCAACCGATGCTGGTGATGATTCACGAGGAGAAGGGGATAACCTGAAGGGAACTGTCCCTGGATGCGAGGCCAGCCAGGATGCTGAACCAAACTTATTGTCACTTGTATGCCACTGCCCATCGCTTTCGACAATAACATCTTCAACATCCTCAGACGTATCCTTCAGAATCTGGTCGAAATACCTATTGGCATATACATTAATCAACTGACGATTCAGCGACACGAAAAGAACGGACCCGTCGATGATGAGATCTTCAAAGTTTAGAGCCTTCTCACATACAGGACACAGCCACGTTGTCGTTTGCTCCATGCAGCTGAACCACGAGTCTGCATCAAAGCACTGCGGATGAGGGCATAGTATTGATCTGCACGGCGTTTTCACTCGCATGAAGCTCAGCTAGATCATTTTACGATGAGAATAAGTCAAGCGGGTGGAGGACGTCCATACTGGGCATTTTAAAGACATCTTTTGTGACCCGGCGATAATATCGTCATCTTCGCTTGAGGTTTTATTCACTGCAAGAAATATTATTTAACAAATAATTTGCTCAATAAACAAACGGTTTACTTTGTGCCACAATATCTTCATGATTGCGATACTTGCCCTTCTTAAGCTTGTCCACGAGCTGCTCTACAGTTGTGGCTTCAACAAGCATGACGATCAGATAGAATTTCTGCTGGCGATACTAAGACAAATTGTGTGTAGATGACAGGTCCACCAACCTTGGGCTGTATGGGCTGCTGACTGTTCACGTATACCATTTCGACCCGGTTTTGACCCGTCGTTCTAACGGGCCTCCCAAGGTCTGCTGGCGGAGCAGTACCAGGCTTCTTCTTCAAACCTTTCAAGTTCGCCGTCAGCTGCACACCATTGACTCGCACTTCACACGTGGGAGGAAATTCGATCGGACAAAGTGCTGTGGTGGGCCTGAATCCTGAGGAATAAAACGTGTTTGAGGTACAGTATAATCGAAGCTGGAACTTGGCACTAGAATGGTGTGTCAAGCTCGCGACATCTAATTCACTGACAGAAACATACGTCGTCGAGTTCAACTTCATCGATTGCTCGCTGGTGAGAGTGAAAGTCAAGGTTTGCTGTTTTCGATCAGTCGAGCTTGTGGATTCTAAAAAATTGTCAAACCGGACCCAAATAATGAAAAGTAAATATGTACTCGCCAGGACACTCGACGATGCCAGAGACAGCTTGATCTACACGAAAGAATGGGGATGGCTTGAAGCGCATACCTGCGGTATGTGTGGGTGATAATGAACTAGGTAGTGTATCCACTTATCTTACCTGGTTTGGACACAGCCGACGGACCAGCGCCTGTGGTTGGTGGCGGGGGTAGCCGCGGAGGGGCGTAGGGATCATAGCGGCCAGCGGGGATCGCGTTGAAAGTGCTACGAGCGGTATTTGAAGCTGAACTATATGCTGCTGATGGAACCGAAGGCAATGACTGGGATGCCATCGCTCCTGGCATACGAGAGCTCGTGTACCTGGTGGTCAAGCGCGCGGTCAGTGCTGTGTACGGAGTAAAGGGTGCTACCACACATGAATGCTGTAGCTAATCGAAGCAACCCAGAAATGCGGCGCATGAGAAATTCCACGCACGCGAACCGAGTCAATTGCATGAAATGGTACTCACATTCCGGTATTGCGAACCTGGAATAATATAACTTTCGCTTTGGTCCATTTGTCGATGTTGTTGGCTTGACGCCAGGATTCCAACTGCTGTACGATCCTCTCTATCAGGTCCTGCTTCTTTCCAGACTTGTGAAATACAGTGTTGCATTCCTCATTGAAACCGGTAAGAATTTGTTTGAGTTTATCCACCGTATTGTGCTTGACCGTGTGTCGTAAATTCTAGAGTAATGATTTAGTAGCATATGATATAATATTTACAACCCAGACCTCAAAATCGCTCCAAGAGTCATTGGTGGCCATTGATGTCTCCGCTGGAAGCCACAGTGAGCAAAAGCTTTCAGGAGAACAGAGAAGAGTTGAGACTAGGCTGAGCGGGAAAGAATTGGGTTTACATACTATAATACACAAAGGTAAACAAAGCAGATTCAACTCACGTGCGCCATCTCTTTCATATCGTTTAAACTCAAAGGATTGTTTCATACGTATGTCTTCAGAAAACGACTACGACAAGCTCACGAAGGAAGAGAGAGAGGCGCGCGATAAGGCTGATAGGGAACGCGAGGAGGTAGAACAGGCTGGTATGGTTCCACTTAATCAGAGGTTGATCAAATCATAGATCATGGCATACAGCTCTCCCATACAAATGGAAGCAAGAGTTAAGCGAAGTCGATATTACTGTTCCTGTTCCGAAAGGGACACGAGCCAGAGACTTGTCCGTTATCATTCAGAAGAAGAAACTTAGCGTTGGTCTCAAGGGTCAGGAAAAGATTATGGAAGGCGAACTCTGCAGGGAGATCAAACTCGAGGACAGCACGTGGACACTCGGTGAGGTGCCGCATCACGATACATATGCTGATTCTTAATCGTAGTGTAGAGGATCAGCAATCTCTTCTCATTCATCTAGAGAAGCTGAATAAACAGCAGTGGTGGGACAATATCCTCACACATCACCCTAAGATCGACACTCGCAAGATCCAGCCAGAGAACAGCAAGCTCAGCGACCTTGATGGAGAAACCAGGTAATGTTCACGTTTATCAGTCAAAGCTCGCCCTTACCCAGCTTCTTCAGGGGCATGGTCGAAAAGATGATGGTGCGTATTTAGCATGTGTCTATATTTCTTTCTACCAACTCGTTTTCGTGCTTTTAGTTTGACAACCAACAGAAGGTATGTACTTAATCATGCCTATGACAATATGCGTATTCAGTATGCATTCAGCAAATCGGAAAACCTACCTCAGACGAGCTGAAGAAGATGGAGGTTAGTAATTCCCTGTGTTAAGTTTCTTGAGGCTAACCACTTTTGATGTCTTAGGCATTGAAGAAGTTCCAAGCTGCACATCCTGAACTCGATTTCTCGAATGCCAAGATCTCATAAATTCGATCTATTGTAACGAGTGCCAGGTTTCATATTGCATCCGCCATGTACAACAAAGAAATTCTACATCTTGTGAATAACATGAGAGTTATCTTAGCATTTCTCTCCAGATGCAAACCCTACGTTTCCCAAGTGTGACCAGCAACTGTCCTCCAAAGCCGAGCACACTAGCTTGCACGCTTCCCTGCGCACCAGGAACTAGAACCTCCCATCTCTGTGGTTCGGGTGATTTCCCGAAGAATGTTGTAATTGGTTGATCTTCCTCTTCCTCTTCATCGTCCAGACGTACATTTTTGAATTCAGATTCAATGTCACGTTCCGGTGGTTCACGCTCAGGTGGGTCTGGCGCTATCACGCGGGGGTGGAAGTTTGCGACGTTGTACAAACGGACACTGTCAGGAAGAGACAATGCAAGTATGTAGTCACTTGTAAACGTCTGGGTGACATGAACGTGTCGAGTCTGTTGGGGCAACGAGGACGTCGAGATCAGTGTAAATGATGCTGCAAAGACGGATTAAGCCACTAGTTCCAACAGAAATGTCGATGCATACAGCTTTCATGATAATCCTGCACGATGATTAGCCACATAATCAAAGAAATAGAGGGCAATGGAAATGTACTGATGAGCAACCCCTCAACACCCTCCCAATCTCTTGTCCTGCAGGAAAAAATCTATCGAATCCAATCCACCGGAAAATTGTCATAGTTCCATCTTCGTAGTATATATCATCCTTGCGACCACGGTGTCTCATGAGAGCGGGTGCGCTATGAGTTATTAAAGTGTCGGTGCTAAGCCTGTTTTGGCGTGGTCGGCGAATTGAAACCGATGTCCTTGAATTACATAGAAATACGTACCAACTGACGGAGATGACGCGCGCCTTGTGAATCCGACTGCTGCTGAAAAGAGGTTTGTCTTCACGAGCAAGTTGATTGGAAGGTGACGCTGAAAAATTCCAAATCTTCACAGCCCGATCTAGCTGAGCGATTATCGAAAATGTTACGCAAAATATGCAACTTTGAATGAACCTACCCCACACGTTGCGATCAGAGGATGCGTTGGATGGAATGCCTCATAATAATACATCAGTCATGGTATCAGCCTAATCTACAGGACTCACAGCGCTCAGAACGGCAGCCTCATGACCACCTGACGGACCACCACAAAGAACACTAACGCATCGGCCTACGCCCATACCCTCGGGCTCGCTAGCTTGCAGTCCATGGGGGGCTCCGCCTAGGCTGGAGACTTTGGATGGTGGCCAGCAAGGATTGTCAGGGCCCTGTTGCGGGGACAATGTCAAATCATATATGCGTGTTGTAAAATCCCTTGAAGTGGTGCAGAATAAATAGGGATGCGTAGGGTGAATGACTATGGATGTGATCGGCTAATCACAAAAACCTTCCATCAGTGGAGTGAAAAAAGGGCGCAGGTACTCACCCCACCATGTCCACGCAAGTGGCCGATGATCTCGCCTTTCACTGGGTTCAGGATGTAAATGATACTGCCCGCTGAGAAGACAATAAGAGGTTCCAGTGGTGCCTCAAAAGGTAGAGCCCAGCCCACGGCCATTACGGGTGTCTACACACGAGTTAGGTCGAGTAGGTGCATTAATGTCACCTCATACGTTCTGTTCTTGTTTTGGTACAAACACTGAGAGGCCTTTGCGTGGCCTCGACGCGCTCAGTGGGATAACTAGTAGAGAGTCCAGAGTTCCGATCGCGAGGGCCCCAGACCAATCGGAAATCATTTGTACCCATGGCCCGTCCTGCAGTTCTTTGTCCTTCTCGCCATACCACAGGGCACCCAAAGACTGTTCAGACCATGGAAAGAGCGCAGTGCAGTAACATTCCTCAACGAAGTCAAGCTGACAGATGCTAGTTGGCTCAAGTCACGATCAGCAAGCTAGGGAAATCAGCACGGACATCAACAGTTTTAAAAAGCGTGAATGGCTTGGAGCGAGCGGGGTCTTGAAACCACGGAGTGTCGCTGTCATCAGCGACTACCTGGTCACTGTCATCGAGAGACTCTTCCATCGTCGAGCTACTAGTAACCTATTCAGAATCCACCGATGTGACAATAGAGGATGTCGGGATGGAAGATATCGACTGACAAAGGCCGCCTTCAACTAACTTGTAATAAAAAAGGGCTATCGACAAATAAGGTAATCGTTCAATAAACCATTTTCGCCGACCTTCGCCTCGTTCCATCACTCATACCAGCCGTGATGTCTGAACTACCCCCACAAACCTCGGAAGACGCTTTCGAGTCAAAACCTGCACTGCGCAATGCAGCTACCATAGGATTTCAAGCAGGTATTGTCGGCGCATTTGTGAGTGCAGTCCAAAATGCCTTGGGATCGCATTCGCGAGGCGCTGCTGGGTTCTTGACACGTAGCGGGGGTACTATTGGAACTTTCGGTAAGAGAAAGAAATCTGCTTGCAATATGAGAGTTCAAGGTTGAGTTCCATATTTACAGCTGCTATGGGTGCTGCTTTTGCATTCACGGAGGCGGCTATAGCGAATCAACGAGAAACAAATGATGCACTAAATGGCATTGCGGGTGGTTGTGCAGCAGGATTTCTTGCAGGTCTTCGAAGTGTGTTATCATGTTGGGTCTATTATTCATTCACCTTACATGTCAACCTCAGCACGTTCAATACCGGTTGCACTTGGATCGTGCGCTGTAATTGGTGCAGCTATGGGCACCTTCGACTACGCAGGGGAAATTGCTGGCAGGTCGAAAGAGGAAAAGGAGGAGAAGAGAAAGAAGTTCTTCAAATCAGTACCTCAGCCTGTCCATCATGCTTCCGAGTAGAGGCAGCATCACTCTATCTCATCACCTCACTTCGATCTAGAACTAAATGCTGGCATCGAGTCTCACACCTTCAGAATTTCAAGTGCATTCAAACAGATACTTGAAGATACAGCATGACAGAACGGTTCATAAAAACCACAAAGTCACTCATGGATCGTTCACCTAGCTGGAGGAGCGTACAAGCTCCTCGATATGTGCATAAACTTCATTTTGGTGTGTCGTGTAATACTCTGGCCAAGACTCTGCGCTTTTGCAAGGTCGCTGAATGACATGACGGTCAACAAGGGAGTAAATGTCAAGGCGACGGCGACGGCTCACATGTTGTGATAACTTTTCCCATACCCTCTCGTCATTATTATCGTCCCCTCCACCGTTAGCAAAGAATCCACAGATTACTTCAAAATCCTCTCGTTCCAGAGTTTCTTGCGATACAGTAGGGGAAGCTAATCGAGGCTTCTTGGACGGGCCAGGTCTTTCCTCCCCAGTTGATTTCTCGATATTCCCATTCAAAGACTTGCGAAATGCAATATTTGCCCTCTTGCGAATTTCAGTAAGTTGTGTTTTCAGTTTCGAAGACACCTGCATCTGCCAGGACCCAACTGAGTGATGCGGCATCTGCAACGGATGTCAGAATCAGCTCTTTGGGAATAGATAGGATATGCACATCAAAGACGATCACGTACCTTTTTGTGTATAGCTTGAAGCAAGACCGTGGTGGACATCGTTGGGTCTTCATTGAGCAGGAATTGAGCATACTGGCAGAAGTACTCAATTTCTGGCTGCGTAAAGTGAAACTTCCCATCTCTCATGGATTTGCGCGTCTCTGGGGGAGGAGGGGTAGGAGACCGTCGTGCATGATGGGACTTTGCCTCCTTCGAGGACGGTGGCAGCGGTGCTGCTGATATTTGCGGGGAAGTGGGCGCTGATATCTTTTTCACTTTCTTTGTTGGCGTCTCTGTTGGCGTGGTCCTCTTCGGCTTTGGCTTTGGCTTTGGCTTCGGCTTTGATGCAGATTTCTGGCCTTCTTTCTTGGCAGAAGGAACTTCCACCTGCACAAATTCAAAAAATGCGCTACTTGGTCTGCCGCGCTTCGCATTTTTGGTCGAGACCGTGTCGAGCATGTACTCGCTTTCATCCAACAACATGTTTTCAGCGATGCAATCGGCAACGAATGCCGACTGAATCGGAACCTTGTCGCAGGCATGGGCCTCACTCAAGAGGCCTTGGAATGTCTGCGAGCGCGTGAAGAGAATGACATAATCTGCATCTGCAATACTCCCGATGATCTTGCCTTTATTTTTCTGTATGTTGGTAGTTAAAACCAACATAAATGCGTGAAAAGCCTGAATATACAACCTTGATGTTCGAAACCACTCCTGATCGCCCCTGCAGATCAACCTGCACAAAGAATGTCAAAGGCTGCCCTTGATCGTCAAGAAACACCTCTCCAGAATTCTTTCCTGCATTCGTGCGGCCCAGCGAGCTCAAAAGAGACTGCTCAAATACATCGTCTGAACCGGTAGGAGGGGCACCTTCGTCATTATCAGATTCGTCGAATATTGAAACACGTTCCTTGCCCTTGAGAGATCGTTTCTTAGGCGGCTTTCCTGGCGCTTTTGGGGGTAACATGGCTTCGTGAACAGCTTTGCGCTTCACTGAAGGAGGGGGCAAAACTGTAGAAGGCGCACGAGAAGATATGTCGGTGCGAGGTTTGTGTCCGGAAGGACGAGGTTGTTTTTCCGGGTACTTCAACACAACGACGTCGGGAGTTGGGCTGCGTGATTTATAAGAAGACGATGAAGGAGGGTAGGGTTGGTCCGGAGCAACGATTGAATCTGGTGTTTGTTCGTTATGGATGGCAGACGGAGCACTGGATGAAGCTTCTATTTGGGGATACATAGGTGACGGCTGTCCCGCCTGCAAGAATTCACCACCGTTGGTGTTCCTCATAACATCCATCAGAGTCACAAGCATTTGAAAACTCTGCGGGTCCCTTAAGTTGTGAAATGGCATGCCCGTTGGCATCGTCATTGATTGGGGCTGTATGTATGGCATGTGACCAGAAATAAGCTGTTGCGGAGCAAATTGGCCAAGCTGGTATGATTGTTGTTGAGGAGCAGAAAATTGTTGAGGGAACGGTGAAGCTTGCGAAAATTGTGGCTGAGAAAACTGAGATACTTGGGAAAACTGGGGATGCATAAAAGGTGCTGGCGTGACGGATTGTGTTGACTGGGTTTGTAGAGGAGTCTGAGAGAACTGGACATGCGGAAATGAAGCTGGTGTGACAGGCTGTGCTGACTGAGGTTGCGGAGGAGCCTGCAAATTATAAGGTAATGCTGAAGTGAGCTGCTGAGGTGGTGCAATGGGTTGAGGAGTATTAAATGATTGAACAGGTGGGGAAATGCTTGGTGTGTGATTATACATAGGTTGGCCTGCATGTTCCGAAGGCTGCCGTAGATTTTGTGAAACGACGAGTGGAGCTTCTTGCGGTGACTGAGATGGCCTTGGATCATTCGGGATTAGAGGGACATATGCAGCCGGAGTTGCAGAGACGTTATTAAGGATTCTCTTTGTAAGTGGTTCCTCAGGCGTAACGCGGGGCGTAGGTAGCGGACTTCTTATCGAGAGCATCAGCAAAGAGTCCCCTTGAGGGACTTCAGGGCGTGAAACTGACTTTGAGACGAGCTGTTCGACCTCTGCTTCTCCGCCATCGGCAGCCACTTCGACGATGGGTTTGCCATCATCCAAAGTTTCTGTCCCACCCCAGCCATCGGCTTCAAGGAGAGGTTTCCTAGCTTCGATACTTTTACGTAGCCATTGAAATTCAAGAACGGCTTTCCCTGGGGTCTGATGCCAGGTACGAATGAGACGCTTTCCATCGAGTTGGGAAGAATCAACGAGAATGATGTCTGCATCCTCTGGGCGACAGGCGTACGCCCCCCCTTTCTATAAAGACATGACATTATGGGGTCTATTACTTAGGTTAAACTATAAAATCACATACCTTCATCATACGAACCAAGTTTGGCCGTAATGATATCCCATTGACTTGCAAATGGATGTTGAATCCTCTACCATCTGGATGGACAAGAATTTTCTCGTTCTCGGAAGTGCTCTGCGATGCATAGAGCGTGTCCATGGGTGGCTCGGATGACAGTTCCATGGCGGCCCAGCTACGAACGTGTTCTGATTCTTGAATTCTGACTTCACTTCAAGTCACGTGCTTTACGTGCCTTTGAGTCAAATTAAGAATAAAGTCGCGAACCGTGGGCCGTAACGGACCACAACATACAAGGTATCGAGGTCCACACACATATTATATTATATGATGTAGAAAGAGCCACAGCAACTTCTAATTGTTCTTCTTCACATAAAATTCAAGTCACTCATACAAGTCCACCATCTTCCCCTTTGATACGATGGTCCTCCCCGCACCCGACCTCGAGAATGAAATCTCGAACTCAGTCGATAAGCTGCAGAAGCTGTACCCGGGCGAATTGGATGCAAAGAAACACCTATACTTGCCTCATGGCAAGTATGCATTCGCCGCTAAACACACATTCCATGGGAAGAATAAAAAGCAAATAGGTTGGCGCTCTTCACAACTCTCTTTCAGCCTGCAGCTCAAATTTAAATCAAGGCCATCTCTCAGGGCACGCATACCGTATAAACGTCCGAAGTGGCGTTATTGCTGGACATAATGTTACCTGTCTCTGGAAAACGCAAGTTATCTGTTTTGTCGAGGTTTATGACAAAAGCTAACTATTCACCAGTTGGGATGTTTCTAAATCATGGAGAGAGTTTTTTCAAGAGGTACTATACATTCTTCTCATAGGCTTGCGTTTCTCTGACAACGCTTCGAAGTTATACTTCTACTCTCATCCACAGCTTTTGAGATGGCTTCAAGGAATCGTCGTTTCACACGTAATTGGCGTACATGATGGATCTAATGGACAAAAAAGTATTTTCATGGAACCACCCCATCACATATCCTGGCATACAGCACATCTAGGCCTGTCCATTGGCGAGAAACAGGCAGTCATTCGAGCTTATGAAATCTTGCATGCACACGGTATCCTGCACAATAACATCGGCGCCCATAACATATGCATAGGTCAGAGACTAGCTCAAGCTCATGCAAAAGATTCGTAAATTCATCAACATCTAGATCAAGATATGAACGTTACGCTACTAAACTTTGAAAAGGCCTGCTGCTTGAAAGATAAGGGAATAGACGAAGTCCCCGGGTGTGATCAGGAGGCGTTGGTGCGAGAAATGCGACAAGTCAAATACTTGATTTCCTACATGGATGCGAGGCTTATTGAAAATGGAATCATTACAACCTCACAAGCTTATATCGGTGAACGGCAGGCGAGTTGCCCCTTCTTACACATCGTAGGTTATCTTAATGACCCTCAAACCCAGACCCAGGCGCTCAATCTCGACGATTCTATTCGCTGGCTTAAACATGTTGAAAACACCCATACCATCCCGATCGAGATGCGTCATCGGCCAATTCCCAATGATGGACGTAGAAAACCAAAGAAAAAGGTCAAAGCTGGAGCAATCAGTCAATGGGAATCAGGGGGGCTCGCGCAAGATACTGGTGATTCTGGATTCTATAGTGAACCGATTGTGCTTCCCATTCTTCCGCCGCCTGCCGAATCGTCATCCTCCACAATCATGGCTACGCCTTCGCTAGACCCTCCTGCAGCTATACACGATCTCTTTTCCGTAGATCAGCTTCCACTACCGAATCCTGGTGCTGCACTGCCTTCTATTTGTCCTGAAGAGGACATTTCTCGTACGCAGGACAGGGATATCAATGTGCAGCTTCCGCTGTTCCAATCTGATCTTGAAGGCTTTCAAACTGTATCAAGAGGCCTGCATAGTATCTCGTCGTCAGTCTCTCCCTGTACCCCTACCCTATTACTGCTCCCAAGTACACCCAATTCGGACACCTCGGAGCGAATTTCACAAACACCTCCATCTTGCCCACCTTCGCCTACCCATCTTCAAAGTCGCGCCTCCGTTCCGCATGTCGACCAACCGCCTTCACCTAAGGTGTTCCGCGACCTCACACACGAGCAACTTCGCCTCGCAATAAAGCACCACAACGCGGATGTAGACGCTAGATTATCATCGCGCGCTGCAATAAACACAGACAAAAACAACGTCGTATTTCACCCCGACACCAATGACAATGGCACATACGCTACGGGAAGCGATCCCTTTCGCAAGCGGAAGAAAAGACGGCGACCTACCCCCTTTTTTTTGGAAGGCTCTAGTTTCACGGAGGAAGAGACTACCCCTGATCCGGAAAATACTAGCTCGACTGAGGACGAGGAAGATGAAAAGCCTGAGCCTGAGGTCGACGTCGATTTCGAAGAACTCGTCGAGGAAGCTCATCTCGCCAAACTCAGAGGGCGCCGACGCATGTCACGTTCTGCTGTGATACCTGACATGATTCTCACCAAACCCGTGTGGCCTGATCCAGAGGCAAAACATCTCACCGAACGAAGTCCCACCACACCATCGTCACCAGCATTGTCCTCGATCAGCGAGGAAGAGAGCTCTGGCGATACTTCAGGAGTTCCCCCTTACACTGTGGTTTTCGTCGGAGCTAACGGGAGTCCGGACGAAGTTTGGAAGCTCCCCGTACCTGCGTTCATGTTGATCAAGTCGTCGGTGGCGAGGCAGCCACAGGCTCAGAAACTCCGAGTAGAACAGGTCCCTCAGCTGCGAGGACTTCCTCTAACAAATTCCTCCTCTCCGCGGACACTAAATCAGGACACACAAAGTCGATCTTCCAAGAAGCGGGATATCGACTGCGTGGAAGGGGTTGAATGTTTGGAACGGACGTCGAAGCGTGCACGCCAGGACCAATCAACGCTTAGCTCATGCATCATATGTTAGATTATACTCAAGTCGGACCACTCAGCTCTTAGTAATTATTCTTTCGATATTGGTAGTACTGTACATACTTTACAATAAAATGTACAATCACGGGTAGAAAATCGTAATTCAAGTTTTACATCTCATAACTCTCCACCATCTCATTCTCCATCTACATCACGTTCGTGAATTATAGTGAATAGTATTGAGCAAGCTGCCCCTCAGACTGCGGCACAGTTCTCGCAATGGCGCGTCGAGATTGAGCAGGGCGGCAAGCACCGAGCATCTGGAAATACAGATATGTATGTACTTGATTTTGTATAACTCGCTTATCTTATGATATATCGTGTCCCCCACACAAGGGCATGGGCAAAAGCTTGGTTGCACTTCGGGTTAGATTAGCCATGCTCGGCATCGCCAACTCAAAAACTGTATACCACGACAGTGAAAAATGTCGTTTATTCATCGGCAATGGAGCCGAGGGCCATTAATGCCTGTGAATCTTGATGACATTTCATCTACCGTTGGGTCATCCGACATCATCCACATGTATATAGATGCGCGGAAATGAGTGGAGGCAGCTTACGATACATGGGGGGGCACTGGGCTGGCTCATAGCTGGTGCGCGCCTTGTTCACTCCAACAATGCTTTGTTTTCCGAACATATAAATACTGGAGTGGCAATGTTTGCAATTCATAATCATAGTTGCACACATGCTATCATGGCGTTGTTCAAAGACAAAGGAGTAACATGATAAAAAAGATATGTACCAAAAAAGTGGTTTCACCGGTAACTGGAGATTTTTGTCAGTCGGCTGTTCACGAACTTCACGCAACCGATGTACAAACCTCTTTTGCCTGCGAGCACGAGCACCAGCACCACCGAACTTCTTCGGCTCCATCCGTCTAGGATCTGCGATCAACAGCGTTCGGTCATACGCAACCAACTTTTTCTTCAACTCCATTGCGCTGTATGCATCGATGTACTTGGCGTAGTACGCGATAAGAGCCTTGGCAATGGCCTGACGGATAGCGTACACCTGCGATGTGTGTCCACCACCCTTGGCGCGCACACGGATATCAAGTGGTGCGAATGAGTCTTCACCAGCTACAAGGACGGGTTCATAGATCTTGAAGCGGAGGATCTCGGGTTGGACAAGGTTGATGGGGGAGCCATTCACGCGGATGATACCACGACCCTCCTTAGCGTGTGCGACTGCAGTTGCAGTCTGATGAACTCTGGGGTGAGCAATAAGTCAGCGCGACGGTGTTGTTACTTGCCTTCTTTTTGCCGAATGTTTGGACGGCCTTTACTGTAGATGCCATTTTGTCGTATAGAGGAATCTGCCGGGGTTCGGCTCCTTGATGAATTCTGGGGCGGAAAGAGCGAGTTCAGCAACTGGTCTCGAGTGACATATTTGAAGCCAAAGTAGGTGTAACCCAATTCATCTAACCCCAATCCATCGAATACTGGCCATTCCCCAATGATATTCGTGCATATTCCGGACCGTATAGACACGGCCGCATCGTATGTCTGCAACACGTAGCATAAGAGCATAAACTCACCCTCTGGAGGTCGTTTGAGGTGTTACGGTCGATATTCACAGCGGGCTTGCAACAACAGGTGGTGGCAACAAATTCTCACGATCCAAATTTGGAATTGCAATTCGTCTTGTCCTGCAATTCTCTGGTCTGTAAATTATCAAGCTTGACGGTTCCCAATGTTTTCTGCTCTGCGGAAATCAGTGGCAGGGGTGAGGAAAAGTCCATATTTATTTCCATGGCCGTCCTGACAACATCAGCAGTCTTCGCAAGCAATATGTCGCAGGCGAATGGCCACAATTGCGCCAACTACTTCACAAAGCAAACTTGCAATTCGCAAAGGTGATTTTATTGATGCCAGAGAGACATACGCTCATTTGGAAATAGCTGCTGATTCAATCAAACCGGTATATGTGACAATGTCGAGTTTTACTGGGAAGTCGAACAGTGCCAAGAAAGCTGTTGCTCTGGACCCAACGGTGTTCGACCATCCTATTCGGCGAGATATTCTACATCTTTGCGTCGTGCACCACCTGGATTCTCTTCGCCAAGGAACTGCCTCTACTAAGACGCGCGCTGAGGTTGCCGGTTCACGTCGCAAAATTCGTCCACAGAAGGGAACAGGCAGAGCTCGCCTGGGAGATCGGCAGAGTCCGATGTTGAGGGGTGGAGGTGTCGCTTTTGGTCCGAAACCGCGAGATTTCAGCACGAAGCTTAATCGCAAAGTTATCCAGATGGGCATGCGCGTGGCTTTGACGATGAAGCTCCGGGAACAACGACTGGGTGTCTTGCAGCGGATTAACTGGTGGTCACACAAGACTGCTACCCTCAACTCAAGGTTGAGCGGACTCGGATGGAGAACCGGCACCTTGTTTGTCACCGGAGAATCCGAAGTGCCGGCAAGAATGAGATTGGCATCGAAGAACCTTCGTGGGATAGAGTGCAGAACCGTAGCGGACTTGGTGGTCTACGACATTGTGAAGTGGAGAAGGGTTATACTTGACCTCGCCGCCGTCGACGCACTGGAGCGAGCTCTTGGAAAGGGCTTGTTGGGAATTTCGGATTCGGAGAGGGTAGTTTCTGATGTTACGCACTCATCTGTGGAGGAGGTTGAGCCATCCGCTTAGACTCATAATATATCTTATTCTGGGCGTATCAAATGGGTATCGATATTGTCCAGTCGCGAGTCATTGTACTTACAAACGCACCTGCAAAGCAGACTGAAAATACAATACGCGACCACGTGACACAACGCGTCCTCATTAATATGACTGCGCCTTGGACTCCCACTCTTTCCCACTATATAGTACAATTGTGTGTTTGTTTTCTAGCAGAAAGCGATCATGTCTCAGGCATCTCAAGATGAAGAAGCGCAGGAGGGCGGCCTCTCCATGTCTGGTCCGCTCATGGTTGGCAAATTGGAGGAAGCCGGAATTCACGCCAATGACATCAAGAAGCTCTCCGATGCAGGACTCAACACTGTCGAGGCCGTCGCATTCACGCCCAAAAAGAATCTGATAGCAATTAAAGGCATCTCAGACGCGAAGGCAGACAAGATCTTGGCAGAAGGTGACTGCTGAGATCCTGGCATCATGCGATCAGTGTCTGATGAGTCACATCATCCAGCTCAGAAAATCGTCCCCCTTGGCTTTCAGAGCGCCACTGAAGTTCACGCACGACGTTCTGAACTCGTTCACATTACGACGGGCTCAAAGCAGCTCGATGCTTTACTTGGAGGTGACATTTCAGCATTCAGAAAGTATGATTGTTTTCTCACTTCTTTACAGGGGGTATCGAGACCGGTGCCATCACTGAGCTCTTTGGAGAATTCAGGACCGGAAAATCACAACTGTGTCACACTTTGGCAGTAACATGTCAATTGCCTGTGAGCATGGGCGGTGGCGAGGGTAAATGTCTCTACATCGACACTGAGGGCACTTTCCGTCCTGCTCGCCTACTTGCAGTCGCAGAACGTTATGGGCTGAGTGGAGAGGAAGTTCTTGACAATGTTGCATATGCAAGAGCATATAACGCTGACCATCAGAACTCCCTTCTCACTAGCGCCAGTGCGCTGATGGCGGAATCAAGGTTCGAACTGGCTATATGCGTATTTTGATGGTGTTCCTCACGATCATACTAGATTCTGCCTTCTCATCGTCGATTCATGCACCGCGCTCTATCGCACTGACTTCAGTGGACGCGGTGAGCTATCGGCACGTCAGAACCATCTCGGCAAATTCCTAAGAACCCTCCAACGGCTTGCAGATGAGGTAAGAAGAGAAGTAGTCTGCATACACCTCCGTATTCATTCCGCAAAACAGTTCGGCATTGCAGTCGTTGTCACAAATCAGGTCATGTCCAATCCGGATGCATCAGCAGGACCATACGCGAGCAATGAGAAGAAACCCATCGGAGGAAACATCATGGCACATGCTTCCACGACCCGGTATGCATTCATGTTATCATCAGTTGGTTCACTAAGCGAGCTGTCTTATTAGGTTACAACTCAAGAAGGCCCGCGGAAACACTCGAACTTGCAAAATATATGATTCGCCCTGCCTTCCTGAGATGGAGACTCACTTTGCAATCTTGTCCAGTGGAATCGGTGATCCCGAAGAAGAGACTTGAGTATCAATACCCTCATGTAATTTGTATTCTTGTACCATTCAGTTTTCTATCACTATCAGGGAAGCTCCGTAATTGATTCTAAAAAGACATTTTGTGTAGTGGTTTTATTCCACCCTATAAACACTTAAGATATTCGAAAGATAGGATACCAGTTGAGTGGGACCTGTAGACTATACTGTGGGTGGAACAGTCCGTTTCTGTCAATGATGCTTGAAATCTACAAATGTATACATTCCCACCATCAAGCCAACAAGCGAGTGAGGATGTTCGCGCTCGTGTGCTTAATCATCTCCTGTAGCTTGTTCACGTCTTGGGGGCTGACGTCCGCAATATCTGCCAGCAAATATGCGACGTCACCTTTCGAATCTGAGTACTGCTTCTCGACGTTGTATGGCGAGAGGGCCTCGTTGACCTGTTTCAACACACCAGGCTGATTGCTGTGGACATGGCAAACACGGACATGATTGCCCTGCTCTGCGGTGATCGCGCGGAGGTCGACTTCGGGGAAATTAACTGCCCCGAGGGTGGAGCCGTAGGTCAGGTACCGAGAGAGAGCAAGAGACACTTCCTCCCCAATCATGCGCTGCGCTTCTTCTGTTGATCCGCCGATGTGAGGCGTGAGTATCACGTTTGGCAAGCTGCGCAGAGCGCTTGACCACGAGTTAACCTGATCGTCGAATGGTGCCCCATTAGACCCCGGCTCCTGTGGGTATACATCTATTGCTGCACCAGCGAGATGTTTTGACCGGAGGGCTTCGATTAAGGCTGGGATGTCGACGACACGCCCGCGAGCATTATTAATAAGGTAGGACCCCATTTTCATCTGCGCAAGCTCCTGCGATCCAATCATATTGATTGTCTCAGGAAGCTCCGGCACGTGAAGCGTGACAAAATCAGCTTCCGCTAATAGCGTAGGAAGAGTGTTGACTTGTCGAGCCGAACCAAGAGGCATGATGTTTATGACATCGTAAAAGATGACACGCATGCCAAGGGCTTCTGCAAGCACTGACAGCTGTGACCCGATGTGCCCGTAGCCAACAATACCCAACGTTTTGCCTCGAACTTCCCAACAGCCTTTCGATTGCTTGTTCCAGATTCCCTGGCGCATTTCATGCGAGCGCTCGACGAGCTGCCGCGAAAGCGCGATCATCTCGGAGACGACAAGCTCTGCAACAGAGCGCGAGTTTGAGAATGGAGAGTTGAAGACGGGAATTCCGGCCTTGCCGGCAGTAACCAGATCGACCTGATTTGTTCCAATACAAAAACAGCCGATCACAAGAAGCTAGGGAAGGAGGACTTAGAAGTGGTTGAGATCGGGGATAGATGGACATACTTTGTGTGCAGCTTTGATGACCCGTTCTGTGATCTTTGTCTTGCTGCGTATGCCTATAGCATGGTACTGAGAAATTTTGTCTATAAGTTCATCCTCAGAAAAAGCTTTTGTGTAGTGGTCGACATGAAAGCCCTGTGCTTGAAAAGCTCGGACTGCATCCTGACTGATGTTCTCTAGGATCAAGAGCTTCAGGTCTTCGTTGTCGACTGGATGAAGAACCTTGGGCTTTCTGATGGCTGGGCACGACTCTCGCTTGCGCAACCTGTCATGGAGTGTCTGCGACGATGAAGGAGAGACGGAAGCAGCTACGGCTCTTGGGGATTTAGAGGGGATGGCAAGTGGGGGGGTCATTATGAGGGATTGGAAGTAAGGATGATCCATGTCAGTCTGAATCTACCTTCTTATATACGAGACGTCTTGATGAGTGAGTCCTATATTTACAACATCGAGCGCTATTCTCAAACTTGATTGCAAATTTTGATCATCCCGATATGGCAACTCACGAGTGAGTCACCCGGTCAAGCTCAGGCTTTAGCTTGTAAACCATGGCACTCTTTCTCCTCGACCATGGTGCAGGTAACGTCCAGAGTCTCGCTAATTCAATCAAGAAACTTGGTTATGATTTCTCGTGGATATCTAGTCCAGAGGACTTCCACAAAGCATCTGTATGTCATTTCCTCACTAGTATGCCCATCTGACCTTGATTCATCTCCACCCAGATCCTTGTATTTCCAGGCCAGGGTGCTTTCCACACTGCGATCGAGTGTTTGACAGAGCGTGGTCTACTTGAACCCCTCTATAACTACATTCAATCTGGGAAACCGTACTTCGGTATATGCATTGGGATGCAAATCCTATTTGCGTCATCTGCAGAATCCCCATCAACGCTTGGTCTAGGTCTTATACCCTGTCAAATGGAACGATTCGATGATACCACTAAACCAGTTCCTCATATGGGCTGGAATACCGCAGAACCCATAGACTCCAACACTTTGTCCTCAGAAGGTGTTTCTTCTTCAGATCACTACTATTTCGTCCACTCGTATCGTGCCAAATACGACCCAGAAGGCAATCCTGAGGCTGCTATGTGGGCGCACTCAACTACCCAATACGGGCAGGAAGTGTTCATGTCCACCGTCCAAAAAGGCAATGTATTTGGTGCTCAATTCCATCCCGAAAAATCCAGTGTTGCTGGACTCACTGTTATCGACGCTTGGATAAAACAGTCACTGGCAGGTCGCACACCAGCCGAACCATCAGCTCGGATTCCACGCCTTCCTAAATCGCAACACGGTTTCACTAGACGCATCATCGCTTGCATGGATGTTCGTGCGAACGACGAAGGTGATCTTATCGTGACCAAAGGGGATCAGTATGACGTCCGCGAGAAGTCTCTCACATCAACGCCACTATCGAGCACCACTGCTATCAAAACTGCAGGTGCAGTCCGCAACCTTGGCAAGCCTGTTGCACTAGCAGCCCGCTACTTCGAGTCAGGGGCAGATGAGCTGTGCCTCCTTAATATCACTTCCTTCCGTCAATCCCCCCTCCAGGATCAGCCAATGCTCGCAGTTGTGCGGGCTGCAGCAGAACGTGTATTCGTACCGCTCACCATAGGAGGGGGTATCAAAGATACAGTCGATCCCGATGGCACGAAACGCTCTGCTGTCGAGGTCGCTGGTGCATATTTCCGAGTCGGCGCTGACAAGGTTAGCATCGGCTCCGAAGCAGTCTACGCTGTCGAGAAAGTTCGCGCAGCCGGCGGCATATTAGACGGCAGCAGCGCTATTGAAACCATTTCGAAGGTATATGGCTCTCAAGCCGTCGTCGTTTCCATAGACCCCAAAAGAGTATACGTCGATCCCGCCACATATGACGGCCCCTACAAGGATGAGCTTGTACATGGTCGACCAGACAGCCCCGAAAGCGAGCGGGGCAAAGCTTGGTGGTACCAATGTACCGTGTCAGGTGGTCGCGAGACTCGCCCTGTGTCAGTTGTGCAACTCGCGCAAGGTGCACAGATCCTCGGCGCCGGCGAGATCCTTTTAAATAGCATCGACCGCGATGGAACAGGCCTCGGCTTTGATCATGACCTGATCGGGCTCGTGAAGCGCGCAGTGACTATTCCTGTTGTTGCGAGCAGTGGAGCAGGCACCAAGGAACATTTTGTGAGCGTGTTTGTTGAGACGGGCGTGGAAGCTGCTCTTGCCGCGGGGATATTCCATCGGGAGGAAGTTGGGATACACGAAGTCAAGTTAGCTTCGAGGCTGGCCGGTATCAACGTCAGATCATGAAGAAGACATCTAAAATTATAGACTGTTCATATCGTAGCTGCGATCGAGGGGTACGGTACTGTGTGATCTTCTATCTATCGTGCGCTTTTCTATAGAAGACTACCGTGAACACATTGTAGAACCAATTGATCAAAAGCATCTGTAGATGCATCTTCGAAAAGCGTTTAATGAAAACCTCAGGGTATTGACTGCCACTGCATACTCTTACAACAGGAAGTATGGTAGAAAAATGCAGAGTAAATAAACCGTCTCGCGAGTATATGTAGATTTTTACAAACACCGTAATGGATACAAGCATGGGGTCAGGAGCGTCGACGACGAAGGGAGAAAAACACACGACCGATTCTAGGTATATCTCGTCTAAGCTTTGGACGAGAGAAGAGAAACAGGGCAGCGATCATGGCTGTAAAAGTGCAAGAAAGGACAAAAACTAGAGTGGTCTCAACAAGACATGCGTATGGGAAGCTAGCGGTCAAATACTCGGATACATCCAGGAATCGAGGACTAGGCTCATTTTGGGCCCCTGACTACGTCCTTCACTTTCTTCAATAAACTAGTTTTTCGCCCAAGGCCGCCCAATGGCGGAGAACTGGGTGCACCGTCAAAGTATCCGCGTCTGTCTTCGGCGGATGGCGTGCGAGTTGCCGCTGGAGCATAAGGAGTGGCAGGTAGTCGTTTGTCCCTACGCAGATCATCGACGTACACATATGCTTCATCTGAAGGAGGTGAAGTGTTTGGACGACCGTGACCGTTGTAGCCATTGGAGAAGCGCCCAAGGAACGAATTTTGTGACCGATGTGTAGGGCGCGATGGCTGGTAGATATCCGGATTGGGAGAAGGAGGCTCGACACTCTCGTCAAAACCCAAGGGCACATTTGGGGAGTCACGCATTTTACGAATGCGCTGCATCAATGATTTGGTGCGTTTTGGGACTCCTGGCAGTGACGGAGACCCCGGTGCGCTGTCATAATCGGTACTCTGGGCTTCTGGCACAAGGATAGGCTGCGGGGGTGGGATACCACCGCGTTTGGTGCGTCTTCCTTCTCTCTCACCGTTACGCTCTCGGTCGCGGGCTTGTATCTGTTTCATATCGTCGTCGGGGTACTCTCTATACACATCACGAAGGTCACGCCCGTCCTTGGAGCGCTTTCCAAGGGAGTGTCGCGGCGTGCCGTTCCGTGACCCGTGGCCCTCCCTCCCGGCGTATATTGAATTAGACGGTGTGTCACCATCACGTCTGCCAGTACCGCCACCTGCAAAAAATTCCTCGTACGGTTCTGGCTCATGGATACCCCAGGCCTCTGCGATGGCATCGACTTTCTTCTTTGGGGGTTGGTAGGTAGCGGAAAAGGCACCTTTGTAAGCGTCAGGTGAGGGGTAGGGGGAT